ACACGGTGATGAGTGTGTGCTCACCAACAGAGTTTCTCGTAACGCTACTCGCAAGGTAGCGTAGGTGTTGTGTGTAAGCGTGCACGTCACGCTTACCTTGCTTGAGCCTCAGGAGTGCAGAGCGTGCTCTGAACTCGGCTCGCGGCGGCTCAAACGTCATTTTGAGCCGAGACTTCAAGATCTCCAACGACTCAAACACGTTTGGGTCGTAAAGCTTAGGCCATAAGGCTCAAGTCTGTGCTCGACCTGTCAATACTGACAGGGAGAAGGTGACTTGCATCTCGTCACCCTCGATGTGACGGGCCCTGATGGCGTCTTCTAATTCCACGAACCATCCCAAAAAGAGAATCTTCGTCGTTTCTCTTGTACCTTGAGATATCGATCTTCAAAGTTTCGGGTCGACGCGTGAGCGTCGGCCCACCCATCGACCGATGAGAGCCTTGCTGCTGTAGCAAGGCTATCTTCTACCGTTCGACGGCAAGTTTCCCTTGTAGGAACTTGTTGATAGCAGGATGTGGCTGCTCTCTGCGTAGAGACTCCAACATGCCACTGATCGCGGGTTCGCCCATGAGCACACTCAAGCGGACGACTATCTCTTATTCTAAGTCACTCAGATGGGAGTAGCCTTCACGTGTGACGTGAAAGCTGTCTTCTTCTACGTCCAACATGTTCATGTTGGACGGACACTGAGTAGTCGTTAAACGGACTACAAAGTGCTACCATGTGTAATGGGACACCCTTTGTTTGGGGTGCCGCGAAACTTCCCGTACTCTAGTACGTGGAGAGGAAGCTAATCTACTTGAACGACTCGGTCGAGTAAAGGTAATAGGAGAAAAGTATTTAATACAGTTAAGCTATCAATATAACTTCAGTCTTTCTCTAACTATATTAAACTACGCCGTCGTATGAGGACAACCTGCTCACCACTCATTGCACGCGTCCAGCAGCGATTGGTGGTAAAATTGGTTGATATGTCTTATATCAAGCAACCTTTGAGCAGCGCATGAATTTTATCCAAAAAGGGATAAAATTCCTTCAACATTATCCATCTTGGATAATATTAGTAGGATATTGTCACGCTAGACAATCTCTCTATTGACACCGTTTGGTGTCAATATCATGTAACGGGCTACCCCTTTCAACAACAACTTGCCTTGACTTACACTCATTATGGAATGGATCAGCAGCTAAAGACTGTCACTCCGGTGTGTGATAATGGTTACATTTCGTTGAAAATGAATGTTGCGCTAAAAAATATGAGAGGGTATTTCTTTGGGTGGAGCACAAACTGATGAGACGATCGAGAGGGTGTCGAAGGGGCATGCTTGATGCGTAGCTTTCGTACCTTAATTATCCGGGTCTTGACGCAGAAGATCGCGAATCGTTGCCATCCGTTTTTGTAGTATCACAATTTGAGTTGAGAACCAGCAGGAAGTGCGGCACATTCATTCATTACAAGCGAGTTCCTGTATCCCATTGTGAATACGACTTGCACTGTGAACGCCGCCGTTATCAAGTCAATTTCTACATCATTAACGACAACTCATTCTAAACGTATTGTTGAACATGAGCAGTAGCTAAGGATCCAGGAATTAATGCACGAGGCGCCATCAAAGAGTTGCAAATGGCAAGGTTATGCTTTGTCCACGCAAACATTGAACTTTTAGATGAGATGTGTAACGGGGCACCCTGAAGCTTGTACTGATGACAGTACAAGCTACTTATTCTGATGACAGAATAAGGCGGTGCCTCGGAACTTCACGTACACTCGTACGTGCAGAGGAAGACGGTAAGAAGAAGCGAGTACTTGGTGAAAGTAAAAAGTAGAACTGTATTTATCGAGTTAATGTCTGCAATAAATCACTATTTATCTTCATCTAACTATGTCTAAATACAAATGTGTATATCAACTATCTGCTCACCACTCATTGCGTGCGTCTGTCGTGGCGCGTCTTCGTTTGTTGATATAATGGCCTATATCAACCAATTAGGAACTACTCGAAAGTGCTACAGAATGTTTGTCCATATGAAAATATTCTGATAATATAACTCTTATACTTATATTCTATTAACAAATTCTTGTAAATTGTTATGTAACGGGTCACCCCGTTACATCACCCCCCCCTTAACCATCAGTCACTTTAGTGACTGATTGACTAAATGGATACTCATCCCAAATCATTTGGGACGGGGTTTGCACTTGTCGGTCCGAGTCCACAGTCCATTTATTTCATCGCACGGTAAATAAGCTTAAGCGGTGCGCGAACAAGGCAGCTAAGAGCGCGTCTGCACGTCTCTGTGCAGACGCCGAAGCAGAAACCGCTACAACTGATGTGTCATCGTTTGCTAAAGCGTCTCAGTCTGTATCACCTGGTGATGCAGGTGCTCGTCATGAAGACACTCATGTCGTCACATAGTATGAGCTCGTTGTCTCATACTCTCCTGATACGGAAGAGGGATCCGTATCGAAGGCGGTTGAAACCAAGCCGCCTGCCAAGCGTGGCATGGATGATGCTACGCGTCGTAGCATCTTTATTTCGTCTGACGAATTAGACGAACCATCGCCAAAGCGAAGGCGCTCGAGGTCGCAAGACTCGGGCGCTCACAGTGGTGTCGGTTCTCCTATTGACACCACTTCGCAACGAGGTGCCAGTACTTCTGTCGGCACGTCGCAAGAAGAGCGGGACCGCAGTGTGTTGCGTCTCGCTCCCGAAAATAAAGCATGGATGCCTCCCAAATCCGTCATGGATCGCTTGTCGGCGACGACAAGTGATCGCTATCGAACACGATTGTTCGATTCATCAAGAATCCATCACCTTGACCCCAGTGCAAAAGACTATCACACTGAGAATGAATTCTTCATCGATGCTTTCTTTAAACATCGATGGTACAGTGGGAATCACAAACGTGATGGTCCCTCACTGTTTCAAGCGTGGAACGCCTACATCCATAACCTTGAGGATGTAGGTCGTGACGCTTGGAACGACAAACTTATCAAAGCTCGTGATAAGTTTGAAAAGCGAACCCCGACAGGTGCACGCTACAAGCTGCATCGTCTGTCAAGGAAGAAAGGATTACCCTGCCTCTCTTGGGGAGACTCGTGCCCATGTTGTGTGAACAACTCTGCACGAGCACCTAAGGAGGCTTACCTCCTTACCAGCCCGTGGTGGCGCGTACGTGTCTCTACTGAGATGTACGAAGGGATTGACAACCTGAAATCCCTTTACGACCGTGCCGGGAAGACTTTCTCCGGCGGTCCTTCTGCGGCACAGGATGTGCCGCGTCGTACTGCTCAACCAGACCCAGTACGTCGATCATCAGTTGGGAGCGGGGCTCCCAAGAATCCCAGGACGGGGGATAGCCGCGCCACCGGACGAGATAACTCGTCCGACGTCCGTTCACGTCGCGGTGGTTCAACAGCTGCTCAACTAGATAGCGCTGGCCACCGCGAGAGTCCTCTAATGGAGGTGGAGGAGGAGGAAAGACGCTCTCCACACGATCATGTGGATCGGTGTGTACCCGAGAGCTTCTTTGATCGCGTAACGCAAGGGTTACGCGACGATCTCGAACATGAGCGGAATAGGCGTCTACAAATGGCGGACACTGCCTCGAAGCATCGAGCTGAGTTTGCCTTTGCTCAGCTCGAGAACGAGAGATCTCTGACATCTCTTCGTGACGAGCTAAGGGTAGCTCGTGGGATTGCTGATCGGTCTCGGGATGAGATAGCTGCTCTTCAGACCCTTGTTGATGCCCACCATCGGGAGCACAAGGCTCTCTGCGAGATGCTTGAGCGCAAGGGCGTTCTTCATCGGAAGAAGCAGCATACTGATGGTACGGCTTAAGCCGACCAACGTAAAACGTGGGATGCGTTCGCATCTTACGTGGTAACTCGATCGTGTATGCATTGCCTAGGCGGTGCAATACACGAAATGGGCCAATGTACTTGGGTAGTAGTTTACTGCTACCCAAGTTAGTCACTACATGCTTTGGTAGATTAACCGTAGACAGTAGGACTAAGTCACCTTTATTAAATAAAAGAGTGTTTGCCCTTCCATTCTTGTCAGCGTTTTGCTTTTGCTTATCCACCGCTTCGGCGATGGAGTCTTGCACAAAACGGACTACCGTTTCACGAGCCAGTATGAACTCATCTGATGACTCGTTAGCTTCAGTGTGCTGTGAGCGCACTGCAGCAACATCAACCTTTTCTTCAGTGAGGGCTTCCGCACTCTCACTGGGATCATCTTCTTCAGTGAGGGCTTCCGCACTCTCACTGGCATCATCTTCTTCGATATCGATGTTATCGATATCGGCATCAAACGCAATGACTTCTTTGTCAGAGCGTGATGAGCGTGAACCAAATCGGTTTTTGCTCGCGCGAGTCCCTCCCCCCTAAACCAGAGTTACACTCTAGTAAGGTGGGTACACGCGGATGGCGTAAGCCATTCACGTAATAAAAACGGCGTATGTGTCGTGGACGCATGCACCGAGTTGTTAATGGCAAACTCTACCATTGGCAAAAACTCACTCCAACTCTTAAAGGAGTGTACGTATCCTCGAAGTATCTCTTCAAGGACACGATTGGCACGTTCCGTCTGACCATCTGACTCTGGATGATCAGATGTTGACATCTTCAAGCGCGTTCCGAGTGATTTGAACACGGAACGCCAGAAATCAGCAGTGAATCGTGGATCTCTGTCTGATACGAGTTCACGGGGCAACCCATGAAGTCGGAAGATGGTGTCGATAAAGACACAAGCACAGCCACTTGCCGTGATTGTCTCTGGTACAGCCACAAGGTGTACCATTTTGCTGAATCTGTCAACAAATACGAGGATACCCGTATTCCCGCGGTCGTCTTTGGGTAACCCGAAGACGAAATCCATTGAGATGGATTCCCAGCACTCAGCCGGAACCGGTAGAGGCTGTAAAGGTGCACGCAGTGAAGGACTTGACTTCACTCGTTGACGGACTTCGCATGCGCGAACATACTTTCGCACAAACTAATACTGGCGGGGCCAGTAAAAGTCTCGACTCACCGTGAGATATGTTTTCTCCCAGCCACGATGTCCTCCTATAGGAGCATCGTGATACTCGAACATGATCCGCAAACGCAGATCAGTATCATCTGGAATGACAACACGTGGTGTGTCACCAGTAACGGCTGTATAATACAGTAACCCGTTACGAGTAGTGTATCGATCTGATGCAGATCGATACGCAGACGACAATCGTTTCAACGATTCTCGAGATGGTTGTGAGAGATGTGCCAACAACTTCACTATCTCACCACCTTGGGCATACGCCCGCCTCACATCATCATCATGCAACGTTGAAGATGGTACTGAGGACGTCATAACCGCAACAGTGACTGTCTCACTGTTGGGTTTCACGACTGGTTCAAAGTCGGGACGACGTGAGAGTGCATCAGCGACAATACTAAGTCGTCCTGGTTTGTACTCGACCGTAAAGTTGTATTCTGCAAAGAATGACAACCACCGCGCCATTCGTTGTGAAAGGTGCGGGCTGTTCACTGCCGTGCGTAATGACGCATGGTCAGTGTAAACAATGAAGGGTCTATCCCCTAATAGATAGACTCTGAACTTCGCGAGTGCATACTTCATGGCAAGGTGTTCCTTGTCATGCACTGTATAGCTTCGCTCATCTGGTTGCATCTGACGCGACTGATAGCAGACGACGCGTTCAACGCCTTCTAGGTCGTACTGCATTAATGCACAGCCGATTGCGAAATCGCTGGCATCACAGACCACATGAAATGGCCTGTCCTGATCGGCTATTGCTAGGACTGGGGATTGTATCAGGCTCTGCTTGATACCATCAAAGGAGCGCTGACATTCAGCGTTCCATAAACACCTCTCGCTCTTTTTCAACAAACGAGAGAGCTGTACAGTCATGTCGGCGTAATTGCGTGAATACCGATGCAAATACGCCGCTAGCCCAAGAAATTTTCGAAGACCTTTGACATCAACCGGCACAGGCCAGTCGGTGATCGCCTTGATCTTTTCGGGATCAGGACGTACACCGTTCTTACCAACGATGCACCCAAGAAGTGGTATTTCGCTTGCTGCAAATATACACTTCTTGAGGTTTGCATACAATTGATGCTTTCGCATGATTGTAAGAACTTGTCGGACGTGGTACCTGTGAACCTCAACGTCCGACTTTCCATCCATAGCTCGACTATGGATGAATACGTCATCGAAATAACTCGGCGCGAATTCTCGTACAGGTCTCAACAGATGTGATACACATCTGTTGAACGTGGCAGGGGCATTACTAAGCCCTTGTGGCATTACTAGCCATTCCCAGAGCATGCCGCTAGGCGTGCTAACTGCGGTATAGGGTATATCCCGTTCCCGCATAAGGATTTGATAGAAGCCATCCATCAAATCCATGGACGAAAAGATGGTACTCTTTGACATACCATCAATGATTACGTCCTTCCTCGGTATCGGCGTCTGAGCCGGTACCGTTGCAGCGTTCAATTTGTTAAATGCATGCACTATCCGCCACCCTCCTGTTGCTTTTCGCACACAGAAGGTCGGAGAGCTATGTGGGGAAGTTGATTCCCTCACATGGCCCGCAGCTAAACGATCGGCAAAGAACTTGTCGATCGCAAGTACTTGTTCACGAGGCAGTGTCCACTGCTTCATGACACAGTACTTCGAGCCTGGTTTAAGCTCGACCTCGTGTCGAATACCTTTATCCTTCGGTAATTCGCACGGAACAGTTTCAGGCAATACATCCTTGAATTCAACCAAATCTTCATAGAGAGGATTTTTCTTGAGCGATTCCCATGATTGGGAGTCATATCGCTTAATTCGTGTCTTTTCATCTAGGACACTCTCGTCCATAGATGAACTACTGAGAATTCTCTCGTTCTCAGTGAACACTGTTGCTGACCTTATGTCGGTTACACACTCGTCGTCAGCGACGAGTACGCAGATCTGCTTGACTTTGCCACTACGCAGATCACGCAAGAACCTTTTATGTTCGAGCGTTGGCAACTGAGTGATCTCCGAAGTCAACTTCGGAGGCGCAATCAGATCAAGTGTATAAGCGCCTACACTTGATCCGTTATTGACTATGACATTCAATGTCTCTGTCATTTCCTGGGGACTTATTCCCTCAGGCTTCGAAGGACTTATTCCTTCGGCTTCCCGGGGACTTATTCCCGCGGGTTTCGGGGAACTTATTTCCGCCGTATTTGTAATCTTGGGACTTATTCCCTTTACTTCCTCTAGCTGGGGTTGCGCAACCACAGCGAGATCCTCTACGAAAGACTCTCCAGTCGATCTAGGATTATCGTTTTGCTTAACCTGAGCGATCGATCTTTTCTCTTCTAGATGTTCCCCGCTAGGGATACATCTTTGTCCCAGTCCACCCGACTTATTCGAGTGGTGGACCTTCGGCGCAGCCTGTGTTTCCTCACAGCCGCCGGAACTTTGCTCCGAAGTGTAACTGTTTGTTACGCTAAGGTTTTGTGCAGTCGTACTAACGACCGTACCACAAGTGAGGCCATCGCACTCACTCGTAGTACATCCACACGCTTGTGGACGCTCCAAAACGTTCATCAGATGGCCATCTGATGAACAAGCGGCAGGCATCGTTACTGTTCGATGTTGCCAGTTAGCTCGTGGTTCGTACCTTCTGAGCCACGGTATTCCAAGGATGACATCAAATTTGTCATCCAAACTCAATACGATAAAGTCATCGTCATATTGGGTATCTTCTAGCGTATAGTGGATCTTCACTATACGCTTCATGACGGTTACGGATGCGCCTGTCGCAAGACTTACCGTCATCCTCGTAGGAGGTGTGTCACATTCACTGAATTTAAAGTGACCATCTTCTAGCGATTGGCGTTGCACAAAATTGTTGGACGCCCCACAATCGACTAGAGCTCGAAGGGACAACTTATTCGTCACTTCGAGTTTCAAGGTAATGAGTGAGACCTCATTACCTAGAGCAGCAACGCACAACGTTTGTGTGTTGGGAGCAACCTTCATCAAGAGGCCTACAAATTCTCTTGACGTTGCTAGACCAGTAGGGTGCTCCGCACCTACTGATCCTGTCCGTTTTTTGACGGTCCATCCCGTTGTTGCGTCTTTGCGCCAACTGCGGACCCTCGTCCCTGCCCCTTTCTCATGAGTGGACGGTCACTACGCCCAGTGTCGCGAGACACTGGACGAGGGGCACTACACTCGTAAGCGTAGTGTCCTGTCTTTTGACATCTGTTGCATCTCTGCAACTTCTTGTAACCTGTAGAGCGAGCCTTCTCGCTCTCTACATAACAGAGTTCCATCGGCTCTGGACCTCCGTTGTCATATCGTCTCGGTTGACGATATGATGTCGAGCTGGCGCGAGCCTGTCTCAGACTGAAGTCTTCCTGCTCCGCAATGGAAATGGCTTGTTCTAGTGAATCTAGTTCAAGCCGGAACAGGTGAGTCTTGACGGGACCATCCGCAAGACCCTGCATGAACACCGAAACCAACGTGTGTTCATCCACCGGATTGGAACTTATACAACTCGTGAGATGTCGTATATGTTGCGCGTAAGCGTGCACATCACGCTTACCCTGCTTGAACTTCAAGAGTTCGGTTCGAGCTCTGAACTCAGCTCTAGGCAGTTCAAACGTTTGTCTGAGCCGCGACTTGAAGACTTCCAACGACCTAAACGCATATGGGTCGTGCAACTTGAGCCCCAGTGCCCAAGTCTTGGCACGTCCTGCCAGATTTGACTGGGCAAATGCAACTTGCATATCCCCATCGTCGATGCGACGCGCCCTTATGGCGTCATCCAATTCGACGAACCATCTCAAGAGGGAGTCCTCTTCGACTCCCCTATACTTGGAGATGTCAATCTTCAAGGTTTCGGGTCGACGCGAGTGCATCGACCCACCAGCAGCAGCCTGCTGCTGTCTCAACAGTTCAAACTGTTGAGCACCCTGTTCTCTCAACAACTCTGCTTGTTGAGAACCTTGTTGGTGAAGCAAGGCTACTTTCTCGCGTTCTGCGTCAAGTTCATTTTGAATGAACTCGGCGATAGTAGCATGTTGGGCATCTCTATTGAGAGCCTCTAGCATGACGCTAACAGCATGGATGCCCATGGTCGAACCCATCCGTTCAACCGCATCCCATTCGACATCGCTCAAATGGGAGTAGCCGTCACGCGTAGGGTGAAATCTTTGGTCGTCTTCATCATCCAACATATTCATGTTGGATGTGAACGTGGTCCTTGGACGGACTACGAAGTGCTACCAGGGGTAACGGGGCACCCTGAAGCTTGTACTGATGACAGTACAAGCTACTTATTCTGATGACAGAATAAGGCGGTGCCTCGGAACTTCACGTACACTCGTACGTGCAGAGAAAGACGGTAAGAAGAAGCGAGTACTTGGTTAAAGTAAAAAGTAGAACTGTATTTAGTATAGTTAATGTCTGTTAACAAACCACTGTTTATCCTCATCTAACTATGTCTGAATACAAATGTGTATATCAACTATCTGCTCACCACTCATTGCGTGCGTCTGTCGTGGCGCGTCTTCGTTGGTTGATATAATGGCCTATATCAACCAATTAGGAGCTACTCGTAAGTGCTACAGAATATTTGTCCATATGACAATATTCTGAGAATATACCTCTTATAGTTATATTCTATTAACAATTTCTTATAAATTGTTATGTAACGATTCACCCCGTTTCAGCGACTACCAAAAAGATGGGCCTGCCTGTACTTGTAGTTTTGCTTGCAACAAAGTGCGGTGCTAGATTTGGCTTAAAGGTGCGTAATTTTATGTTTGTTCGTCAGCAATGATGCACCCACTATAAGCTTTGTATACAAAATTTTCGTGTCCATCGGGCTGTCGAATTGTACGCGTGTGCTTATACGATCGAACTACGATCGTACATAGGTCTGCTGGATACGGCACTCGACTCTTTCAATCGGCTTTTCATTTTGCGAAAACCACAAGACGTACTCAATCTCTCGTATTGCTTGCAGTTTGTCAAACATCTCCATGGACTTTCGCCTGGTATTTTACGGCGACGGTGAGCGAGACATCACTCTAGGCGACGACTGTGGGGAATATGACGGCATTGACGAGCCCGAGTTCACCGACGCATCGTCTTCACTGATCGAGGCTGATGAGTCCTCAGTCGACTGCTGTTTCGAACTTATACCACCAGAATGCAGAACGTTCGTCGCGGATAGCACTGAGGGTATAGGAGCCGGCAAGAAAGCAGGATCTAAGGCATCCAAATCGAAAGCGTCGTCTGCATCGAGCATGGGTAGATCGTCCAGCACCATCTCCAGTTGTTCATCTGATGGTACATCAGTAATCAATTGGTTCGACACTGGGGGCATCACTGACATATCCTGCATCGTCGAGTCAGAAGATGCATTTGTTGCCGAAGCAGCAGTTGATGCTTTCTCCACGATATTAGCGAGTGGTTGCATTGATCGCGTAGTTTCCTTAACAATAAGCGCAGTCTCCGTGTGTTTCACCTCGGCGGGTCCTTGGACAGCAACTGAGACTGCACAAGTAGCTGCTGCCTGTGGTCCAAGGAACGAAGCACCATCCGTTGGCATCATATCAGCAAAAGACGAAGCTACCTTGGACTTCTCGGATGATGCAACCGTTGTCGTTTCAGCAGGTGACGACGGAGCCCGTGGTGGGTGCTACAAAAGACAAACATACTAACGGTAAGTCATTTCCTTTGTACAATACCTTGCACACAAACCATGGAAGCAGCGTATACGTACAACGCGCACGGGGTACTCAGACAGCAGCTCCAACGGTGCGTCCAGATGCTGTCGCACGCTGCGCGTCATTCGCCCTCCTTCACCGGCTCCCCGCTTGCGTCCTATACGTTTATAAAGCAACAAAAACACATTAACACTCCAGTCATTGATAAATGCATTCCCCCGTCTCTTTCGTATTACCTTTCAGCTTCTTACTCGCCCCCCTTTGAAGAGCTTCCGTAGGGTTCTGTTCCCCAAAACGTCAGGATTCAACCCGCAAAAAGGCGTATCAGCTGCGATATTGTACTGTAAAACGATGTGATCAAGTTGTACGATGAAACTGGTGGGCAAACCTCTTGATCTAATGCACACGACCAATTATAGGGGAATCGATCCACAGCACGTCAGTACACTTCCTCTCCCATCGGTCTCAATGATCGTACCGGGAACCCACTTGGGGATACTCAGGTGACCCACTGTCTTGGTCTCTTTTGTCCATTTACGCGTTCGAATCTCCGAAACGGGCGTGCTGGGCAGGGCTCCGTACATCGCTGCATGACCTCGTCGGAACGTCCGGGCTGACATCCCGCTTCGATCGTTTAGTGTTCGTACTTAAGAGGCAAAGAGTGGTGCGTCCCACACCGCGCTCTGCCGGATTGGCACACAGTTGTTCAGTCTGTTCCATAGTCTCTGAGGGCGACAGACCTCTCGTTTGGCATATTAGCTGCGAAAGTGACGACAGTGTGTGAAAAACAAGGCGATCGAGACATAGCGCGTACGATAGTAGGAGACGGAGCTTACCGACCGAGTGCAGCGTCACTTGTAATCTGAGACAAAGCCCAGCAATTACACAAAGGCAAAGTGATTGACACTCGTGTTCATTCCATGGGCTATTTACGCTACGGCAGACACGTCCGTCCGTCTATTTACTCGAGCCATTCGTTCTCCATTGTCCTTTTCCTCATTCTGTCTTTAAATACAGTCGCTATCTAATGTTCACCTCGTACTCTTCCACATTACTACTACACGGCACCTTGACTTACATGTTTACTTGCTACTAATACGCGGCGGCTCGTCGCCCCACCCGATGGGCTACTTGATCCATCCACTTGCACTCACATCCAATCATCCACTCACAGATACAACCAGCACGCCCTGACTGTGACACACGCGGCCTCGTCGTCCCAAAATTACCCAAGAATCATGCGCTGATGTTCGGCCAATAGATCTGCTAGGCGGAAGAGCTGGTGCAGCCGCGGCCGCACGTCCTCCACATCTTGCAAACTCGTCAGTACTTTACTAAGAGACTCAAGAGTCCGGTCCTTTTTGTCGTCGTAGAAACTTGGCACGGGGATGCCGTTGCTCGGCTGCATGAGGAACGACACGGGGTTGTTGTCCACAAGAATCACACGCGACAAGTCCCGACCGTGGATGACCCGAAGGTCCTTGAGAAACATGCCTTTGTGCTGCCGACAGGACTCGCGGAAGAACCGACCGGCAAAGATCGTGCCCTTTGGGTCAAGGACGTCGAGAATGGGCTTCCCGTACGCCTCAAGGCCGGCGGTAAAGACGTACACGTCATAGTGTTTGGCTGCTTCCTCTAGAAACCGGTCGAGACCCGGTCGTTTGTTGACAATAGCCCGCTCGCCGTCGTCCAAGACGATCTCGAACGAGTCGCTGTACTGCTCCGTCTGCTCGGGCCGGTGCTCTTGTTGGCGGTAATCCTCCACTTCGTTCCGGAATTTACTGTGCACTAGACACTCGTCCATGTCAAGGACAAGCGCAAGGCGCTCGGACGGGACGCGCACGTGAGACCCGCTGCACTTCTTGGCAGCTGCGACTTTGTTGGCGAGTCGAGAGCACGGAGCACGGGGCGAAACCGGGTACTGGACGACAGTGGCGCTCATTTTAGGGACGATCGAGAGGTGGGAGGTGAGTGCGAAAAGAAAAAGGAGCACAAGGCGGTCTTCTAGTCGGCAGCTTGATGTTATGGAGACTGACACGGCAAAAGCGAAAGTGAGTGCTCGTGGCTGCTGGTGTGTACGTTGGGGGAACAGGAATAGTCGACGCTGGCTCAAGCTGCTGTAACGGAAGCCGTGGGGATCGGGAGCTGGACGTTTAAGTCAGGCGGATGGTTGTTTCGCTTGGGAGCAAATTCAACAATGAGAGACGCGATGGACATGGAGGACAAAGCGCCACATTCGAAAGAGAGGGAGCAGGAGGAGAAGGACTCGAGACAGCCAAAATGTCCTGAAATGATTGTGCTACCGACAAACGCCCGAAAGTACCGATAAGAACGGCAGACAGTAGGAGCAGTAGGAACGAGCAATAGTAGTAGTAGCAGTAGTACCAAAATCTCATTGCCACGCGCTTCAATGGCAGGTTTAAAGTGCAGGTTGTCGAACAGTCGGCAGTTGAGCTTGGCAAAGCAATGGCGCCCCCTAGTGTGTCACGCAAAAGCGGCCTGGATGCGTACCTACGGCCAACTGCAAGCCCCGCTGGTGTCCCATCTGCGAAAGCAGTAGTTCTGCGCCGCATCACGGGCGCTGCCTTAAACGGCTGATGGAGTCGTTGAAAACATGTTCGAATTTCTATTTAACGAAGTGTCACTTGCTCGCTACTGTACAGTCAGTAGTCCGCCAATACCTCGAGGCTCTAGATTGTCCACAACGCGAGCAGAACTTGCACTGCAATTACGCAAAGTAAAGGGCGATCGACCGGACTATAGCTCGAAAAGGACCCTGCCGTGAAATAGCATTGCGAGCGCTCTTTTTCGGCGTAAAACTGGGAGCTGCTGTGCGGGTAGGGGAGCAACGTGTAACCGCCGTTCGTCTTCGGCACGCGCAGTCCCGTTGTTTTAAGCTTGACGCGCGTGGATTGGTCAGCGACCGAATCCGCTGTGCGTAAAAATGATCCGGATCATTTTTGATCCGTAAATTGACCAATCCGCGCGCGCATCCGATAAAATAACGCTGAGCTGGTGATTCCGCGCCTGTCCCGACAGATCCAAGGCACCAGTCGTCACGAAAGTCCCGAGGCCGAAAACGACAAAGCGAGCTATGCCCACCGCTCATTCGCTGCGGTGTAAAGTGACGAAGGATAATAATTGACTCTTTATGCTTCGATATATCATCATCAGGAGTTGTGACGACCACAAAATCGTCTTTTTCCGAGTCCGTCGGTCTGCGGTTCCAGTTCATGGAACATTACGTGAGCCGTGCCGCAGCATACGTAGCAACACTGGATTCTGCCACCGCGGGTGCGTGCGCCTTTAACGGAAGCCGTTGGGTTGGCCTTTCCTCCAAGATGCTCATTGAACGTTACTAGCTCTGATATCTGGCACGATGACGTGGTGCTCTGATCCATAGCACAGGTGACACGATACTCCAAGCAGACTGTGGTACACGAGCCTCAACCGAAGACGCCAGGAGTAAACAGAACGTCGGCCAAGCGGAGCCTCGATGTTGGGTGTAACCTCAAGGTCTCCCTTGAATAATCAGATCTCATGCCTCCACGTCACCATCGTCGAGCCCAGTGCACATATGCAGTGGCAGTCTCGTTGCCAGCGAGATCGTGACGGTGGCACGGGCGACCTTTTTGGACGCCACCTCGCCGTCTGGTAGCCATGTCTTTCGTCCCTCTTTCTTTGCACCTTCATTCCTGTCGTCGATCATCATCATCGTCATCGTCATTTTATTGGATCGCGACCGCATGCTGTCCTTCTTTGCCATTCACTTCTGCTGTCGTCATGACCCTGTATCTTGCGTGGCTGCAGCACGGATTAGGCTACGAATCGATCAACAAAGCGTTCGTCAGCAACCGCAAATAAATTGGAAAAGCGTGGCTCAAGGCTCACCCCCCCTGGATAGCCGTCGATCTCACTACTAGGCGTGGCTTTCTCGATCCCACTAACTCAACGCGTCTACTCGCTACTATGTGAACAAGCACTCCACAAGTTGCTTCTTCTGCATACGTCCAGCCTTTCACTACATGCACACTTCAATCCGTCACATCTGCAGGAACTGTAAACGCTGCGGGAAGAAATGCACAAAAGCGCTTTTCACTTGGTCCTTGATACGTGTTGATCGGCATGCAGTTACATCTACTGCCATGCGTATGCGATACCTACGACATTTGCTATGGCAAATAGCGAACAAGTACGTTATAGTCAGTGGAAAAATGTTTTGACAGATCCTGCTGAGTACAGACAGGAGCTACAAACTTGAAGGCATGGAACTGTGGTCTGTGCCAAAATAAGACGTGAAAAGGGTCAAATAGTTTCCGCCCAATCGCAGAGGTTGTTCAATTGTCCGCTAGCAACGAATTTTGACTCACGGGCTTGATTAAAAGAGGTCGACGCAAGCTCGAGTGGATCGGTCGCAAATCGTTGAGGTCAGGATAAAGACAACTCAATCCTCATCATCGGAGCGCGGAAGTCATCCTGTGGATACTTAATCGATGTCTATTGATGCTTTTCGTAGTGCTCACAACGTCAATGTCAAGACACTATGACTACGCCCGTCGCCTCGTCATCGAGTGGACGGTGCCGTTTGAACACTACAATGATGCGGGTGGATAAAGACCGTACTGGTGATCTATAACATTGAAGGTGCAGAGTTGCGTTGACATCTATGAATTAGCAATCATTTCGGCACATTTGATACTTCCGACGATCCGGATCGCAGCTGATGCAAGATTTGGTTTGCCACCCACAATCTAAAATGCGTCAGTAGCAATGAGAAAGGACAATGTGCTGCCCACGTGTTGTTAGCTTGGCCAGTAGCTCTTCCTCCACTCCACATTCCAGACGAACTTGCTCAAGGCAGCGCTCAGTATGCAAATTGTGGATCTTCATGTATCAGAAAGCTGATTTGTGGGTAAAGGTAGATCGTGCGTCATCGTTTGTCGGTTCAATGTACTACCGCAATACCAGTTGCTCACATGATATCGCCAGGTCTGGCCGAGTCTCAAATGATTCAGTCCTCGGTCGACGGTGGCGATTCAATTGCAACGCGCATGAGAACAGCGGTAAGACGGATCACATCGAAGTACAAGTCCGGTGGTAGGAGAATAGGTACCCCAAATGGCTTAGTATATGGAGACGCCGGTAACGCTACCGGGAGTTAGCAGCAGGCATTCGTCTTACCGCACATAACGCGGAACATGATGTAAATTGCATTGATCGGATCCGGCCTATAAGACTGCTACCGTGTGGATGCAGGTATGGCACCTGCAGGTGCATACTCAATTATATTGAACTCTGGCATCACGCATCTCCCTTAACGGACGGTACCTCTCCACCCTGGGTACGTTCGCTTGAGGCTGAGCATAGTTTGTCAATGCATAGATGCAGATTGCCAGCATCGAGACAATCTTTCTCCAACCTTAGTACCAACCATAAGTTGGTACTCGCGCGAAGTATATGAAAGTTTGTTACATTAGCTAGAGGTATGATCGCACCCGCAGCACGTGATCTTGAGGCGCAATGGATTGGTACTAAAAATCTTCTACTCTTTTCCCGGAATCAAGCAATCAGTAGCTCGTCATTCAGGAAACAATGAGGTTATTGTATCCAGCAGTGCGCCTCGTTCTGGTCACCATGACACCGAGTCAACGCGAGCAATTAATTTGTGCTCCGGTCTACTTTGAATAAATGGACATTATAAACGTCATCCACAAGTATTTTCGTCTTCGGATGTGACATTTCAGTCTTAATGTAAAGAGTCTTCTTTTTTCCACTTGCTGGCCTTGCTGCTATTTTCGATTCAGATCGAATTCCTCAACTGTTTTGTGTCTGTTGTTGAGCGCGCCGGATGCACCCAAAAAATGACATTTCGTTGTGCGATTGTGGTATTGAGAGATTGAAAATGTCCGTCTACGGTGTACATGTCACGACCATTGCAAAATTCTAGGACAACGATACAATGAATCCCCTCGTTGTATTCAAATTTGTAGTGTACTACTCCGTCTTCTTGCTGACTGTACGGATCGATAGTCCCAGACCGCATTCCTTTTGCACTTCATATCCTCCCATGCAACTTGTCGTTAATCTTTATGTCCGACTCAGCCGCTTGCTGATCTTGCGGTTCACTAAAGCTTGATTTGCTGTGGTGTCTAGATCACGAAGCTCAACATGTGCGAAGCTCAACGCGCTCTGTCGGTATCAAGTGATCACTTTGCCAACTCCTACCAACTCTGCACTGCTGGTGTCCGTCTTTCTACCCGACTCCAGACTTTCGGCACGTATCAGCAGCAAGCATGGTATTGCCTCCTTGAAGTACGTAAAAGGAAGCTTTTACCAGGCATGTCGATCGTGTATCAAAACAAGGTCTTTCGACCCGGTAGTGGAGCAAGCGAGACAGGACGTAGGTCAGTAGTAGTTGTACGCGCACACGGCGGCAGATTGGTTCGGCGGATTGGCACGTACAGGCGGCATGTGAACGAGCTAAGATGTATGGACACGAAGGTTATTGTAGCACGCAAACCCCAGCGAGTTACTTTTCATCACAAGATGTATGAATCATTGTGGAGGTCGCAATGGATTTCGTTGGCAAAGACCTGATGAAATTCAGACTCTACCTGTACCGTCTTTCTCATCAAACTAAAGCCCGATGATACCTGTAAAGACCACAGCTACTGCTCTAATTATGTCTTGTGAGAGAAAGGAGGTGGCGTCCAGGTCAGAGGCACTCGTGGAGCGCAGCCGTTGTAAACACCAACCCCCAGTTTGGGCAGGGAGGGTCCGCAAATGTACTTTGACCACATCTGGAAATGGGATATGCACCAAATCCTTGATGTCGCGCAAACAAACGATAAAGTCAGCACGTGTCTGACTCTGTCGCCCCGTACCCACGTGCCCATACAAATCATGCGTATCTGTAAGGTAACACGGATCGCCTCTACCACTTATCGCACTCTCTGTCATTTGTGGATAGGTACAATCAGTCACAGTCACCTTTATTAACATAGCCACGCGTTCCCTTGCCACGAGTACTGGTTCGCATCCAGCTTTCGCCACATGGTTTACGAATGGATCATACGTTGCGACTGCGATACGACTGAAACATTATGACTAAAGCCAGATGCTGAATACCAGCTTCACCAGACCGGGAGCGTCTCTAGAAAGCATACTTTATACATTTCATGTCTCGCAGAGACAGGACGAAACTCTCACCCAAGTGTGCACAACGGTACCGAGCACGAGCAGCGGACGGATTGCGTGCTAATGAACTCGAACGACAACGAACGGAGATGAATGGTTACTACAACAGCCTATGCTGACATCGTGTACTAAACTGCAGTATTCTTTCTTGCCTACCTGTATATCTGCAACGAGCGCTGGCTGTAGCCGCATGGATGACACCGGGTTCGCACATTTCGGTCTCGTGTAATAATAGACATGAAACTCCGAAGACACTAAATGGCGAGTCGCAGCAAGTGCAGCGTGTAATCGAGAAGGCAACAATGTACTAATTTAGAATGATATCGATCGATCAGTTGAAGCTTCTAGCACAGTCCAGTGTTATTGTACATACGTGCAACACTGTCATCATACTATGTGCCTGCTACACTTTACACGAGTTCCTTGTCCAGTTAATGTGACCTGTATCACGAGTGCTATCGATCGCAGCAAGCAACGGCCTGACGAATCGAGAAAACGTTGACATCTACAACATGATAAGATCGTAGTAGATGCTCTACAGACGACGCGTTATACAAAGGCTGACGCAAACTTAGATTAGCTGAGTCGCTGCAAAATGACGAAGTAGCGATCAAGTAGTCCCGGGCCCCCGTCGTCGATATCGTACTCGTGAACATTCGTGCATATAGAATCCAAGAAGCAGTGCTGTTGCATCCATAGTGAGCACAATAGATGCAGAAGCGCCCTTCAGTTGGTCTTGCTGCATCGAAATAGGTATCGCTAGGTTCAAAGCCCAATCAAATGCAGCAGATATGCCTAGGACAACAATATGCAAGCATGTTGTTTTCGGGTTTGGAAAAGTATGTTCGATTACTTAGGAAGATACTGTGCAGCCGATAAAAATCAGGAGCATTTGCAATACAAGATAGGTCTACAAAATAGCATGAAAGCGATCGTGGTGATGCGCTGCGGTCGTACCCATGACGATGCTGTCCTGTGGAATGTAAGAGCTACAGATTCCAACGATGTGGTATCTGCATCTGAGCTTGCTTACACATGACGTCAATCATGCGCCTACACAGAGCATGGACGATGTACGAAGCTTGGAAAGATTTTTTTTGTCGCTAACGGATATCGAGATGGCAGTGTACTTTTGATACACTACTGTCACAGTTCTGTCTCTCTGCGAGAAAAACTTTTGAGGTCAACAAATTATACACCACCGGTCACATCTCTTACTATTTCGCACCGCGACCACATACTCCGCCATAATGTCGCCTATGTACGAGCTGGTATATGGCTGGAAGGAAGTTGTCTTCTCGCTGAAATCAAAGTTCATTCCCTTAAACTGTTGCCCTTCTTCTAAAACATTAGCTAATCGATGGGCTTGAACTGCCCCGTTACATCTCCTTACAGCACACACGCACACGCACTGACAGGCAATAGTGCTTGTGTTCATTTTGCAATTTTGCGAACGCTATTGTATCCGGAGTAAAAGGATTTACAGACTTTACAATGAGGCATTACTCTCGCACTAAGGATGAGCTAACGTAAAGGGTTACATGGTAGAACTTGACACGCGAGGCAGCTGATCTTATGATGCAACACTCTAATTAAGGTCACACAATATCGGGATGCCATTGACGATACATAGGAGTGAAGTTGGACATGTGGATCGCCTGGTCTTGCGTCGACATCGCGCCGATCTTCACCAAGTTGTGCACGCATAGACTATTCTGGATTCTGTGCAAGCCGAATACATCATTGCATCGGGTATACTTACGATCGATCGAGGAAATTATTTATGGCCGAGTATGGTTGCCAGTCATCGTCTTGTTTTCTATCATCGACCTCCTCCGACCTACTTCCTGACCAGGTCCATCTGGCTTCGACGATAATCATCGTTCCCTTTTATGCATCATCACTCCGTGGCTAAGACGATATGATCAAAAGTCCAGCTCCAGTTTTAAATCTAGAAACGCCGCTCATCGAATTCTTTCTCACAAATAAAAACATCGACCTATCTCAATCTACTATCGACCACAAAAATCCACTAACTTCCCCATCCTCATTTATCATGTATCGGAAACGTGCTGTTTAAGCTAATAATCGCGACCCCCTTTTATCAGCTTTGACAGATCTTCTGCTCTCTCTCCGTAACAAATCCCATCAATCGCTCGGACCGTCACCCGTCCACTTCTCCCTCCCCCTCCGTCCACGAGCTCTTCCCCCACGAGCTCTTCCCCCACGAGCTCTTTCCCAGCAGTAGCAGCAGCAGCAAGAAGAAGAGCACAAGAAGAAGCTCATGGACCCATCCGAAGTCACGGTCCTCGTGGTCGAGGACGACGAGTTCACGCGCATGGCGACCATTGACATCCTCAAGTCGTGTCGCTATACGGTCTTTGCCGTGGAAAACGGGCAGCAAGCACTCGACGTCCTGGTCGCAAACCACGCTAAGTTCGATTTGGTCCTTTGTGACGTGATGCTGCCGGTGATGACCGGCATCGAGCTATTGGATGAAATCCAAAAGCTTAGTGCAACTTTAGGCCACATTCCCATTGTCATGACGTCCAGTAACGAAGAGATGGACGTGGTCACGTCGTGTCTCAGCAAAGGCTCGAAAGATTACCTGATCAAGCCAATTCAAGTCAATACTGCCAAGACACTGGTGCGGCACGTGTGGCTCAGTCGGCGCTTGGAGCGCACGTCCAATCGGAGCATGTGGCAGGACATTGAGATCCTGCGGACAATTGGGAAAGGCACGCACGGTACTGTTGTGCTCGCGCGGCGGAAATTAGATGGCGCGGTGGTGGCGGTGAAGCGCGTCCGGATTTCGCAAATTTCGGAAAATGGACGAAAACAAGCGGACAATGAAGTGATTTTGCTCAAGTCGCTCTACCACGTGAACATTGTGCGGTTTTACGACCACTTTCTAGCTGACGACGAGCTGAATATTGTCATGGAGTACTCGGACGGTGGGAACTTGCGGCAACTGGTAAAGTTGCGCGCACGAGAGAAAATGGGACCGTTTCCAGAGCCAGTGATTATGAGCTGGTTTGCCCAGTTGGTGCTTGCCGTGGCGTATATCCACGGCAAGAACGTACTGCATCGCGATTTGAAAGCGCAGAATGTTTTCCTGACGCATAAGAACGTGGTGAAATTGGGTGATTTTGGCATTTCAAAAGCCTTGGCTGGAGATGATACAGCGAATACAGCGTGTGGTACACCGGAGAGCATGTCGCCTGAAATCTGTCGAGGTGAACCGTACGGCAAGAAGTCGGATATTTGGTCACTGGGGTGCATTTTGTACGAGATGATCATGTTACGACGGCCATTTGAGGCGTCCACGCTTCCCGAAATTTTTTCCAAAATTTGCAAGGGCGAGTTTCCATCGATCTTCCCGTCGTTCTCGCGCGAACTACGTCTTCTCGTGCAGCTGATGCTGCAGCAAGATGCGTCCAAGCGTCCATCGATCGAAGACATTTGTCGATTTCCGTTTGTGCAAGCGCCCATCCAGGCGTTTCTGTCCGAACATGTGTCGGAATTCCAGGAAGCGCTGGAGCTCGAGGCTAAACTGCACCAGCCTTCTTTGTACAGCATGGGTGCAGGCAATCCACCCGTTTCGCCTGTATCACCAAGCTTACGTCGCCGCAATCACAACAGTAGTAGCGAAACGCCATCGAACGGGTTTGGCGACTCACTTTTAGAGTCGGTTTCTCCTGTTTCGACCCGTAGTGATGGCTCGAACAAAGCTGGATTCAACAATGGAAATTTGCGCACTTCCGCGATTGCTTCTGTTGCCATTGGACTTGCTGCCAAACCGGTCCCTAGTTCTGGCCGTCCGCTGCAAAATAGTGACTTAGCAAAAATTTCGGCGGACTCTCCAGGATACATAGAGGATACTTTTGCCGACAAGCTGCGCGCACAGGTAACTATTGGCGACGTTCGTGTTGGACTTTTCACTACATACACGGCGTGCGTTTCTGCGAGTGAGCTAGTAAATGTACTGAAGACAAATTTCAAGAAGACAAATGAGGAGGCCGCTTCGATTTTGTCTGAGTATTGGAAAAATCGCGTACTGAATATCGTTTTTGCGGAAGATATGTCGCATCCGGACTTAGCTGCTCAGGACACGTACCTGCGTTTTCAAGTCGATGAGCTGTTCGTCCCGCTCAACATGAAGTATGTGTGCATTGAAGATGTCCGGCAGAGCGCCATGGAAGTCTGCCTGCGAGTTCGTGAAGCGATTGCGGAATTGCATGCGCTGAAGTCTTTCCCGCGCGGAATTGCTACCGGATTTAGCTTGTCGAATCATTTGTTCATGACGGGAAACCAAGCCACCGTATACTTCGATGCCCCGCTGTGTCAAAAGTATCGTCGCTTCTTGAAGCTCGCGTCGAAGTTGCAAAAGGTGGACGTTGGTGGTCTTCCCAAGCATGAGCGCCAGCCATTCTTCATCAACATTTACAATGTCATGGTGCTTCACGGCCTGATCGAGTTTGGCGTACCGCAGAATATCGGCCAGTACAAGGCTTTCGAGAGAGACGTGGCTTACACGTTTGGCGGTCTGGACTTCACATTGGGTGACATTAAGCACGGTATTTTGCGGTGCAACCGCAAGCCGCCGTCGAACTACTGGGAACGGCAGCTGCAGGCCCAGGACCCAAAATTGCAGTTTCGACTGCACATTCGTGATCCTCGCTCGTTATTAGTGCTGATCGACTGTGTAGAACCTCTTCCAAACGCTGAGGATGTTCCGATCCTGAAGCCCGGGCGGACGGACACGGACCTGGAGGAACAAGCGGAGAAATTCTGTAAGCGCTTGGTTGAAATTGACCAGCGAGCCGGGGAGATCGTGCTGCCGCGTGTACTTCGTATCTTCCGTGACGACTTTGGGTCTTCGGAAGCTGAAATGGTGTCGTGGCTGGAGCAGTACATGGATAACGTGCCAGCCAATCTTGTGAACTATCGCGTCAGATATCGGACTGGCATCTCGTCGTGATTGGAGCGTTGACGTGGCGCTCTCTTGATGTGCGCTGCAGTTGTGACATGGACGGAAGCGCGCATCTTTGCTCACAGTCTTGTTCAGGCGCGCGGGGGTCCCAGCGATTATGTGGATCACGTGTGGTGGAGCAATGCCAAGTCGTAGTGATCAGCCTGTGTGGTGCATGTTGGGACTCGACCAAGCCACGGACGCGTTTCCAACGATATCGCGTCGGCTGGATCGGCGAGACAACCGATTTGCGAGTTGCAACGTGCATTTTCTATGCTAACAAGTGTCAAATTGTTTTTGCTTGTGTCCGTGGAGTAGTATCTGAACGAGGCGTTTTCGCTGGAGGTTTGAATCGCGTTTGTATCGATTACCCCGCTCGTACTGGTCCGCTAACAGAAGCGAAAACGGAACGAATTAGACGACGAACAAAGATGTTCAAAGGGGGGCACGTCGATGACTTGGCACTATGAGCAGTATGAGGCAGCGATATGGCTAATTTGGTTCGAATTGGGCTAGACTGGCTGATGTTATGTAAGCAGCAAACACTGTGACGAGGCGGTCGTAGCAATGGGGTTTGTAGAACGCGACAATGCATGGCGAGAGCTCAGGAGTCTCGTGCGCTTCTATAGGATGTTGCACTTCACGCCAGACTTCTTTTGTGGCTTCTGGGTAGGTTGAGGTCGCTCCACGCGCGCGGGACGCTCAGCTTTCCTGATCTCACGCACCACTTGGTAGAAGCACTCCTCATTCAATATCTGCCAGACGACAAGAAGCGATATCAGCCCTCGCTCCCACAGTATCAAAACAAAAAGAGTCGAACGTACTCTCTCTTTGGCACTCGTCTCCATAAACGCGCAACCCCACCGGCGCGCAAGAGACCTGCCCTCATCAACCACCACCTGCCGCTGCACCTCCAGGTCGCACTTGTTGCCAACCAGCACGATCGGAACATTGTCCACATCCTTCGCGCGCAGGATCTTGTCCTTGAACGCGACAATGTCGTCAAACGAGCTGCGACTGGTTATGCTATAGACCAGCAGAAACCCTTTTCCTTCGCGCATCCACTGCAACAAAAAGAGCAGCAACCGTGCATTAGCAACGTCCCGTTAGTGTCTGTCCACCAGCGTCTCGTGACAGTAGCGTACCTGGTCTTGCATGGACGTGTACTCTTCCTGGCCAGCTGTATCCAGAATATCAAGCAGCGCAGGGCTACTGTCAATTGTCGTCTGCTTCCGGTAACTGTCCTCTGTTTCCAAGGAATTGAAAAGACAGAAAAGGTACGCTCTCAAATACGTTACACACATGTGGGACACGATCATGAAATAAAGCTCATGAATGCCCGGCAGGCCGCACCGATAGTAGGGTCATAATCCTCGAGGAAATTATCCGTCACGAGACGAATCGTCAGTGCCGATTTGCCAACACCTCCACTGCCCAGCACCACCTGGACAAGATATCAACACAAAAGCAGTAGAAAAACCCACACACCCACCCACCCACAACGCGGTTGATAGAAATAGAAACCGACAGAGAAAACCAAAAAACATCCGTGAGGTTTTTTAACATGATAGCAACAGGGAAACTCAGCAGCCCGCGGCGTGTGGATCGCGGGTATACAACGACACCGACACGCAAAACGACCGCCCCAACAGCTGTCGCTCGTACCAGTTTGTACTCCTTGTTATCACACATTGGCCACAGGCGAACGAGCGGCACGAGACGGCAAGAAGAAGGACGAGGACGAGGACGAGGAGGAGGAGGAGAGGAAGAAGCAGCAGCAGCACCGAGTGACCGAGACGCTTTGGGGCTCTCGTCTCTGAGTCTCTTTCTCTCTCTCTCTCTCTCTGTGTTGTTCTCTTACTGGGCCCTCGCCTGAAAGGCGATGTCGAGAAAAGACGCCAAGAGGGTGCGGACGGGACGACGATTGGGGGAAAAGCCAATGAGCCGAATTTCCACCAATCGCATGCGGCACGTGGGTACAACAAACCCGCGACCTGCATTTCGTTCGTGCAACCTCCACACCTTCATGCGGTCGCTATGGCAACGGACCGCCGATCAGATGGACGGGGCGCTCGTGGCGACAAGTTCTCTCGCTGCTGCTGCTGCTGCTGTTGGCGCTATGGCCACTTGCTTTCCACAGGCGTTAGCGCCTCTTGCTCTCATGGGTACGATTGGGTACTCGAGCTCCTCTCTGTGCTTTGCACTGTAGCCATTGCCATACGGTACTAACGTCTCGCTCTCTCTCTTCTCTATCGCTGTGTTGTACTCTAGTCGGTCTGCCTATGGCCATATACGGCATCATTGCACTACTGGAGATGATGATCGTGAGCACCAAGCGCAGCTGGATGCAGCAAAGACGGAGACAAGCGCCGCGCCGTGTCTTAGAGCTGAGTCGAGTCTTGTACGAACAGCTGGACGGCGAGCTGCTCGAGCTGCTCATGAGCAATCGGAACTTCGATAGCAATGACTACGAGCGCTTGATGCGACTCGAAGCAATGAACGGACGTCCAACTGTTGGTGCTACGCTGCAGCAGGTTCAGCAGCTGCCGGTTGTTACAGTGACGTACGTTCTGAGAGTTTTTTCTGCATCTCGTGATTGATAGTTCATCGCTTGTACAGCGCTTCGAGAGCAGCGGTATGAGAGCTGTGCAAGGACGCTATTGACGTTTGCTGTACTTGTGCGTGTCTGTCTGTGTACATTGATGTATGTGTCCATGTATTCTAACTCTAGAGCGAGCATGGTGCAAGCGTCCGAGAACGCCAGTTGCCCAGTGTGTCTGAGTGCGTTCCAAGTCCACAGCCACGTGCGGCTCCTGCCGTGTTTCCACCGCTTCCATCTCGAATGCATCGACCCTTGGCTTCTGGAGAAACCCCAATGTCCAGTCTGCAAGTTCTCTGCCATCGTCTAGATCGAGGAGACGTCGTCTCGTCAGTTCGTCCCGAATACGTACCCACTTGTCACTTGTAACAACAACAACAACATGTACCCTCCCCCCTTTACTACCTCTACAAACACATACCCTCGCGTCACCTTCGCCCCACCTCCCCGTCCCTCACTCTTGAAATCCCCCTCGTGTCGTCACTCATGACGACGCAGTCGGCGGCCGCCAATTGGCGCAACGTCTCGCTGCCCACCGCCGACGCCAAGGCCCCGCGCGCGTCCTCCACCACCACCAGCAGCAGCAGCAGCTCCAGACGGTCCAAGTCCCAGCCCAAGAAACAGACGCAGCCACCGCCTTCAGCCAGCCACGTCAAGGTCCAAGCCGCTCCTTCTGCTTATGACCGCGGCGTCGCTCGAGCGCGCTCGTTCACGGCCACGGCAACGGCCACAGAGCTCGAGACGCGGCTCCAGCAGCTGCTCCGTCAGCACCAGTTCCTGGACGCGGCCTTCCTCATTGCAGCCAGCACGCATTTGAGCGCGCGCTTCGAGACGGCGGACGTCGCGCGGCTGATGCTGGACCAAGCCAAGTCTCCTGTCGCGCTGGAACAAGCGGCGCAGCTGGTGCGGGACCTCAAGCTACAGCAGAACGACGCGCTCGTGACGCTGCTGATCAATGAACTGGTGCGCGCCCAGCAGTGTAGCGCTGCCGTTCGCCTTGCACAGGAGATGGTGCCTGACTTTGAGCAGCTACAGGAGAAGAAGCAGCAGCTGGGTGGTGGTGGTGCTGCTGCTGCTGTGGAGCGGCCGTGCTGGACGCCGGTGGCGTTGATTCAAGCCATGGTGCGTGCTCGAAAGTATCGAGCCGCGTTGAAGTTTGCCAAGCAATTTGGACTGCTGGAGTTGTTTCCCGCCCCTCAGTTGGTAGCTGGGATGCTAGAGGTCAGGAGCTGGGACGAAGCGGTCTCGAGTATTATTGAGATGCAGCTGTTTCGGGAGTTTCCAATGGCGTCACTCGCTCTTGAGATGTTGCAACATCGACAGTGGTCACTGGCTGTGAAGTGCGTGAACAAAATGTCGGACACTGTTGCGAGGAAAAGTGAGTATTATGAAGCGCTCGTGCGCGCAACAGCAGACGTGGGAGACTTTGTGACGTCGTTGCGGTATTTGCGCGAGTTTAAGCTTGATGAGAGAAGTACCGACGCGACAAGGCACTTGCTGCGGTCCTTGGTGGATACGATGCTTGCACATGGTGAGTTTTACAAGGCGATCAAGTACGCGATCAAGTTCAAGTTGGCCAATAATCCGCTAGATGGTGCTGCTGCTGCTGCTACGAATGGTGAAGAGCCAGTTTTGACAGAGCAAGATGACACGGAGTATTTGCCACAGTACAATGTGGAAGTGCTCATTCGTAGAGCCATTGAGGGTGGACAGTTCCACGTGGCAACAACATTTATCAAGAGGTTACGTCTTCGCGAGGTATTTGCTGACGAACTTGTGCTAATTGAGAACGCACAGCAGAAGCGGCTACTGGAATTCCGACAATACGCACAATTGCGGCTCGCACAATATCATGATCCAGCAGTGCAGCAAAACCTACAGGCTTTGCTGGGTGGTCAAGCAGAGGATGAGATGGTTGAACTGGAGCCGGTTGAAAGGGAAGTTGTCCTTTCAGAGACAGAGGAGGTCTTTCCGCGCAAGGACAAGGCGCAAGCCGACAAAGAAGATGAGTGTGAAAGTGAATTTACTGAGGAGGGACGTCATGCGCACACCAATACGATCGGTGAAGACGAGCAGCAGGAGTTTGATGCGCATGCTGAGACTGTAAGTCAATCGCGCTTCGGATTCGCTCGGGAGACGTTACCTACACCGCTATCAGTTCCAAGTGCTTCTGTCAGTCTGGACGACGGAATCCCGTTTTGTAGCAAATCATCACGGCCGTCCGGATCAGCACCTCCTCCAGGCTTGTCCGAGACCGAATATGTCGTTGATCGCAAACGCGACGATGCGGGTACCTTTAACTTTGCCGAGTTTGCCAAGTCCGTGCAAGCAAGCTGCCCACCACTCCCTCCTGGTGTCGCCCCACCGCTACCGTCTTTTCACCAACCACCAGCTCCGCAGGAGCAGCAGCAACAAGAGATGCAGCAGCACCAGCTTTTAGATCAGCAAGAGCACAGCAGAGCGATGTTTGGACAGTCCATGCTTCCCATGCCAAATGCTCAATTCATGAGCGGGCCGCAGGGATATCCCATGCCCCCAACGATGCCACCGCTAAATTCCATGCATTTCTCGCGAGGAAACGCTACGCCTGATGCGATGCAGTCACGTGGTTACGTGGAGCCGCCACCTCCCCCTCTGCCCCCGTCGAACAGTGGAGGTGGCGCTTTTGATGTTGCTGCGCTCGCGATGCAATTCCACAACAAGGGTAGCAGCACTTGCCCGCCAGGTTTTCGCGGCTTCGGCGGTCCACCGCCACCGATGGCTCCCGTAGGTATTTTACCGATCGGCCAACAGCCGCAACTTCCCGCGGGCATGCCTCCTCTTCCTTTCCGTGTTCCCCTGCCGCAGTCGACTTTCAAGCCCAGCATGTCGTATGTGTCAGTCACGACTACTCGCCAAAAGAAGTAGCGGTATGCTGCTTCCTGCTTCACGTCAAGCTGGTGCTCCTGCTTCACATCCACCTCCAGCTTGCTGCTCAATCTACAGTTGCAAGTGGTGCACGTCGTGGAGATCGCACGTTCTGCTACTTTTTGGGGACAAAATTGTCCCAGTTCAAGAAAGCATCTACGGCGCTTTCGTGCTACCAGCGCCCTGGAGTCGCCCGTCGATGGCTGGAAGCGACCCAGCGTATCTCGAATGGAAGTGATATCTACTTGAAGCCATAGTCAAGCGACTGCTTATTTGCTGGCAATGCGTGGCGACACGGCTGGAAACGACCGAGTCCTTCAGCTGATTGTCGCTCACGGTGAAGTCTCGACGAGCAGCTACTACTGTACTGGTCCTGCGCTGACGTCCCTGTCAAGATTGGTGGCTTCTATGCGTAACCACTACGCACCGCGGCTTTGTCGTGCTGTTCGATCATTTTCTCTGCGGGACAGTAGCGTCACGAAGTTCTCGAGGTTTTTGATGCCAGGATGGACGACGTAAATGGTAGAAGCCGACTTCTGGCCTCCTCCAGCATGCCACCATTTGTGCACGATTTTTCAATATACGTTTCAATCATATTCAGAGATACCCTTTGATGCCTTGACACTCACGTTGGTCCATTAACCAATGACTGGGTGAGGAGTCGCGTAATTTGCTTAAAATTAACAGCCTCAGTCGCAAAGGCTTGCGAACAACGTAGTCGAGCAGCTGTTGATTTGCGAATGCTTGTTTATAGCGCGATACTCAATCCATCTATTTTTTTGGTTTTAGGCTCAGTGGGTACGTTTAGTAATTCTAGCGACCGTCCTCTTGTCTGAAAAGCACTCAAGTTGTAAGATACAAGTTTTAAGTGAATAAATTAAAAGCATTGCTAAACACACCCTACCTTCTACTAAATGCACCGCACGCACCCCACTGATACCAAACCAGAATACGTTTGTGCAACGGGGCTGATCCGCTGCACGAGACTTTCCGTGTAAAGGCACGAAAACGTCTAAGAAAGTGTAACGGGACACTCTTTGTTTAATATGCCACGAAACTTCACGTACACTAGTATGGCAGAGGAAGCTGATCATCTCAAACAGCTAGTCTGAGTAGAGGTAATAAGAGAGCTTGAATTAATATAGTTAAGTTATCAATCTAACTTCAGTCTTTAATTAACTATCTTAATCGACATTGTCGCATGACGACAATGTTAGAGGTAGGAGTTAAGTAAAGTAAACGACTTGTATATTACCGCGCACCAGACGCGTTTCGGCCCCCCGCTGGGGGCCTCATCAGTGGTTTGTCAATCTACAAGTGAGAACTATCCATACATCTAGCTGCTGTACGACCTACTATAATGCATAAAATTCTAAAGAACATTCTACACATACCCTATCTTGGGTCGAATCTCTGGAGTCGAAACCAGCGCATCATGCTCTTCCAACAGACAATCTGCTCATTACTCATTACGCGCGTCTAGCAGCGATTTTGGTGGTAACCTTGGTTGATATGTCTCTATCAACAATCTTTGATGTAATGGGGTGAATCGTTACATAACAATTTATAAGAAATTGTTAATAGAATATAACTATAAGAGTTATATTCTCAGAATATTGTCATAACGACAAATATTCTGTAGCACTTACGAGTAGTTTCTAATTGGTTGATATAGGTCATTATATCAACCAACGAAGACGCGCCACGACAGACGCACGCAATGAGTGGTGAGCAGATAATTGATTTACACATTTGTATTTAGACATAGTTAGATGAAGATAAATAGTGATTTATTGCAGACATTAACTATACTAAATACAGTTCTACTTTTTACTTTAACCAAGTACTCGCTTCTTCTTACCGTCTTCCTCTGCACGTACGAGTGTACGTGAAGTTACGAGGCACCGCCTTATTCTGTCATCAGAATAAGTAGCTTGTACTGTCACCAGTACAAGCTTCAGGGTGCCCCGTTACACCTGGTAGCACTTCGTAGTCCGTCCAAGGACCGCGTTCACATCCAACATGAATATGTTGGATGATGAAGATGACCAAAGCTTTCACGCTACGCGTGACGGCTACTCCCATTTGAGCGATGTCGAATGGGATGCGGTTGAACGAATGGGTTCGACCATGGGCATCCATGCTGTTAGCGTCATGCTAGAGGCTCTCAATAGAGATGCCCAACATGCTACTATCGCCAAGTTCATTCAAAATGAACTTGACGCAGAACGCGAGAAAGTAGCCTTGCTTCACGAACAAGGTTCTCAACAAGCAGAGTTGTTGAGAGAACAAGGTGCTCAACAGTTTGAACTGTTGAGACAGCAGCAGGCTGCTGCTGGTGGGTCGATGCACTCGCGTCGACCCGAGACTTTGAAGATTGACATCTCAAAGTATAGGGGGGTCGAAGAAGACTCCCTCTTGAGATGGTTCGTCGAATTGGATGACGCCATAAGGGCGCGTCGCATCGACGACGGGGATATGCAAGTTGCATTTGCCCAGTCAAATCTGGCAGGACGTGCCAAGACTTGGGCACTGGGGCTCAAGTTGCACGACCCATATGCGTTTAGGTCGTTGGAAGTCTTCAAGTTGCGGCTCAGACAAACGTTTGAACCGCCTAGAGCTGAGTTCAGAGCTCGAACCGAACTCTTGAAGCTCAAGCAGGGTAAGCGTGATGTGCACGCTTACGCCCAACACATACGACATCTCACGAGTTGTATAAGTTCCAATCCGGTGGATATACACACGTTGGTTTCGGTGTTCATGCAGGGTCTTGCGGATGGTCCCGTCAAGACTCACCTGTTCCGGCTTGAACTAGATTCACTGGAACAAGCCATTTCCATTGCGGAGCAGGAAGACTTCAGTCTGAGACAGGCTCGCGCCAGCTCGACATCATATCGTCAACCGAGACGATATGACAGCGGAGGTCCAGAGCCGATGGAACTCTGTTGTGTAGAGAGCGAGAAGGCTCGCCCTACAGACTACAAGAAGTTGCAGAGATGCAACAGATGTCAAAAGACAGGACACTACGCTTACGAGTGTAGTGCCCCTCGTCCAGTGTCTCGCGACACTGGGCGTAGTGACCGTCCACCCATGAGAAAGGGGCAGGGACGAGGGTCCGCAGTTGGTGCAAAGACGCAACAACGGGATGGACCGTCAAAAAACGGACAGGATCAGTAGGTGCGGAGCACCCTACTGGTCTAGCAACGTCAAGAGAATTTGTAGGCCTCTTGATGAAAGTTGCTCCCAACACACAAACGTTGTGCGTTGCTGCTCTAGGTAATGAGGTCTCACTCATTACCTTGAAACTCGAAGTGACGAATAAGTTGTCCCTTCGAGCTCTAGTCGATTGTGGGGCGTCCAACAATTTTGTGCGACGCCAATCGCTAGAAGATGGTCACTTTAAATTCAGTGAATGTGACACACCTCCTACGAGGATGACGGTACGTCTTGCGACAGGCGCATCCGTAACCAGTCATGAAGCGTATAGTGAAGATCCACTATACGCTAGAAGATACCCAATATGACGATGACTTTATCGTATTGGATTTGGATGACAAATTTGATGTCATCCTTGGAATACCGTGGCTCAGAAGGTACGAACCACGGGTAAACTGGCAACATCGGACAGTAACGATGCCTGCCGCTTGTTCATCAGATGGCCATCTGATGAACGTTTTGGAGCGTCCACAAGCGTGTGGATGTACTACGAGTGAGTGCGATGGCCTCACTTGTGGTACGGTCGTTAGTACGACTGCACAAAACCTTAGTGTACCAAACGGTTACACTTCGGAGCAAAGTTCCGGCGGCTGTGAGGAAACACAGGCTGCGCCAAAGGTCCACCACTCGAATAAGTCGGGTGGACTGGGACAAAGATGTATCCCTAGCGGGGAACATCTAGAAGAGAAACAATCGATCGCTCAGGTTAAGCGAAACGATAATCCTAGATCGACTGGAGAGTCTTTCGTAGAGGATCTCGCTGTGGTTGCGCAACCCCAGCTAGAGGAAGTAAAGGGAATAAGTCCCAAGATTACAAATACGGCGGAAATAAGTTCCCCGAAACCCGCGGGAATAAGTCCCCGGGAAGCCGAAGGACTAAGTCCTTCGAAGCCTGAGGGAATAAGTCCCCAGGAAATGACAGAGACATTGAATGTCATAGTCAATAACGGATCAAGTGTAGGCGCTTATACACTTGATCTGATTGCGCCTCCGAAGTTAACTTCGGAGATCACTCAGTTGCCAACGCTCGAACATAAAAGGTTCTTGCGTGATCTGCGTAGTGGCAAAGTCAAGCAGATATGCGTACTCGTCGCTGACGACGAGTGTGTAACCGAAATAAGGTCAGCAACAGTGTTTACTGAGAACGAGAGAGTTCTCAGTAGTTCATCTATGGACGAGAGTGTCCTAGATGAAAAGACACGAATTGAGCGATATGACTCCCAATCATGGGAATCGCTCAAGAAAAATCCTCTCTATGAAGATTTGGTTGAATTCAAGGATGTATTCCCTGAAACTGTTCCGTGCGAATTACCGAAGGATAAAGGTATTCGACACGAGGTCGAGCTTAAACCAGGCTCGAAGTACTGTGTCATGAAGCAGTGGCCACTGCCTCGTGAACAAGTACTTGCGATCGACAAGTTCTTTGCCGATCGTTTAGCTGCGGGCCATGTGAGGGAATCAACTTCCCCACATAGCTCTCCGACCTTCTGTGTGCGAAAAGCAACAGGAGGGTGGTGGATAGTGCACGCGTTCAACAAATTGAACGCTGCAACGGTACCGGCTCAGACGCCGATACCGAGGAAGGACGTAATCATTGATGGTATGTCAAAGAGTACCATCTTTTCGTCCATGGATTTGATGGATGGCTTCTATCAAATTCTTATGCGGGAACGGGATATACCCTATACCGCAGTTAGCACGCCTAGCGGCATGCTCTGGGAATGGCTAGTAATGCCACAAGGGCTCAGTAATGCCCCTGCCACGTTCAACAGATGTGTATCACATCTGTTGAGACCAGTACGAGAATTCGCGCCGAGTTATTTCGATGACGTATTCATCCATAGTCGGGCTATGGATGGAAAGTCGGACGTTGAGGTTCACAGGTACCACGTCCGACAGGTTCTTACAATCATGCGAAAGCATCAATTGTATGCAAACCTCAAGAAGTGTATATTTGCAGCAAGCGAAATACCACTTCTTGGGTGCATCGTTGGTAAGAACGGTGTACGTCCTGATCCCGAAAAGATCAAGGCGATCACCGACTGGCCTGTGCCGGTCGATGTCAAAGGTCTTCGAAAATTCCTTGGGCTAGCGGCGTATTTGCATAAGTATTCACGCAATTACGCCGAGATGACTGTGCACCTCTCTCGTTTGTTGAAAAAGAACGAGAGGTGGTTATGGAACGCTGAATGTCAGCGCTCCTTTGATGGTATCAAGCAGAGCTTGATACAATCCCCAGTCCTAGCAATAGCCGATCAGGACAGGCCATTTCATGTGGTCTGTGATGCCAGCGATTTCGCAATCGACTGTGCATTAATGCAGTACGATCTTGAAGGCGTTGAACGCGTCGTCTGCTATCAGTCGCGTCAGCTGCAACCAGCTGAGCGGAACTATCCAGTGCATGACAAGGAACTCCTTGCCATGAAGTATGCACTCGCGAAGTTCAGAGTCTATCTATTCGGAGATAGACCCTTCATTGTTTACACTGACCATGCGTCATTACGCACGGCAGTGAACAGTCCGCACCTTTCGCAACGAATGGCGCGGTGGTTGTCATTCTTTGCAGAATACAACTTTACGGTCGAGTACAAACCAGGACGACTTAATGTCGTCGCTGATGCACTCTCACGTCGTCCCGACTTTGAAACAGTCGCGAAACCCAACAGTGAGACAGTCACTGTTGCGGTTATGACGTCCTCAGTCCCATCTACAATGTTGTATGATGATGTGAGGCGGGCATACGCCCAAGATGGTGAGATAGTGAAGTTGTTGACACATCTCTCCCAACCATCTCGAGAATCGTTGAAACGATTGTCGTCTGCGTATCGATCTGCATCAGATCGATACACTACTCGTAACGGTTTACTGTATTATACAGCCGTTTCTGGTGACACACCACGTGTTGTCATTCCAGATGATACTGATCTGCGTTTGCGGATCATGTTCGAGTATCACGATGCTCCTATAGGAGGACATCGTGGCCGAGAGAAAACATATCTCACGGTGAGTCGAGACTTTTACTGGCCCCGCCAGTATCAGTTTGTGCGAAAGTATGTTCGCGCATGCGAAGTCTGCCAACGAGTGAAGTCAAGTCCTTCACTGCGTGCACCTTTACAGCCTCTACCGGTTCCGGCTGAGTGCTGGGAATCCATCTCAATGGATTTTGTCTTCGGGTTACCCAAAGACGCACGCGGGAATACGGGTATTCTCGTATTTGTTGACAGATTCAGCAAAATGGTACACCTTGTGGCTGTACCAGAGACAATCACGGCAAGTGGCTGTGCTTGTGTCTTTCTTGACACCATCTTCCGACTTCATGGGTTGCCCCGTGAACTCGTATCAGACAGAGATCCACGATTCACTGCTGATTTCTGGCGTTCCGTGTTCAAATCACTCGGAACGCGCTTGTAGATGTCAACATCTGATCATCCAGAGTCAGATGGTCAGACGGAACGTGCCAATCGTGTCCTTGAAGAGATACTTCGAGGGTACGTACACTCCTTTAAGAGTTGGAGTGAGTTTTTGCCAATGGTAGAGTTTGCCATTAACAACTCGGTGCATGCGTCCACGACACATACGCCGTTTTACGTGAATGGCTTGCGCCATCCGCGTGTACCCACCTTACTAGAGTGTAACTCTGGTTTAAGGGGGGGAGGGACTCGCGCGAGCAAAAACCGAATTGGTTCACGCTCATCACGCTCTGACAAAGAAGTCATTGCGTTTGATGCCGATATCGATAACATCGATATCGAAGAAGATGATGCCAGTGAGAGTGCGGAAGCCCTCACTGAAGAAGATGATCCCAGTGAGAGTGCGGAAGCCCTCACTGAAGAAAAGGTTGATGTTGCTGCAGTGCGCTCACAGCACACTGAAGCTAACGAGTCATCAGATGAGTTCATACTGGCTCGTGAAACGGTAGTCCGTTTTGTGCAAGACTCCATCGCCGAAGCGGTGGATAAGCAAAAGCAAAACGCTGACAAGAATGGAAGGGCAAACACTCTTTTATTTAATAAAGGTGACTTAGTCCTACTGTCTACGGTTAATCTACCAAAGCATGTAGTGACTAACTTGGGTAGCAGTAAACTACTACCCAAGTACATTGGCCCATTTCGTGTATTGCACCGCCTAGGCAATGCATACACGATCGAGTTACCACGTAAGATGCGAACGCATCCCACGTTTTACGTTGGTCGGCTTAAGCCGTACCATCAGTATGCTGCTTCTTCCGATGAAGAACGCCCTTGCGCTCAAGCATCTCGCAGAGAGCCTTGTGCTCCCGATGGTGGGCATCAACAAGGGTCTGAAGAGCAGCTATCTCATCCCGAGACCGATCAGCAATCCCACGAGCTACCCTTAGCTCGTCACGAAGAGATGTCAGAGATCTCTCGTTCTCAAGCTGAGCAAAGGCAAACTCAGCTCGATGCTTCGAGGCAGTGTCCGCCATTTGGAGACGCCTATTCCGCTCATGTTCGAGATCGTCGCGTAACCCTTGCGTTACGCGATCAAAGAAGCTCTCGGGTACACACCGATCCACATGATCGTGTGGAGAGCGTCTTTCCTCCTCCTCCACCTCCATTAGAGGACTCTCGCGGTGGCCAGCGCTATCTAGTTGAGCAGCTGTTGAACCACCGCGACGTGAACGGACGTCGGACGAGTTATCTCGTCCGGTGGCGCGGCTATCCCCCGTCCTGGGATTCTTGGGAGCCCCGCTCCCAACTGATGATCGACGTACTGGGTCTGGTTGAGCAGTACGACGCGGCACATCCTGTGCCGCAGAAGGACCGCCGGAGAAAGTCTTCCCGGCACGGTCGTAAAGGGATTTCAGGTTGTCAATCCCTTCGTACATCTCAGTAGAGATACGTACGCGCCACCACGGGCTGGTAAGGAGGTAAGCCTCCTTAGGTGCTCGTGCAGAGTTGTTCACACAACACGGGCACGAGTCTCCCCAAGAGAGGCAGGGTAATCCTTTCTTCCTTGACAGACGATGCAGCTTGTAGCGTGCACCTGTCGGGGTTCGCTTTTCAAACTTATCACGAGCTTTGATAAGTTTGTCGTTCCAAGCGTCACGACCTACATCCTCGAGGTTATGGATGTAGGCGTTCCACGCTTAAAAGCAGTGAAGGACCATCACGTTTATGATTCCCACTGTACCATCGATGTCTAAAGAAAGCATCGATGAAGAATTCATTCTCAGCGCGATAGTTTTTCGCGCTGGGGTCAAGGTGATGGATCCTTGACGAATCGAACAATCGTGCTCGATAACGATCACTCGTCGTCGCCGACAAGTGATCCATGACGGATTTTGGAGGCATCCATGCCTTCTTCTCAGGAGCGAGACGCAACACATTGCGGTCCCGCTCTTCCTGCGATGTGCCGACAGAAGTACTGGCACCTCGTTGCGAAGTGGTGTCCATAGGAGAACCGACACCACTGTTAGCGCCCGAGTCTCGCGACCTCGAGCGCCTTCGCTTCGGCGATGGTTCATCTGATTCATCAGATGAACCAAAGATGCTACGACGCAAAGCATCATCCATGCCACGCTTGGCAGGCGGCTTAGATTCAATCGCCGTCGATACGGATCCGTCTTCCGTATCAGGAGAGTACGAGACACCGAGCTCGTACTCTGTGAAGACATGAGTGTCTTCATGACCAGCGCCTGCATCACCAAGTGACACAGGCTGGGTCGCTTCAGCAACCGATGAGACATCAGTTGCTGTGGTTTCTGCTTCGGCGTCCGCACAGAGACGTGCGGACGCGCTCTCGGCGGCCTTGCTCGCGCATCGCATGGGCTTGTTAACCATGCGATGAAATGTTGGAAAGTGGACTCGGACCAACAAGTGCAAACCCCGTCCCAAATGATTTGGGACGAGTATCCATTTAGTCAATCGGTCACTAAAGTGACTGATGGTTAAGGGGGGGTGATGTAAAGGGGTGAGTCGTTACATAACAATTTATAAGAAATTGTTAATAGAATATAACTATAAGAGTTATATTCTCAGAATATTGTCATAACGACAAATATTCTGTAGCACTTACGAGTAGTTCCTAATTGGTTGATATAGGCCATTATATCAACCAACGAAGACGCGCCACGACAGACGCACGCAATGAGTGGTGAGCAGATAATTGATTTACACATTTGTATTTAGACATAGTTAGATGAAGATAAATAGTGATTTATTGCAGACATTAACTATACTAAATACAGTTCTACTTTTTACTTTAACCAAGTACTCGCTTCTTCTTACCGTCTTCCTCTGCACGTACGAGTGTACGTGAAGTTATGAGGCGCCGCCTTATTCTGTCATCAGAATAAGTAGCTTGTACTGTCACCAGTGCAAGCTTCAGGGTGCCCCGTTACACCTGGTAGCACTTCGTAGTCCGTCCAAGGACCGCGTTCACATCCAACATGAATATGTTGGATGATGAAGATGACCAAAGCTTTCACGCTACGCGTGACGGCTACTCCCATTTGAGCGATGTCGAATGGGATGCGGTTGAACGAATGGGTTCGACCATGGGCATCCATGCTGTTAGCGTCATGCTAGAGGCTCTCAATAGAGATGCCCAACATGCTACTATCGCCAAGTTCATTCAAAATGAACTTGACGCAGAACGCGAGAAAGTAGCCTTGCTTCACCAACAAGGTTCTCAACAAGCAGAGTTGTTGAGAGAACAAGGTGCTCAACAGTTTGAACTGTTGAGACAGCAGCAGGCTGCTGCTGGCGGGTCGATGCACTCGCGTCGACCCGAGACTTTGAAGATTGACATCTCAAAGTATAGGGGGTCGAAGAAGACTCCCTCTTGAGATGGTTCGTCGAATTGGATGACGCCATAAGGGCGCGTCGCATCGACGACGGGGATATGCAAGTTGCATTTGCCCAGTCAAATCTGGCAGGACGTGCCAAGACTTGGGCACTGGGGCTCAAGTTGCACGACCCATATGCGTTTGGGTCGTTGGAAGTCTTCAAGTTGCGGCTCAGACAAACGTTTGAACCGCCTAGAGCTGAGTTCAGAGCTCGAACCGAACTCTTGAAGCTCAAGCAGGGTAAGCGTGATGTGCACGCTTACGCCCAACATATACGACATCTCACGAGTTGTATAAGTTCCAATCCGGTGGATGAACACACGTTGGTTTCGGTGTTCATGCAGGGTCTTGCGGATGGTCCCGTCAAGACTCACCTGTTCCGGCTTGAACTAGATTCACTGGAACAAGCCATTTCCATTGCGGAGCAGGAAGACTTCAGTCTGAGACAGGCTCGCGCCAGCTCGACATCATATCGTCAACCGAGACGATATGACAGCGGAGGTCCAGAGCCGATGGAACTCTGTTGTGTAGAGAGCGAGAAGGCTCGCCCTACAGACTACAAGAAGTTGCAGAGATGCAACAGATGTCAAAAGACAGGACACTACGCTTACGAGTGTAGTGCCCCTCGTCCAGTGTCTCGCGACACTGGGCGTAGTGACCGTCCACCCATGAGAAAGGGACAGGGACGAGGGTCCGCAGTTGGTGCAAAGACGCAACAACGGGATGGACCGTCAAAAAACGGACAGGATCAGTAGGTGCGGAGCACCCTACTGGTCTAGCAACGTCAAGAGAATTTGTAGGCCTCTTGATGAAAGTTGCTCCCAACACACAAACGTTGTGCGTTGCTGCTCTAGGTAACGAGGTATCACTCATTACCTTGAAACTCGAAGTGACGAATAAGTTGTCCCTTCGAGCTCTAGTCGATTGTGGGGCGTCCAACAATTTTGTGCGACGCCAATCGCTAGAAGATGGTCACTTTAAATTCAGTGAATGTGACACACCTCCTACGAGGATGACGGTACGTCTTGCGACAGGCGCATCCGTAACCGTCATGAAGCGTATAGTGAAGATCCACTATACGCTAGAAGATACCCAATATGACGATGACTTTATCGTATTGGATTTGGATGACAAATTTGATGTCATCCTTGGAATACCGTGGCTCAGAAGGTACGAACCACGGGTAAACTGGCAACATCGGACAGTAACGATTCCTGCCGCTTGTTCATCAGATGGCCATCTGATGAACGTTTTGGAGCGTCCACAAGCGTGTGGATGTACTACGAGTGAGTGCGATGGCCTCACTTGTGGTACGGTCGTTAGTACGACTGCACAAAACCTTAGTGTACCAAACGGTTACACTTCGGAGCAAAGTTCCGGCGGCTGTGAGGAAACACAGGCTGCGCCAAAGGTCCACCACTCGAATAAGTCGGGTGGACTGGGACAAAGATGTATCCCTAGCGGGGAACATCTAGAAGAGAAACAATCGATCGCTCAGGTTAAGCGAAACGATAATCCTAGATCGACTGGAGAGTCTTTCGTAGAGGATCTCGCTGTGGTTGCGCAACCCCAGCTAGAGGAAGTAAAGGGAATAAGTCCCAAGATTACAAATACGGCGGAAATAAGTTCCCCGAAACCCGCGGGAATAAGTCCCCGGGAAGCCGAAGGACTAAGTCCTTCGAAGCCTGAGGGAATAAGTCCCCAGGAAATGACAGAGACATTGAATGTCATAGTCAATAACGGATCAAGTGTAGGTGCTTATACACTTGATCTGATTGCGCCTCCGAAGTTAACTTCGGAGATCACTCAGTTGCCAACGCTCGAACATAAAAGGTTCTTGCGTGATCTGCGTAGTGGCAAAGTCAAGCAGATCTGCGTACTCGTCGCTGACGACGAGTGTGTAGCCGACATAAGGTCAGCAACAGTGTTCACTGAGAACGAGAGAGTTCTCAGTAGTTCATCTATGGACGAGAGTGTCCTAGATGAAAAGACACGAATTGAGCGATATGACTCCCAATCATGGGAATCGCTCAAGAAAAATCCTCTCTATGAAGATTTGGTTGAATTCAAGGATGTATTCCCTGAAACTGTTCCGTGCGAATTACCGAAGGATAAAGGTATTCGACACGAGGTCGAGCTTAAACCAGGCTCGAAGTACTGTGTCATGAAGCAGTGGCCACTGCCTCGTGAACAAGTACTTGCGATCGACAAGTTCTTTGCCGATCGTTTAGCTGCGGGCCATGTGAGGGAATCAACTTCCCCACATAGCTCTCCGACCTTCTGTGTGCGAAAAGCAACAGGAGGGTGGCGGATAGTGCACGCGTTCAACAAATTGGACGCTGCAACGGTACCGGCTCAGACGCCGATACCGAGGAAGGACGTAATCATTGATGGTATGTCAAAGAGTACCATCTTTTCGTCCATGGATTTGATGGATGGCTTCTATCAAATTCTTATGCGGGAACGGGATATACCCTATACCGCAGTTAGCACGCCTAGCGGCATGCTCTGGGAATGGCTAGTAATGCCACAAGGGCTCAGTAATGCCCCTGCCACGTTCTACAGATGTGTATCACATCTGTTGAGACCAGTACGAGAATTCGCGCCGAGTTATTTCGATGACGTATTCATCCATAGTCGAGCTATGGATGGAAAGTCGGACGTTGAGGTTCACAGGTACCACGTCCGACAAGTTCTTACAATCATGCGAAAGCATCAATTGTATGCTAACCTCAAGAAGTGTATATTTGCAGCAAGCGAAATACCACTTCTTGGGTGCATCGTTGGTAAGAACGGTGTACGTCCTGATCCCGAAAAGATCAAGGCGATCACCGACTGGCCTGTGCCGGTCGATGTCAAAGGTCTTCGAAAATTCCTTGGGCTAGCGGCGTATTTGCATAAGTATTCACGCAATTACGCCGAGATGACTGTGCACCTCTCTCGTTTGTTGAAAAAGAACGAGAGGTGGTTATGGAACGCTGAATGTCAACGCTCCTTTGATGGTATCAAGCAGAGCTTGATACAATCCCCAGTCCTAGCAATTGCCGATCAGGACAGGCCATTTCATGTGGTCTGTGATGCCAGCGATTTTGCAATCGGCCGTGCATTAATGCAGTACGATCTTGAAGGCGTTGAACGCGTCGTCTGCTATCAGTCGCGTCAGCTGCAACCAGCTGAGCGGAACTATCCAGTGCATGACAAGGAACTCCTTGCCATGAAGTATGCACTCGCGAAGTTCAGAGTCTATCTATTCGGAGATAGACCCTTCATTGTTTACACTGACCATGCGTCATTACGCACGGCAGTGAACAGCCCGCACCTTTCACAACGAATGGCGCGGTGGTTGTCATTCTTTGCAGAATACAACTTTACGGTCGAGTACAAACCAGGACGACTTAATGTCGTCGCTGATGCACTCTCACGTCGTCCCGACTTTGAAACAGTCGCGAAACCCAACAGTGAGACAGTCACTGTTGCGGTTATGACGTCCTCAGTCCCATCTACAACGTTGTATGATGATGTGAGGCGGGCATACGCCCAAGATGGTGAGATAGTGAAGTTGTTGACACATCTCTCCCAACCATCTCGAGAATCGTTGAAACGATTGTCGTCTGCGTATCGATCTGCATCAGATCGATACACTACTCGTAACGGTTTACTGTATTATACAGCCGTTTCTGGTGACACACCACGTGTTGTCATTCCAGATGATACTGATCTGCGTTTGCGGATCATGTTCGAGTATCATGATGCTCCTATAGGAGGACATCGTGGCCGAGAGAAAACATATCTCACGGTGAGTCGAGACTTTTACTGGCCCCGCCAGTATCAGTTTGTGCGAAAGTATGTTCGCGCATGCGAAGTCTGTCAACGTGAAGTCAAGTCCTTCACTGCGTGCACCTTTACAGCCTCTACCGGTTCCGGCTGAGTGCTGGGAATCCATCTCAATGGATTTTGTCTTCGGGTTACCCAAAGACGCACGCGGGAATACGGGTATTCTCGTATTTGTTGACAGATTCAGCAAAATGGTACACCTTGTGGCTGTACCAGAGACAATCACGGCAAGTGGCTGTGCTTGTGTCTTTCTTGACACCATCTTCCGACTTCATGGGTTGCCCCGTGAACTCGTATCAGACAGAGATCCACGATTCACTGCTGATTTCTGGCGTTCCGTGTTCAAATCACTCGGAACGCGCTTGTAGATGTCAACATCTGATCATCCAGAGTCAGATGGTCAGACGGAACGTGCCAATCGTGTCCTTGAAGAGATACTTCGAGGGTACGTACACTCCTTTAAGAGTTGGAGTGAGTTTTTGCCAATGGTAGAGTTTGCCATTAACAACTCGGTGCATGCGTCCACGACACATACGCCGTTTTACGTGAATGGCTTGCGCCATCCGCGTGTACCCACCTTACTAGAGTGTAACTCTGGTTTAAGGGGGGGAGGGACTCGCGCGAGCAAAAACCGAATTGGTTCACGCTCATCACGCTCTGACAAAGAAGTCATTGCGTTTGATGCCGATATCGATAACATCGATATCGAAGAAGATGATGCCAGTGAGAGTGCGGAAGCCCTCACTGAAGAAAATGTTGATGTTGCTGCAGTGCGCTCACAGCACACTGAAGCTAACGAGTCATCAGATGAGTTCATACTGGCTCGTGAAACGGTAGTCCGTTTTGTGCAAGACTCCATCGCCGAAGCGGTGGATAAGCAAAAGCAAAACGCTGACAAGAATGGAAGGGCAAACACTCTTTTATTTAATAAAGGTGACTTAGTCCTACTGTCTACGGTTAATCTACCAAAGCATGTAGTGACTAACTTGGGTAGCAGTAAACTACTACCCAAGTACATTGGCCCATTTCGTGTATTGCACCGCCTAGGCAATGCATACACGATCGAGTTACCACGTAAGATGCGAACGCATCCCACGTTTTACGTTGGTCGGCTTAAGCCGTACCATCAGTATGCTGCTTCTTCCGATGAAGAACGCCCTTGCGCTCAAGCATCTCGCAGAGAGCCTTGTGCTCCCGATGGTGGGCATCAACAAGGGTCTGAAGAGCAGCTATCTCATCCCGAGACCGATCAGCAATCCCACGAGCTACCCTTAGCTCGTCACGAAGAGATGTCAGAGATCTCTCGTTCTCAAGCTGAGCAAAGGCAAACTCAGCTCGATGCTTCGAGGCAGTGTCCGCCATTTGGAGACGCCTATTCCGCTCATGTTCGAGATCGTCGCGTAACCCTTGCGTTACGCGATCAAAGAAGCTCTCGGGTACACACCGATCCACATGATCGTGTGGAGAGCGTCTTTCCTCCTCCTCCACCTCCATTAGAGGACTCTCGCGGTGGCCAGCGCTATCTAGTTGAGCAGCTGTTGAACCACCGCGACGTGAACGGACGTCGGACGAGTTATCTCGTCCGGTGGCGCGGCTATCCCCCGTCCTGGGATTCTTGGGAGCCCCGCTCCCAACTGATGATCGACGTACTGGGTCTGGTTGAGCAGTACGACGCGGCACATCCTGTGCCGCAGAAGGACCGCCGGAGAAAGTCTTCCCGGCACGGTTGTAAAGGGATTTCAGGTTGTCAATCCCTTCGTACATCTCAGTAGAGACACGTACGCGCCACCACGGGCTGGTAAGGAGGTAAGCCTCCTTAGGTGCTCGTGCAGAGTTGTTCACACAACATGGGCACGAGTCTCCCCAAGAGAGGCAGGGTAATCCTTTCTTCCTTGACAGACGATGCAGCTTGTAGCGTGCACCTGTCGGGGTTCGCTTTTCAAACTTATCACGAGCTTTGATAAGTTTGTCGTTCCAAGCGTCACGACCTACATCCTCGAGGTTATGGATGTAGGCGTTCCACGCTTAAAAGCAGTGAGGGACCATCACGTTTGTGATTCCCACTGTACCATCGATGTCTAAAGAAAGCATCGATGAAGAATTCATTCTCAGCGCGATAGTTTTTCGCACTGGGGTCAAGGTGATGGATCCTTGACGAATCGAACAATCGTGCTCGATAACGATCACTCGTCGTCGCCGACAAGTGATCCATGACTGATTTAGGAGGCATCCATGCCTTCTTCTCAGGAGCGAGACGCAACACATTGCGGTCCCGCTCTTCCTGCGACGTGCCGACAGAAGTACTGGCACCTCGCTGTGAAGTGGTGTCCATAGGAGAACCGACACCACTATTAGCGCCCGAGTCTCGCGACCTCGAGCGCCTTCGCTTCGGCGATGGTTCATCTGATTCATCAGATGAACCAAAGATGCTGCGACGCAAAGCATCGTCCATGCCACGCTTGGCAGGCGGCTTAGATTCAATCGCCGTCGATACGGATCCGTCATCCGTATCAGGAGAGTACGAGACACCGAGCTCGTACTCTGTGAAGACACGAGTGTCTTCATGACCAGCGCCTGCATCACCAAGTGACACAGGCTGGGTCGCTTCAGCAACCGATGAGACATCAGTTGCTGTGGTTTCTGCTTCGGCGTCCGCACAGAGACGTGCAGACGCGCTCTCGGCGGCCTTGCTCGCGCATCGCATGGGCTTGTTTACCATGCGATGAGATGTTGGAAAGTGGACGCGGACCAACAAGTGCAAACCCTGTCCCAAATGATTTGGGACGAGTATCCATTTAGTCAATCAGTCACTAAAGTGACTGATGGTTAAGGGGGGGTGATGTAACGGGGTGAATCGTTACATAACAATTTATAAGAAATTGTTAATAGAATATAACTATAAGAGTTATATTCTCAGAATATTGTCATAACGACAAATATTCTGTAGCACTTACGAGTAGTTCCTAATTGGTTGATATAGGCCATTATATCAACCAACGAAGACGCGCCACGACAGACGCACGCAATGAGTGGTGAGCAGATAATTGATTTACACATTTGTATTTAGACATAGTTAGATGAAGATAAATAGTGATTTATTGCAGACATTAACTATACTAAATACAGTTCTACTTTTTACTTTAACCAAGTACTCGCTTCTTCTTACCGTCTTCCTCTGCACGTACGAGTGTACGTGAAGTTACGAGGCGCCGCCTTATTCTGTCATCAGAATAAGTAGCTTGTACTGTCACCAGTACAAGCTTCAGGGTGCCCCGTTACATGGACTGTCCCTACGAGTTCTTCCTCTTTTTGAATGACGAAAAAGGAATAGTGCATAAGGGCAAAATAGGGGTAATACATTTTGCTCGACAAGGCCGTATAAATGTGGCCGCCATGGTCACATCTAAAACTCACAAATTCAGTGCAACCCGGTCGTTGTTTAAGATCCCCTTCGAACGGATTTCTCGAATACCTATCGATATTTGTAACGAGGTTACATGGCGGTTATTGTACCGGTTATGTTGTGTGTCCACACCAGTTGAAAATCGGTGGGTCTGAGTGGTACAGTATTGGTGCCATGTACTAACGGTAATACCGCATCTTATCAGTCAGGGATAAGAAATAAGGCTTCTGTCATAGGATCGCAATGAAGAAAGCAGACAACGTTTACGTTTAATTACCGTAGTTGGAGAATAGATAAAGTTCAGTTCCCCTTTTTTGAATCGTCGGACACAAGCTCATAGTAAAGGCGTAGTGTGTTGTTAAGAGCATTAGCCTCATAGAGGCGCTTACTCTTGTTTAGCTAGTAGTGACTAGTTAGTGTGTGATTCTGTGAATCGTAATCCCTTTGGAACTGGGATTGTTAAGCTTGTATGCTTGAACGACTGTACGTCGTTGTTATTTTGTTATAACTAAAAGACTCTTGGAGTCTAAGACATCCTCTGCTAAGGAGCGCTAAGTAGCTCTGCTACGATGTTTTACTTACCCATCTTTTTTCCTAATTTAGCACAATACAATCGTGAGCTGTTAAATCATGTTTTATCGAGCAATCCACTTGTTTCACAGGCTATCCACTTGCATATTGAAGCAAATTACTTGTCTTTTTCAAGATCCCCCCACAACATTCAAATGTCAGTCGATCTACGCCGAGGTTGACAGTCTCTTCTAAGTACACAGAGAGAGAAGCTGAAAGAATCAGCAACAAATTGACAATAGCAGTAGCAGCGGTGCGTGGTTCTTTTCCGCCGTAACATTGATCTAAACTTGCACGCGAAACGCAAAGCTACTGTCCTCGCCTTTGGGTCGTTCACAACGACCAGAAGCTGCAACCTGGTGGAAAAAGCACAGAAGAGGATGTAGAACGACGACAACGCACTGAGGTACAGAAGTAGCAAAATCGATGTTCGTGTCTTCGACGTGCCATCATGGAGTAGACTGCTATCCCCGACACGACCACTGCTGGAACCAAAACACGCTCTGTCATCGCAATTTTTGCCAATGATTGTGAAGCTCGATGAACCCGATCGATCGCGGTATCACCGATCATTTTGCCAACACGGACGCTCTTCTTTCCCTTGCCATCTGTATGTCACCTGTAAGCTCGCTTCTCGTTTCGGATCTCCGTCCTTCTCAACTTCCAGTCACTCAAATGACGCAACAGTCTCTTTCATCATCACGCCATATCGAAACTGCCTTTTACGCCGTTCCTTGAATTTTACTCTTCGCTCCTTGTTAGTGTCTCCTTGCTCTGCTCGGCAACAGAACTCCCGTCTCCACAGTCATTGGCCACGACAGTGGCTGACTCAGCACCATTGCTTGCAACACTGGACATGCCTTCGGTAACGTCTGCATCCAAGGCATCCATAACTGGCTCAAATCCAGGAGCCTCGTACAAGAACGGTTGCGAACCAATGTTGACGAGTACAATCTCCGCCTGTTCGACACTGATGGCTGGGAAAAAACCCCGGTCACTCGGCGAGTGCTTGACGTTACGGTATGCTACACCGAGATCGACGCCGTTCCGAGTGAAAGAAACCGTGCCCTCATCCAAATCTAGCAGACAGCCGATCACATCATTTTTACTCCACACATCGTCCGCCGCATACTCCTCGTCCTTGCCATTGTTCCACTTGACCTGTCGAAACCCATCGTAAGCCCAAGACCGCTCGTGGTCACCCACCCCATCTCCCGATTCAGAGTCGGTCTCAAACGTTGAGTCCGCCCAGCCAATCTGTACGACACCTGCTGAGACGAGACGCACCTCATAGTACCATTTACCCTGGGTCAAGGCGCAACAATGTCGCGCCGAGGCCGTGCCAAAGTTGCCTCGACCACGCAGCTCGCACAAACCGTGCTTGAACGTCGTCTCAACACCAGCACGCACGTCTCCCCCGCTGCCTCCACCCGCAAGCTTTAGCCACTGTTCAACGACCGGCAACGAACGTTGTACCGAGCGCACACTAATGTACGTCGTAGCATCTGGTGGTGGCAACACGCGCGCATGCTGCATTTGCTTCTGCTGTCTTTCCTCTTTGCTCCTCGTCTTGCGACGACCAAGTCCAGTCATAATAGCCGCCAGCACATCCTCAGGCATGTCCTGTTCAAAGTCCACATAACTCTGCAATGCCAGCTGCTTGACCCGTTCCGTCTCTTCTTTCTTCACCCGTTTCAACTCAGTCAGTCCTTCGCCCCGTAATTCCTCTTGGCCATGAGCAAAGTCACAGTCACGTCCACGTGGACACCCCCACCAGCGTGGCGCCCCACTTGGCGCCCTCTTTCCTCCTTCTCGGGCCTTGAGCCAGCTTTTACAGAGCACGGTATTGCGTCGCCGCTTCATGTGCGACTTCTTCACGCCTTCAGCCCACGACGGCGTGGCCAAGTACCACCCTGGGATCCCGCTCCGCGTCTCTTCGTCCATCACTTCTCGCCCGTCCACCTGCTTCTTCTCCCGCTCCCCACGCGCGTCTTTCTCCTCCATCCACTTGCGCATCGCGACTTCCTGGTTCACGTGCCGTAGACGACGCCCGTGCAGGTCCCGACACGCCCCAAAGTCCGTCGTGGCCTTTGCACCTGCTGATTTGCCCATGCTCCGCAACATGGCACCGAAACCGCCTTTTCCACCGCGTAACCCGCCGCGCAAGCGAGCGCGAATGATGGTCGGGAAGGCGGGGATGGGGCTGGTTGGCTCGAGTTTGCGGCCGTTGACGTACAGATCCAGGAGCGACGAGGGAACTCCTTCACGCTGCTGGACGACGGACATGATCGTGTCCATTGTCGCGGCGCTGGGCGACAACGAGACGCTCAGCGTGCGGTTCCAATGCACGAGGAACTGCCGCGGCTCGAGAGACGTCATGGCTGCGTGGTAAATTGAAAAGTGAGGGGATGAAGAGCGAGTGAGGGGCGGAGCTTGCGAGATTTTATATACTGGGGAAAACCGGTTGATTAGCGATATAGTGATGATGTGGGCGTTGGGAGGGGGTTAAGTACGTCACAAGTGCGTGAACAGCGATAGAAATGGCTACGTTTGTAAAAGCCATAACCTCGTTCGGAAACGGCTAGTGGCGAGCGGCGACTTTCACGGATTGGCTGCTGCTACTTACGTGTGACACGTTTTGGTTCTAAATTTGTCGACATTTCCGATACTGAATTGATATTATAATTGACGCTATTGTTATTGACGCAATGTCGGACGTGCAGCTTTTGAGCCAAAAGTCTGGGACGTTAGATGCGTCGTCGGGGTCGCCGTGTCCAATTGTTTCGGGGCTTTTTGTGTACCCAATCAAGTCTTGTGCTGGGATCTCCATCCGAGAGACACAGTTGACAGTGAAAGGCTTGGTGCATGATCGAGAATGGGCAATTGTTGACGGAGAGCGGAACAAGGTCATGACGCAGAGGAGGTATCCAAAACTCGCGCTGATTCGCCCGAAAGTGCTGCCTCATTTGGATACTGAGGAGTCGAAGACGGTTGTATTGACAGCGGAAGGAATGTCGGATCTTGAAGTGCCGGTGGCACGTGCTGGTGATGGCGAATCGAGAGCTGTGACTATCTGGGATGATACAGTGGAAGCAGTGGATCAGGGAGACGCGGCAGCAATGTGGCTGGACTCTTTTCTTGGTGAAGGGCTGAACTGCAGCGCTCGTCTTGTAAGGGCCAAGGAGGGATTCACGCGGCATACAAAACCCAAGTATGCACCAGGCCATTCGACGCACTTTGCCGATGCATTTCCGTTCCTCCTTGCACTTGAGGAATCGCTGGAAGAATTTAACACGAAGCTGGAGGTTCCCGTTCCAATGAATCGGTTTCGTCCAAAGTACGTTCCCGTGAAGAACGTTTGTGTAAGCTCTTGTTGTCGTGAAAATGTGGCTAACAACACTTTGTCGATTTACTTTGCTCTCGTTAGTATTGTGCTACAAGGAAGTCCGGCGTTTGCAGATGAGCATTGGAATTCAATCGCCATCAATGGTGTGTTGTTTCGCAACGCACGCCCTTGCTCACGCTGTGGTATGCCTAGTGTGGACCAGGCGACCGGTGAGGTTCATCCAGAGCGTCAACCATCCCGTACTATCGTCCGTGAACGCAATGGTGTTCGTTTGGGTTTCGCTGATGGCAAGAAGCACGAAGGGTACTTTGGTTCGAACTTGGTGCTGGAGATGAAGGATTGGAATTCGATATCGCCTCGGTTGGCAGTTGGCGCGAACGTCAAAGTACTCAGTCTTAAAACGGAGGTTGTTGCCTAGACTCCAAAAGAGAAGCTAGTTGACACGTGTTTCGTATCACCTCCAGATGTCGTTGCGGGTACGCCATGGTCTCTTGTGACAGTCGGTCCGTTGAGGACGATTGTGTCGTGTAGTTTCCATTTTGAGCTTGATAGTAGCAAACGTTTTTCCATTTGATGGCGTATGTAGCCGTTTGTATCTTGCTGGCACACAGAGCTCCGAACATTCAAAAGGAAGACGATGCTCCGATTGCAGCGTATTATTTGGCAATACCATCAGCTTGCACCAGTATTGACTTAAAAGCACCATAAAATCCTTGCGCGACAAAGGGGCATAGTTTGTTCCAATCGTGACGATGCTACATGACCAGCCAATCAACTTGGGACCAAGGCTCGGGTACTAGGTTGGTACATCGAAATATAGTTCTGGACAACAAACGGTGTTAATGGTGCATGTTTATTTGCATTGAAATCTCTGGTAACAGACGTGCGAGACAAAAGTATCCACAGCTTCTCCTAGAGTATGGACTAGTGCTGCAAATGCTGCTTGTTTTTGTTAACAGAAGAGCGGTAAAGAAACTGCATCGGGGCCACGCCCACGTCACGTGGTAGGAGAGAATGCACGACTTCATCACTTCTTCTTCTTCTTCGTTCTTGGTCGATTATCGCGTGCCCTTCCACGCTAATGCCACGTGCTGGTGGAGGTGTTGTGCCCGCTCTTGCTCCAACGCAGCGTTGCGAGTATAGTGAGCGTAACCGGTGATGCCAGCGGATGTAAGCACTAGCGGCACGACGACTAGCGTGCTCGCACTTTTAGGGGCTTTGCTCATGGCAGCGATGACGGAGGATGTGCCCATGGTAAGGGAGTGGTGAACGGAAGATCTCGGGTAGGGTCGCTAGAGAATCTTTGTGAATGGGCGTCAAAGTCATGGGACCAGTCGATGAGGGCAAATCTTTTCTTTGGTCTAGAAGCCAGTGTTCCACTGGTCATGTTTACTACAAAATCCACACGGACATCGCTGGGTTTCCAGAGTATTCGACCTAGTTCCTTGATCTCGTTCCGAACAGCGTTCACAAAGTCTTTCGTGCTGCTGACGCGAACATTGTAAGTGCAGCACTAGGTCAAGTCTTTACAGAACAAACCTTCGTGTAGATTTACAGCTCGTCCATCTTCCACATCAGAGAAGTGTCACAGTGTGCATGATTCTGATTGCTGTCATTCCTTCAACAAACGTCGTTGAATGGTTGGAATGGAGGCTTTTATGCTTGATCGAGCATTTGCTTCCTCGCAATGCTCGAACATCACGCACAGTGTCAACTTGTTTGTCCTCTACTTTTTGCGTGAAAAGTAGACAACTGGGAGACCACCTGCTTGACATGTCGTGACGGCTGATTCTTCAATCACAGCAGAAAAAGAAGAGTGCTAAAGCTTCCAACAATAACTGCTCAGCAACGAGATCGTTGCTACATCGTCTCCCGGGACATTGGTGACAAACACGTACGTGCGCTGATTGCAGTGTCCAACGCAGAGATATTTCGCAGCAATCAGCATGGAAGACGTCACACTTTTGGCAATGTAGTGAGGATAGTCAACCAGTCTGTCCCTCGTCATTAGATGACAAGGTGATATGTGATCGGTTTAGATTGTCTCACAACTCGAGGAGGACAAAAGAACGTATCTCACATCGGGGAAAGGTACATCACGAATTCCCTAACTTGCCCGAAATAGTAGAGCACACATCTCGCTCACGGGCAGCCCGAACACGCATTCGCTTGAACATGCATCTTCAGTAGAACATCACAAAGCCTTGGGGAATTGGAGCAAGACCCGGTGGTTTGGCACGCTACTGCTGTGTTGTGACACCGACTGCTTGTGGCCTCAATGCAGCTCGAGGCACAAGGGGCGTAACCGAGAACGTACTGTGTGATTCGCAGCCGTAAGAAGGTTTCCATGTTACGAATCGACAAGAAGACCCTGTGTTGCAGTGCACGGGTAAACGAACTACACATGCCGTTGTCCATGACACGTATCAATCGTCGAGCATGAAACAACATCAGTAAGTTGTGCGGCTGTTGTTGGTTGCAACCACTGGGCCAAGTTCGCCTTATCATCTATGTGCAGGTATTTCATCGAATCTAAGACAACACTGTCATGAGACGTTACGCGCTCGTACATAATGTCTTTTCCACGCGCAATTAATACAAAACACTGTTTGCCTTTAAAGGCTACTACCGACCCGACGGCCAAGTGGTTGACTGGCGGAACTGGGACCGGGAGGTACCTGGATCGATACCCGGTGGGGGTTCGATTACAGGGCGCCGTATTGAAGAAGCAGTAGTCGCTGCAAAAACGTGGCAGTCGGCCGACCACTTCAGTTGAATGGCAGTTTCTATCCTGGGATGGTGTAGTAAAATCAGGGCGAAAATGGTTGGTGTCGAAGAGATGGAAGCATGGTAGAAACTTGGTAACGACAATAACACTTCTACATTTTGCATTGGCATCTTCCTATTCTAACACGCCGGAGATAGGCCGATATAGTAAACGAGCAACCACGCAGAAGTGGCCGCCCTGCCAACCCGCGCAAGGCGTGTATTAGTTGGGTCGGCTGGAGGCCCCACTGGCCATAGAGCCCCATAGTGTAACGAGGGGTGCGGGTCCTGTAAGGAGTTCAAACTGTGTCAGAGTACTCGCAGTTCACCCCAGATCTGAAGGACCGCGCGGCATAAATCTCTCTCAATAAAGGCTGCTTGTGAACAATTACCAGCGTCACTCGACGGTCAGAAGCATCACCTGATGCTCACAAACATTGTTTGTTAGGATCGTGGCTGCTGTCGATCGATGGCCACGAATCGGTAGTGGTTGATACGAAAGGACGGGATCGACAGTGTACAGATACAGCACATGGCTTTTGGATTGAAAGAGACGCTTTAGCAACGTTGCACGCACTGTAACACACACTCATGACGCCGGTAGGCAATGCAGCTTCACCGTCGACAGCCAGATCCAGGCACGAAAAAGAATTTGAGTGGCTCTGGCCCATCGCAAAAGTCGGAGTGTGCTATGACTATCGTGCATGACTTTATAAGCGCTAAATTGCTGTATCAAAGGGCTAACTAGTGATAGAGGTGCTTGAAGCGATCATGTACGCGGCTAGACAAGGAGGTAAGGACTCTGCCTATTGCGGTACGAAGAGTAAAGTATAGCAATCGGCATCAGTTAAATGCTTACGCACTTCTACGTTTGCAGTCTTTGTACGCGTCTACCGGTGCATGAAATCTACAATGCGTTTTCTATTGCTCGAGTAACCAGAAGCTGTGCCAAGACGTGTACGCGGTCTATTCTCATTCAAGTTGCGCCGCTCGGTACAATAGGATTCAATTAAAGCGTGTGTAAGATCTGACAGCCGTGCGATCATAGAGTTACATGTCCTAACGAGCAGTTAGTTGTCGGAGGCTCATGAATGGCATCGGCAGCTACTCACGTATTAATGGACTTCACATCGTCGACGAACCTCAGACGAGAATTTGCAGCAAGTCACAACAGTGGCTTTTCGTCCCCAAGGTGTTTTTTGGTACATGATCGTGTGCACAGCGCGCAATTGTAAAAAGCGATTGCTGCTATTCGGACACGTTGATGTAGGCCATGACTCGTTCGTTTCTGTCTGCTGCGCTGCTTTTGATCCACGCTAGAATGTTGTTACGACCGATCCGATGTCCTGATTGAGCGCTGGTCATTACGAAGCGAATGGACGCTGACGAAAGGTTTACGCATTAGCATCGCGATGGCCGGATTAACACACTTGAGTAATCAACTACCTGGGCTACAAAGCAACCGCAAGCGATGGAGACGAACGTATCAGCGACGCACACGTAATCGGGCAGTTGTGATGACAAGCTGATTGATCTCACGCTGCTTGAACAGTCGATACAGCGATGACGACTTACAACGAGTATACACTTTTGCTAGAAACGTACGCATCGATCATATGTACGTCTCAGCTCAAACTTCATCTTGCCTGGATGGCAGGTCATTTTCTGCTAGGTATGAAATCAGCCCGATACTAGAGTGCTCCTATCGATAAGTTACGGATGCAGTAGACGGAGACTTCGATGACCATGCAGAAGTTGCAACATGTCGGGTGTTTTTGCGGTGATGCATGCAGTAAATCAATCATCTCGTCAAACAGCAAACGGTAGGTAACACACAAAAGGAACCTCGCTACCCAACCGCAATTAAAGCACCTAGAGCAAGTCAGAAACTCGACCATCAGGTCACTGATCCTCAGCTGACAAGGTACTTTACCTCCCAGGTCCTGGCTATGTTTTGCACGTGGCCACAGATGTGAGATACGTACTCTACCATCTTTCCATGCGGTTTGCGTTGCTGTGGAAGCTGTAGTCATGGCAGCAGACCGACAAATGAAGCCTAATTGACAATGATGTGTCGTGTACGATCCATGCCGACGAGCATGACGAGATCGACAACCACCACAAGTCCTCTGACTTACCCCCATGCGCCAGGCGATACCCGCATGAATTGCGATCGCGACCAGCACTATTCTCGATTGCTTCATCCACCAGAGTATGCTCGCTCAGCCTCTTGATTCTCTATCTGTTCTCGGAGATGGAGAGGAAAACAAGGAGCTTCAAATGAGCTCGAGGGAGCAGAGCGTGTGTCGGAGATAGACTCCAGCCGCTGCGTGTCCGGATGATTGACGCCGCACGTGATCCCGCTCTCTGCTTGATGTACCTCGGGAAAGGTCAGTATGCCGAAGGTTGCGGACAACTGACGTACTTGCAGAGGTCTCCGCACCCTTCAACTTGATGTCGCAACGTACATGGCACATTCTCCGTTCGAACTCGTACTATAAGTAGATCCTCCCGAAAACATCGGGATGGCGGTAGTGTGTGATGCGCGTCCCGTTATACTGCAACAAGCCACGTTGAAAATCTAGATCATAAAGCTACTTTGCTCATTCTGGCTATGACGCAAAGCTTTACCGCAGCGGCCATCAAACGAGCTCCATGGCTGCCCAGTCGGTGACTTACTAGAGGTCCTTCTTACCCAAAGTAGGGCAACTTGTCGGAGGGAGCACTGCATTTTTTGTATGCAGCGCCCTGCATTTGCCCTGCAATCGCCAAACGAGCTGTAGCAAAGCACAACAGCGATGCTACTTTTTGTATGCACATATTGCTCTAGAGCGGACAGTTCAAAAAGTACTCAGCTCTTTTCGAAAGCTTGACTCCCATTATTTTTTCATTGAATGGCCATTCCAACTACCGTTCTCGTACGATAGGTTGGCTGCTACATGTCTCCAAGTCACGTTGAACTCGTAGGGAGGGCGCGAAAAGCTGGCCCGAAAGAAGCTAGAATGCCGTACTTTTCGAGCGTCGTCACCATACCAACGCGTAATTAACCCACGTATCTCTTCAGGGTGTTCGCAGGGCACAACCATGTGCTGTCTTGTTAAGCGAACCAACCCACGCGTCCTGCGAGCTGGTGCACGAACATCGACACGTTTCGCAAGATTGGCCAGTGCAGATGCTACCCGAAATCGCTGGCAGCTGACCGTCGTAGCCATAGACGCGTCTTGGGCAAGCCCACTTCCCACTCCTTCCATTTAATCACCCACCATCAGCTTCAGCGACAAGGAAGTGGCTAAATTCTCTGCAAGAAAACTGATCTTCGTCATGCACCTCGTCAGCCGTCGCGATCGCGTGCCGAGTTTACGGCCTCGGCCCTGGTTAAGTTTGTACTGCGGAAACAGTGTACGAAGAGAGACCGTTCATGAGCGAAACCACCCTATTCGTCACTCGATCCTTCGCTGAGCCAGCATAAACGTCTCAAAATATGACGCCATCTATCTGTAGACGGTACTTCAATCATGGGAATGCTTCAGCAATGATTAAAGCCGTTCAAATCGCGCGACGTTCAAGCGCGGCTTGACGCATCAGCACGTCTTGTCTGCCGTCTCGGTGTCCTCGACGGGTTATTTGTCCCTAGCGTTCACCAGGCACCGATTCTTTCTTTCGTCTCAGTAGCGCACCGCATTGGCGGCAGAAGGAGCATCGTTTGTTTGGTCCACCCCTCGTCAGCTATGGAGCAACGCCGTCACTGTACCACAGCTTCAATCTCCACTCATGACGAGATTAGATACTGTACGGTTGGTAGCTGGTATTTCAGCGACGCACGAGTGCCAAGACCAAGCGTTATGAACACATTATGGTATCGGAGACTGCTACATGCTCGCGGAAGTAACGCGAACGCATTCCGTACCAAAAATAGTCGAGCACAGTGCGTCGTTTGTATGCAAATGATTGCGATATTTGTGAAACGAAATGATCTCGATGTCTACAGCGGCCGCTGCGTGTCAACAGACGCACACAGTCGTCGGTATGGACGGCTTCGTCTGCGCGCTAAAAATAACTCGCCGCGTCGACGGGCGAGTTATCAATAAATGCGCGTCACCCCATCGATGCCATTCGCGAGTTACTGCTGTTTCTCCCAACCCGTCCGAATTGAGTCGCGCCTTGCCCGGTCTCCACTCACTGGAAGCCAAGAGACTGTCCCGAATCACGTCCTGGGATTCAACTATTGAGGTGCACAATTTCTCCCCCTCTCTCTCTCTCTCTCACGATAGACAGAGATGCATCCGTAGAGCCATTACGGGACGTACGTTGCAGTTATAGCTTCGATTTCGTGCGAGGGCGCTGCAGCTGTTTGGACCGCGTCGTCTATCAGGCTGCTACGTGCCACTTGTTGCCACTGGTCATGACGACACTGTCGGGCAGAAGAGCCAATAGGGCACGCCAATCGAGCAGCAAGCAAATGTCGTCAACATTATGATCAGTCGTCACCCTTGAAGCGAGTGGACTCGTGGGAACAAAGCCGTTCGGACTGACAAGCCCTTGACTGCAGATTGGTTGACCTATTGCGAAACGAGAAAGGAAACCTCAATCACCTACCCACGCACATCCACACATACACATCAGTGCGCGACCGCTCGAGCGCAACCGCGAGGGTACGAGCGCGAGCAATGATGACATCACAATCGCTCGAGGTATACTACACCCAAGTTAAAGTCGCAGCCCTTTGTTCCCAGAGAAGCGGCGCACTGAACGTTTTCTCTCACGCCCGTCTCTCCCGACAGCTGGCACGTACGGATCTTATTCTCTACAGTAGATGTGTGCATACTCTTCGTTTCTGCACACTATGCTGTACTCAAGGATATGTCAGCTCGTGAGTTGCCTCACCACCTCTGGACCCACTTCAAGCACATGCTCGATGAAAGGCTATTCGCTACGACAGCGGCGCCCAAGATCTCGTGGACTGCGACACTCAGACTAAGTGCGGTGTGTCCGCGTGTTGGTTGGTGTGGAGCAGCAGCGGGGCAGCGGTCGCAGCTTCTGCTGGCTCGTCTTTGCGGGATCCTCAAATGCCCAGAAGCTTGGCACGCCACGACAGTAGCAGTCGTCCGCTAAGTTCCGATCCCTCCCGCCCGTAACCACGGTCACCCAAGACACGGCGGCAGACAGACAGACAGAGTCGATTTTTGCCACCGAGTAGTCCCACCCACGGCCCGAGCCACCGTGGCCGCCACGCCAGCCCATAAAACACGCCCGCGAGGCAGCCAATCACCACTAGCAGCAACACCAAGGCGCGCCCCCTTCTTCCCCTTTCGGTTTGTCCCTCCTCGACTGACTTACTTGGGAGGTTGCCGACATCACAGGTCGACCTGTCTCCGTGGAAAAAGGGCCGATGAATGAGCTCACGTCCAGTCATTCGGGACCGTCGCAGTCGCGCGGCCTGGCGACATCTTACGCGTTCTCGGCAGCACCTGCCAACGCGGGGAACCTCGTGGCAATGGACCGCAAGAGGTAGAACCCCCACCCCCACTGCTTTTGTTTCCTCTGTCGTTGAACGTTGCCGCAAACGCCCGTTCGTTTGTTTCCCTTTCCCCCGTCCCTCGTTGCCCCCCCCCCTGTCGCTCCTGACTCGTTCGTCTACTGCCAAACTGGTGGTTGCCTCGCTTCCCCCTCACCTAGAGGCAGTCCGTCGGTCGATTGGTCGGTCGGTCGGTCCCTGTCTCGTACTTGTACGAGTCACGCGTGACATACGACCACCGGAATGGGTACAAAAAAGAAGAACGTGAAACGACACGGAGGCAATGAGGGACCAACGGACGGACGGACAGACAGACAGACGGATGTTTGTCACACGTTCTGTTTCGCTCCTTTTGGCTGTAACAAACCACTGCTGGATGGTCAAATGGATGGAGGGTGGCTACTAATCAGTTCTGTGGCTATTTTGTTCTTCTCGTTCCTTTTTTCTTCTTTTGTGCCTGTAGTTTTCAAGGAGGTCCACGAGGCAGCAATGGCCATCAAGGTGCAGGGAAACAGTACTCGTCACACCCGCAACAGCTGCAGCAAGTGAACGAGTACCACCATCCCGCTGCCGGACCGTATGCAGCCACAAATTATCCACATCTCAAGAGCCAGACGGACAATCGAGCAGGGAGCAACAATGGAGGCAAGTTCGATTACGTGCCCACCAGCCAGCAGTACTCGTCCCACCCCAATCAGCAGCAGCAACAACAACAACAACAGCAGCAGCAGCAATCGTTTGCATCACCGTTTGGATACGCGTCCTATGCCCAGAATTACAACAGTACTGGAGATTACGGCCAGCAGCAGCAGCAATCGTCGCAGCAGCAGCAGCAGCAGCACTACCATGGAGAGTATGCCCAAGTAGGGGAAACAAATCCCCTCGGCATGCTCGTGAGCTCGGCAACGAATTCCCAGGCGCCGCACGAAGCCATGCCCCACGACCATGTAAATATCGGACTCAAGGACGTGGGAGATCGCAAGTACCGGCAGCAGCAGCAGTACAGCGTGGTCGCCACCGACTCGTTTCTGAGTTCCAGCGGCACGTACGTGCATGGTGTCGAGCGTCCTGGGAACGTGGTGCAGCTCAAAACGAACAGTAGCTCACAGCAGCAGCAACAGCAGCAGTCCATGTACCAGCGCTCGAACATGTACGGTGACAGCACCGCGTACTACTCGCAGCAACAGGTGCAACAACAGCAACGGACGCAGGACACGTCCCAGCCAAATCCGTTGGATTTGGTGCCTCCTAGTGCTGCAATGGGAGCGAGTTTTGGCACTCCTGTCAATATGGGACGAGGAATGAACAACAGCGTCGGGGGCATGTTTGGCGTAGGAGCGCGCATGCCGCAGTTCAGTCCTGGAGCTTCGGGCGCCTCGTTGACGACGCGGTTGAAAGATGGCTGTTTGGACGTGTCGACTGGCGTTACTTCGAACGCCAGTCACATGTCGTTTATGCAGCAGCAACAGCCCGCTGCCAAGTCGCTGGAGGTTGCACACTCCTCGACCTCGCTGTATGTAGATGTGAGCAGCTCGACAACATCGATGTCAATGGTGAGCTTGTCTTCGGAGGGTCCGACGGCGGCATCGAATAATTCGTATCCGCCTTCGTCTCAACTTGGTACAAACAGCAGAGATGTCTGTGGGCTGTGCAGTGGCAGCCATAGCGACAGGATTGCGAGTCATTGCGGCCATCGGTTTCACGCCCAGTGTCTGCATACATGGGGAGGGTTGACAACGTGTCCAATGTGCGCACAGGTACGGTCATTTGTATGGTTTGTGCTCCTTGTGCTGCATGTGCGGTATTAATGCTTGATTGCGTTGGTGTAGTCATCGAACACTATCACTAGTCTCCCGATCGGCTATGGTCTTGGAGCAGGTCATGTGTCGGCCATTTCGCAAGGCTCAACAGGGCAAGAAGAAGGACCGATGAATGCGGGAAGTGGCGGTGGTGGTGGGACGATGAACAACAGCGCCACTGATGCTAGCAACAACACCGTGTCCATGACACCAAACTCTATGAATTCCTCGCAAATCCCAGCAAGTAGCACTATGCACATGGCCAATCCTGTTCATGGTGGAAGACCGCCGCCGATTGACACGCATATTCACGACAATCGTATGAGACCAACGACACTCAGTGCGGGCAAGCGTAGCGCGACGTCCACTCGGTCTGGTTCTAGTAGTGGTGGACGAGTGCGCAAAAACAAGAAGCTGAAAGACTGCTCTGTACCAGGCTGTGACCGCACGGTTCGCTCGCGAGGACTTTGTAAAGGTCACGGCGGTGGCCGCCGCTGCGGATTTGCTGGCTGTGGACTCAGCGATCAAGGTGGTGGCTTCTGCATCAGTCACGGGGGTGGCAAGCGTTGCCAGCACGAGGGCTGCGATAACTCAGCCCAGTCGCGTGGGCTATGCAAATTGCATGGCGGTGGTAGTCGCTGCACGGTTCTTAACTGCACAAAAAGCTCGCAGGGTCGCGGACTGTGCCGTGCTCATGGTGGCGGCCGTCGCTGCATGGTCGAAGGCTGCAATAAGACTGATCGTCGCGCCGGCTACTGCGTGACACATGGTGCAGACAAGAAGTGCATTGTACCCGAGTGCTCCAAGACGGGTCGTATCGACAACATGTGCACAAAACATTACTTTGAGCGACACCCAGCACAGCCGCCGGGAACTGTGAGCACGACACCGCCTCCTGTCATCACTGTCAATGCCAACACAAGTGCAGCAAGAGCCCGTGCGGAGAGGAAGAGGGCTGTTGAGCAGCAAGACGTTGCCAACTATGCGGGTATGTCTTCAGCGATGCTTGCTGGACCCGCATCGGCCGCCAACACGCTCTTTGATGCACGATATGGTGGGACCATGACAAAAGCCGAGCCGTTTTAGGCATCTATCTCGAATCGGCTTGCCGTGCTACGACTGGACGCTGCCGCACTAGTCAGGAGATTGTACAGATTAAACTCCTGGCTGGCTGGGTGGGAGAATGTGGGTAGCAATGGTGAGAGTGGGCGGACCGAGGGTGTATACATGCCGAGGCGAAATATGTGGAGTGGAATTACATGTTAAAGACACGAGCTGAATGGAAACTCGAGGATAAATGAATCGACTACGCGGCGACGGAGGTGAATTGAACGACAGATAGAATTAAGAAAGTTACGACGAGAACAAGCGGTCACGATGAAGTTGAAGTGGCTTAGCTGGAGATTGAAGATAAGACGAAGACGCACAGCGCGGATGAAAAGAAATGGACTGCGTCCAAGGCCAAGTGAATGAAGATGGCTGTTACAAGATTGAAAATTGCACGAATAGCGCACGGTTTCCAGGTGAAATTGGGACTGAAATTACAACTTTTGAAGTACGCGGGGGAGTGAACTGTGGAATGCAGTAATGAAAATAAGTAATTGAAAAGCCAGGGCAGCTATGTGCTAGGTTGGTAGCGTGCAACGCTTTCCTCAGCTGAACGCGAAAAGAAGATTGACGCTCATTAAAGTGCGGAAATACGAAGCGGGTAAGTGAGGGAGCAGCGACCCATTGCATATAGGAAAACAAGCGTAAAGTGAGCACCTCCTTAGAATTAAAATTGGGGAGGAAGTTGAAGAAATGACGATGTTCACAGGTAAATGATCAAATTGCAGTAATTCTCTTGAATTAATTGACTGGCTGATGATGATGCCCGCGTACTCCTCTCGTCTCTCTGCTAGTGTTGTCTCTCGAGATCCGAGCAGTGGCTACTTGAGTAGCCGTCAAAACAGGTCCTAAACGCGTTCCGTACTGTCTATTTTTCAAGCCACAGCGCCATTCCATTGGCATATTGCAGCCATGACCTTTTGCGCTCAGAACACTTGACTTGAAGCTCTTTGGTGGCTCTTTTACTTGCGGCCCAAACTCTGACAGTTGTGCTACCCTTCGTTTCGCTGCACGCAGCAGCTGTACCGGCTGCTCAGAGCTCGTAAAAAGTCGCTGTATCTTGCCGCCAGGCAGACGGCGCAGTTCGTCCACAGACGTCGTTTCAAGTTGTTTCGATAAAGTGAGACAAGCGTGCAGCGAAGTGGACACAATGCCTGCAAGAAAACGGGCACAGTCTGATACAGGCGCTTCTGTCGAGCTGGCGGGTGGACAATACATTATCCATCATCATTGCCATCGTCATCATCTGCCGCAGACGGCCCAGCTCCGGTGCTTATCAGAAGCTCCAGCTAGCACATGAACGGAACCTTGGCACTGAACTCACCTACCTGTAGATTACACACGTTTACCGAGTGAACAACTGTACTGACCTTGTTGCTCGACCCTTGGCGCCATTCTCAGACGAAACATGTCAAGCCGTGACTCGGGAGATAACGAGCATATCGCGCCCTTGTCCTGTTCAATCGGTTAAGCTTCACAAGCTGAAGGTGCTAGAAAAGCAAAACAGCGACTACCCAGCTAATCAAATGGAAAAAACCGTAGTGACGTCCTCGGTACTAGGAACTGCGCCGTACGTAAAAGCAGCATGGACGCAACAGTGCTGACCGAAGTGATCCCATCGAAATAACATCATTTCACAGGCATCTGCGTGTAAACGCAATGAATGAATGCACTATATCAGACAATCTCCGTGATTTTACCAAAGGGAGCACGCGTACATGGGAGTTAAGCACGCTTTGCGGCATCAAAGCAGCTTTGACGCACTAATCACTTCCAGCTCCTAGGAAATAACCCACGCGTTCGTCCAGATCAACGCTGAAACGCACGATAATCGCCTCCAACAACAGCTCGCACGGTCATTTTTTCGTGGTCTTCTGGCCGATGAGCAGGAGACAGGACGTCGGATTGGCGCCGCTGAAACTGACTTCGACAGCCTCGACCATCATCGCAAATCGCACATGCAGAACTTCCAAAAGGCACAAGTGCAGCTTGTTTTACTCCCCAACGCTTTCACAATGAACGGCTCAGGACATGAAATCCGTGCCGAAACGACCGTGTAACCTAGCAAATAAACAAGGTCGTCAATGTTGTTTGCTCCTTTTGAACTCATCCATCACAACAACGAGCCTTGCTGAACGATGTTACTAATTTTTGCTCTATCTCCTGCAACATCCGTCGTGATAAGCACAGCACCTGATACGAGCCCGAGTGCTTTCTATCGGCTTCTTGAAACAGCCACTGAACTGCAGAGTCAATTTTCCTAGTACCTTTTCATCGCTTTCGGCTGTGTCGTCGATAGCTGATGCACTCTTTCCAGCACTTGGCAACTTCATCCCACTCGTCAATCATGGCATGACCGACAAAACGACAGCAATACGCATGTAACAAGTGATTCTCGCTACTAATTTGCGAGCTAAAGCAGAACCACATCTTTGGCTGCGTAGAGTTCGCGATTTTTACAGCAAACACCCAAGCAGACAAACACTTCAGGGATCGTACGATACAATCACGACTGGGTGCTCGCGAAGACTGTCACCTTGACAAGTTCGGAGGACTGGACGCGATCGTATGCCACAGTATATCAACAAGTTGGACTTTGTACGCTGCAGTCTCCACCAGACAAACAAACACACATGTTGCAAGGCACTTCCTTGTCGACAAAGTATGGCTCGCCACTCAACAACGACGTATACGACCTACTGTCATGCTTGCTGTCGTTATTTGAAGTACATGGGCGTGTAGCAAGACGCCGTAACACGCAGACTTTCTCCTGTGAGGCACTCGAAAAAACTCGCTCAGTCCATTCAAATCAACGTAGATCATTGAAGGTGGTATCGATATCCGCAGAGGCACCGCGCTTTCCACAACCACGATTTCTGTAAAGTATTCACAACATCTCCACCGTCTTCACAAAGTCGTTCGCGTCAATATTCCTCGTACATGACGACGCCCACCCAGAGAACATCGTTAAAACACTCGACATTGAAGCATCACGTCGTCCATAGTCTGATTCCCAATACATTGCTATCTCCACCACATCCACTTTCTGACGAATTCAACGTGTTCAGTCTCCATTGCGATAAAAAATTACAAGACATTCTTCGAGTGTCTTCACAATATGATCAGCTGCAAGTATTGCTGTGATCGATGAAAGCGGTCAGTTTGGACGCCAGCGGCGCCATTTTAATTCCAGAAAAAATCTACAAAGTCATCCAAGCATTCCGTCTCCTAACGCAAAAACAAATCCACGCTGCCGACAGCGTACGCAGCGTGTAAATCTCAGCTGGTCTCGTTTTGCTTATCCCGCAAACGCTGCGCTTCTTCTTTCAGGCCACAAATTTATACTTAAAATGTTTGGGAATAGTGCAGCAAGCAAGGCAGTCAAAGCTACTTATAGCAGCATCATAACATGCAGGAAGAACGATGGAAACGACATTGTCTGCTCATGTGTTGTCTTGCTTCACTCCGTTATTTGCATTGACACATCAATTAGAACACCAGGTAGATCAACAATCACGTCCTCGTAACCTCACCATTCGTCTGGACGGACGTCATGTGACCCAGTCAATGTAACAGAATGATCGCTATCCGACTACACAGTACTAAACTGATCAGCGAGGAGAAATAAAGATGACAAAGGTGCATAGGATTGTGCACCATAAGTAGCGAGCGACGGATAACCCAAAGATAATACTCGATGTTATAGTTGTTGCAGTAGTCACTCACACGGGGTATTCTATTCGTGAACCTCCTGTTGTAATTTATTTAGTTTTTTGCGTGTGTAATATATTACGAATAATAAAAAGAGGAAGAGACGCGCAGGTAGAACGTATGAGCGCCACAATGGACGCAGACTTTGCCAGTAACAGAGTGCTCGAGAACAAGACTGTGGCGGGAGGCAAAGGGATACAAGTGGCGTGCAGGACATGGTACGTCGTAGCGTTGTCGTGTATAAATTACTTACGTCGGACGCTGTAATTTACGCATTCCTGTTGCTTCGCTTGCTTCGCTTGTTTTTTTATTTTGTGTGATACAGCACGTTTCTAAACGCGGCCGACGTGACTTCGTGCGGCATGTGCGGGTACGACGCCATTCATACGTTATTTGTATCGCCTTTTACCAAAACTTTATTTCTATTGCACTTTTGGCTCTTTAATTTTCATCATATCGTGAGTATTCATTGCAATTTTGTGTGTAATGTAATAGGGCAGAGACAAAAGTGCCGACTCATGATGTCCAAGCAGACGGAAGCTGGCATTGTGGAGGCTGGTAAGGCTTGTAGATGGGGCATTTGTGGTGGTTTTCTACTAGTGCCGGTTTTGACTGAGAGCTGAGCTTTTGCTATTGAATTTTGTGTGTTTTGTGCTCTAGTGAGACGGTGAATCGACGGGCGGCTCAAGAGTGTTCACACTGTCGTCTCCCATTGTATTCCTTGGTGACGACAGCTGCTCCGGCGCAGATTTTCTGCTCTCGATGTGGGTTTCTAAATGATGGAGACAACTCGACATGTGTACAGTGTGACCACACGATTCGCACCAAGCTGGACAAGCTCAGCTCAGGATTGAGTGATAGTACCAACTTTCTTGCACGGGATATGGGCGTGAACATTCACGTCAAGTGCCCAGGGTGTCACATCGTGTGCTACGTACCACCAGCAACGGCGTGTCTGCGTTGTGGTTCTTGCCACACGTACTTTGCCTCTCCGTCCGTCGGGGTGGTGACAAATTTTCATGTGAATCGATTGGCGTCTTCCATTTCGAGCTCGTTCATGGGGTTCTTTGGTAAGAAGCGCGGTGAACAGGAAGAGAACGACATTGAGCGTGCTCAAGTGGAAGCTCGAGAGGTGCCTGTTGGCCGTCTGATCGCTGTCGGGCAGAGCGCCGTGATATCTTCACGTGATTCCCATGCTACTAGTGACGGGAGTGAGCTCTCCGCGAGTCTTCACGAGAGCGAGATACCTGAAGATGAAACAGAGGAAAAACGTGACGCATCTCAAGCCGAAGAGAGTTCAGATGTTCAAGACGTAAAGCCGCAGGTAAGCAAAACGTTAGTGAGAGTGGACGCGAAGAGCCCTGAAGCATTGGACAATGGAGACTGTGCTGTGTCGCAGACAATGGCGACCAAGTTTCAGCAGCAATCAACGAAGCCTGCTAGCCGTAGCTCTGGAAAGAAGCAGCCCATGCTCGCGCGATCGATGCCGCTCCATGCAGCGCTTTTGCCACCCCGGCAAGAACTGGTACTGGTGGAGGGTGATATTGTGGAGCTATAGCGAAGTGTCGCTGTAGTGATCGGAATCGAGCCAAGCTAATCCGCTGACGAAATGGCGATTTGGTTGCAATTGCATGAGAAACAAGACAAGGTAATGGCTGGAGCAAGTATTGATCGCATTCATCTTTTGGCGAAGCTGCGTGTTGATCAGGAACCGGTCCATCTCGATCCAGCGCATCTCTTTTCGATGGACGCACAGCACACACGTGACCTCATTTTTTTCCAACCACACACGTATACGCACAGCACACACGTGACCTCATTTTTTTCCAACCTTTAGCTAAAAGAAGCACTGCATAGCACGGGGCAAGGCTGCAGCGTAGCTTGCAAGGTAAAGCTTCGTTGTTTTTTGCTACTCTTTGCGCTACACAGCGCATGCCGACCTGGTGACAATACTGATAATTATAATAGTGTTAGAATGACGATGATGGACGTGTCCGTCCGTGGCTTGTCACCAGCGGGGTTCGTTGTAATGGATTTTGCTTCGATCGTCAGGGACCGGGTCCCATCGAGTGCGGCGGCTCTGACGTGGCTGCGGCGCTGGTGCATGGTACTGATCTCTCGGCGAATAGATGGTGTCTCGTGGTGAATACGGCAACTGCTGTCTATCCACCGCAGCGTACGGATTCGGCACCGTTCCGACACGAGGCGGCGAGCGGCGAGAGGCTTCCTGCCAGTGCAGGTTTTGCGACTCCATACTGTGCGAGTGATGCAGCTTCGGTCGCTTGCTAGCAGAAGGTGAGTCCACTCCATATCGACCGCTGTGGTCGCCATACCGATCACGCTGTCCGCCGTACTGATCAAGCTGCCCCTCATGTCGCTGCTGATTGTTGTATCGGTCGTTGAAGCTACGGTCCGTGGCAGCCGAGACGCTACTGTGGCGACGAAGCACGGGAGGATGCTGCTGAGGCTCGTCGTACTGGTACGACGACCTGCGATAGCTTACGTGGCCGTTTCCACTATCCCTTGTCACCGCCGTTGGAGTAATGGGCCGATAAGAATCTTCGGCCGTCTGGTGCCCTGTATACAAGGGGTCTGCAATGGATGCAGCCAAAGAAGCTTGTCGTGCGCGGAACTCGGCGCGCTGTGCCTCAAGTTGCTTCATCTCGATTGTCTCGGCTTCGCAGGCTACACCGTAAAGTCTCTCCAGAGCTTGCTCTTGTAGCTCTGCCTCTTCGATGGCTATTGCACCTCGAGGGAATGCAAAGAGGTTCATATCCTCCAGACTCTTCAATTTCTTGATCAGTGCTTCCCGTTTGGCGACCTGGTCCGTGAGATTGCCGCGGTACTGCTCCACGTGGGTCCGACTGCTGTCGACGTCCAGGTCGTACACTTGCTGGTCCATCTTGCTCCACGCCACGCCACCAGCTGCAGGATACGTCTGGCGCTCCTCCTCTCCCACCACAACGATCTCGTCGTCATCGCCGGCTTCCTCGTCCTGTTGCGCGCACGCGTGATGGAAAACACTGAGACTCGACTCGAGCTGGAACATGCGGTCGCTCAGCATATCGGCACTAATGGTCGCATTCACGAGATCCTGCAAGTGCGCTGCCAACTGCGTCGTCGCCGCTGCTTCCACGACCTCTGGCATCTCTTCCAGCACGCGCTCCACCGCCGCTTCACTCGTCATCTCCCGCAACAGCCTGGCCGTCGTCTCTTCTGGATCCAACTCAGCGTCCGGCATCACCTCACTACCTCCATTATAGCAAACAATATCACAATATCACAACAACACAATAACACAATAAAAACCCACACAATATCAACAAAGTCAGCAGCTCCTTCTTGTCCCCGTAGCACGCTTTCATCTTTTCTGCCAATCAGAACGAAGAACGTACACGGCTGGTTTGCCTGCACAGACGTTCTCGAGCATGGCCAACAGCGACGGCGTCACCACGCCGCGCTCTTTCCAGATGCCGACGATCTTGATGATGCAGCGCTTGACCTTCTCGTCGCCCTCGGTCATGACAAAGTGCACAATGTCCACGAGCTTCTCCTCGAAAGCGGCGGCAATGTGGCGCCCAAACTTGCGGCCGCCCACTTGCATCGCGTCATTTGCGACGTAAAGATACACAATCTGATGCTCGGCTTCCCGCTCACGAATCAGATCGGCCCACTGCGCCACGATCTCGTGCAGATGCTGACGGTGCGTGAGGATCCACTGCGAGACCTTCTGGATGCTCTGCGTCGTCACTTTGGCCTGGCGCAGTAGCTTCTCGAGCTTCGAGCGCGAGTACATGGCTACGTCTATCGGCGTCTCTCTCGACGTGTGTGCTCCACTCAATTTGTAGGGATCGGGTAGGGCTAGGAAAGAGTCGGCCAGCGAGGTACTATCGAAATGCATATCGAGAACCTTGGGTAGAGCATGAGAGTGGCTGTGGCTACACTCGCTAAGCCAGTGTTAATGAAGGGTGGCAACGAAACCGCAACTTGATGTGGTGCTTGGTACTCTTTTTGCAAGTAACAAACAGTTGTTCGTTTACAGTGGAATTGTACAATATTACAGCACTACTTTCTACTTCTGCTGAGACTTTTCTATCCTGGCCGGCCGCCCACTTGTGACTAGAGAGATTCATGACGACACGTCATGGTAGACCACGTTGGCTGCTTTCATGACCATGGCACATCCATATTTAGTACCGCTTTACTTACTCGCCAGTGCAGACGGCACGTCACCTTCACGCCGACAAATGTCTAGAATCGTTCATACGCAAAGTGAGTTTCTGGACGCCGATCACGACGTCGTAAGATGCACGCAAAGGTGACGACCATGAGGGCTCCAGCGCAAACGATGGTGCTGCCAATGCCGAGCCAAAGTGTGTACTTTTCCACGAGCTGGAGGAATTCCACGCGACACATTGAATACGGCGCTGTCCCGGCAGAAGTCGCGGTGTCCCCGATGCTAAGTATCCCACCGCAAAACATTAGCGATTCTGCAGTCCGTGGGCACTTTTCGTTCGCCCAGTCAATCACGGACGAGAAGTTCTTGAATTCACGCGCTTGGTTGCAGCCGTCACACACGCCCGATATCTCCACGTAGTCACTCAAATACCCATCGCATAGACCATTGACTCCGCCTGTTACGTTCTCGAATAGCGAAACAATGGACGACTGTAGTGTTGGAACGAACATCTCAAGTGCTTCTGAGACGGACGCCTGATTGCAGACATATACACCTTGAGCGTAGCAGTACGCTTGGTCAAACGTTTCTTTCACGGATTCTTCGTCCCTGCTGGCTGGATAGACCGAGTCTTCCCAGTCATTAGCACGATGCCATATCAAAAAGGCGGCCACTGCTGCGATCACGAATACGGTGAAGATGAACAGGACGAGAGCCGCGTAGATGCACAATCCAATACGCCACCGACATAACGCAGCGACGAAACCAAGCACAGCGAGGCCGATAATGACGCTGCCTATGACAATGAGTGCTGTAACAATGCCATTTATCGGAGACCAGTAGCTTTGAATCACACCGACCCATCCTGTGTGCTGTAAGTATATCCCAAGATATAGCACCAAGGCTCCCCCTAGCGCGAGGATGCAATTCACCGTAATCAGGATCAACTCGCTCACACACTTGGTGAGGCAGGCACACAACCCCATTGTCGATATCCCGGTACGTTCGGGAATACCGCAGCAAATTCAAATGCCAACGTAGTCGTTCGCATGTTGTCGCTGACCATAAGCTCCTTCGTGGGTGGCACCAACATATCCATCAAATAAAGCAGACACAGCCATCGTTTCAGCGAGTCCTGTTGAACGTAGTGACTCCCTCCATCAGTCCTAAGACCCAAACACCTTTACTGCATTAGTGGTCTAACGGCATCATCATCCATTTGTTTTTGCAGCAGGCATGTACTGGTATCAATCCGCACTCGTGGCTGTTCCACGACTCGACCACAGATAAAATGTCGAGATGTACTCACAGGTTTGCGCTGACGTTTGAGAAGTCGTTGCAGAGTGGAAAAGATGCTCCCCTTCATGGACTCAGGTCGAGAAGAAGGAGATGCGATTGTCTAGTCCTTTCGAGGAGTGACAGATGCAGCGAATGCGAGAGCGACTCGCTGTTGCAAAGGAGCACGCCCTATGCGTAGCAATTAGTTACGGCCCTCGCACGTGTCTTTCGCTGCGACGAAGCAAAGGCATGTTGTCCTCTTAGTCGGCACAAGACATGCTACAGAGCTGGTGTGCACAAATGTTCACAATGCAGCAACATAGAGCACGAGGTCGCCATCGAGCGATCGAAAATGACGTTCACGGTGACAACGACCCGTGCCCCTCTCATTTATAGTCCGTACCACAACCACCCTCGATGTGCATGTCTACACACATTCAGACGCGCGATACGAGTATAAGAAGCAGTTCGTGCAAATTACGACGCTGTAAAGCTAACAGAGAGGGACTTGCGGGTACATTTGCATGAATACAGCACGTTTTTGTATGCAAAACATGCACATATTCACGCTAATGTGAACATTTCAACAACTAACTGGCGTCGTTTAGCGTCTCGATTGCTCAGAAGTATACAGTCAGCAGCAGCAGCACGCGAGACCTACGTTTGCTAGTATTTCGGTACCGTTTGTTCACAAAGTGCTGACATCGCAGCGTCGACGACGACGACGATCTCGTCAGTGTCATCTCCTCAAAATGTCCACGAAAGTGACAGTTACGTTCGTATCACATCGTACGAATGTCATGAGCAGACGGAGCGAACAAAATAGGGCAAAGCATACGTTATTTGTTACTGGATCGGTCAGAAATCCAGCGTCTTTTGATTCTCTTCAAGCCGAGAGCAAATCGCAGATCGTCCGCCTTTTCATTGGCTGAAATCCATCCAGCTGCCAATAACGACACGATCACTCACGCCCGTCTGTAAAGTCTCCAGTCGTGTCCACTTTTAAAACCGATCTTTCGAGTGCGAGCGAGCGGTCGAAAGTTTCCGATCACATGCTGAAAAAACTCACACTCGCCGGCGGACTCTTGATCCTCGTGAACTTGAGCTTCCTCGTTGGTGGCATTCTTCTGCTCCGCTTCAAGTCGACGCTCGAGAGCAGTGGGTGGACCGACGCACTGGATAATACCGACTACGAGTATGCAGCACACACTGCAACTTGGATGCTCCAGTTGCTGGGTATAGCTGCCATTGCATTGGCGATCGTGGGGATCATTGGCGCCATCGTTCAGAACCGCCTGCTGCTGCTGCTGTATGCGATCGTCGTGATGATCGCCATGGTGGTCTTTGGTGTGCTGGCAGCCATTGCATTCACGTTCAGAGCCAAGATGAAGACTTACGACGAAGCTGCTTATCCAGTTGACGATCGAGAAGTGGTGGTGGCCAATACGTTTAACCAAGTCTACTGCTATGCCGAGGGGTACTACTACTGCAACAATGCAACAGCAAAAGAGGCGTACACGACGTTCTTCCCCGACGCACCGAGTGAGCTCTTGGGGTTATTGCCCAATGTGACTGGCATCGTGTCGCTCTGTGGCCAGCTCTCGAGCACGGTCAGTGGCTTGCAGACAGTGTGTGAAGCTTGCAACATGTCGACGACGTTTGCCAAGTACGACCGGATCCTGATGTGGGCAGAAGACAAGTGTCCGCGAACTGCTGTAACGGGTCAATGGTGCGCGTCGTTTCTAGCTACTGGAGCTCCAGGTGAAGTGTACAATGGAGCTCCATACGGTCAGTGTCGTGCCATCTTTTTTGGAGTGGCTATTGACTGGAGCACGACGATGGCCACGGCTGGAGTTCTCCTGGCTGTTGCAGCACTTGTCATTATCATCATGACGTGTTTCACCCGTCGATCAAAAGAGCGCGTGACGTATAATTACGACGGAGGTGAGGTCAAGATCGAAACGAGCAACTGACCAGCATTTACGCTTGAGGAATGTATCAACGTAGAACAAAGACCAAGTGGGTTAACTACTTTCTTACCACCTGATCCGAAATGCACCTGTTACTGTCCGATCTATACACCCCACCATTCAATTGGTACTTCAAGAAAATGATTGGCTGGCAGGCACGCAAGATAGCAGATGGATACATCGCGCAAGTCGCACGTGGTCTATTCGTTCCTCCTCCTCCTCTCTCTCTTTCTCTGCTTAGGATACTACCGGGATCGCCGTTCCAATGGCAACAAGTGGCGAGTTCAAGCGACTGGTGCTCAAGCAGTTCCCGCCGACGAATGAGGTCGAGACAGCCGAGTCCACGTACTGGAAAAAGTTCCACGCGCCCGAAGAGCTCCAACAAGTCGGAGCAGTGACACACATTGACGTGTCGCCCGTGACGCCGCATCAAGTGGCCATCACTTCGTCCACTCGCATCCACTTGTACAGCACGACGACAAATGCGATTGTCAAGACGTTCAGCCGCTTTCGTGACGTCGTGTACTCGGGCACGTTCCGGTCGGATGGCAAGTTGCTCGTAGCTGGTGGAGAAGCCCCGTTTGTCCAGATCCTGGACACGAACACACGAGCGATTCTGCGGTCGTTGAAAGGCCATTCAAGTGCCATTCGCAGCACCCGCTTCGCACTTGACAATGTGCACGTGCTTTCGTGCTCGGATGACAAGACTGCGCGGTATTGGGACTTGCCAACGGGCAAACCATTGGCTCTGTTGGGAGATCACACGGACTACGTGCGCTCTTCAGCTGCGAATCCGTCATCGCACAACGTCTGGGCCACTGGCTCGTACGACCACACAGTGAAGCTCTGGGACCTGCGCATGTCGGACCAGTCTGTCTCCAAGAGCACGACGAGTCTGGACCACGGTGCTCCAGTCGAGACGTGCATGATCATGCCGGGAGGGAGCTTGCTGCTCTCTGCTGGTGGTAGTACGATCAAGGTGTGGGATATCCTCAGCGGTGGACGTCTGCTGCATTCGTTCTCGAGCCACCAAAAGACCATCACGAGTTTGGGCTTGGATGGGACTGGTACACGGTTGATGTCGGGATCGCTGGATGGCCATCTGAAGGTCTACGACTTGAAGACGTATGAGCTGGCCCATGGATTCAAGTACAACAGCGGCGTGCTAACCTTTGGTATGTCCCCCACGAACGGCCACCTCTTTGCTGGTACAGTGGACGGAGTCCTGTCCGTGCGTCGCCGTCCTGTAAAACGAACGGAACTGAATGAAACCAGGACTCGTCAAGCTGTCATCCGCGGCGGCACGTACAAGTACTTTTTGCGCGGCAAGAACGCGAAACCAGCAGCTGCAGATTTCCTGGTGGCGACCACGCGTCACAAGCGCATTCAGCCGTACGACCAGGCCTTGCGAAAGTTCGACTACAAGAAAGCGCTGAATGAAGCTCTCGATACGCGCTCACCGGTCATAGTTGCCAGCATGCTGGAAGAGCTGCGTCTACGGGTCGGACTTAAACGTGCACTGGGGAACCGCGACGAGGAATCACTCGAGCCACTGCTGGCTTTCCTCATCAAATACGTAACGGACCCCAAGTACGCCTTGCTCCTGGTCCATGTCTGCACGATCGTGTGTGACCTGTACGCGCCGAAGCTCAGCCAATCCATGCTTATCGACGGCTTGTTCATTAAACTACACGAGAAGCTGAACGAAGAGCTGCGCGACCAGAGACAGGTACTGGCTGTTGTGGGCATGATGGACTCGCTCATGGCTGCCCAGACCAACGGCGCTGTTGGCGTAGAAGACAGCAATTAGTTTATTCAGAAAATACGATGCTAGCTGTAGCTTTCCACTTGTGTGCTCAGCACTTGCTTCGTCCCAGTCATGCGCTTCAGACGCTTGCTCATCGGACAAGTGGTAGCGTCGCACGACCAAGTCAACCAAAATCTGCAACACGATCAACAAAACAGCATGACCGTAGTGCATTCACCGTTGAGCATACACGGTGCGCGCCACCTCAATGCTACTTCCTGCGTCCGTCGCTCCGGTCTCTTATCTCGACATGTCTATTTAGAAAGAACGTGGATGGCCTTAAGCACGTCTTCGTACTGAATATTCTCCTGAACCTTCTTCGCTTGCATCTGGTTGAGCTCATTGGGCTTGATCTGAATTAAATTACCAGCCACTGTCCACTGCTCGGCTACAACGACAAACAAGCGCCCAAAAACGTCATCAAGACGGTAAGCACAACCGCAATACACCACATAACAAAACAACAACAACACACGCCCGCCAGAGACGAAAAAAGATCACAAAGCCACCTACCAGCGACAATGTCAGCCACTTGCTGGTCTGACACATTGAGTTTGGCCTTGAAAACGTCCGTGGAAATCACACTGTGGCTGCGGCAGATGGCCACCAAGATGTAAGCGCGCACAGACTCCAAGAAGCCCGGCACCTGGTCCGCAAACGCCACGTCCGTCTTCCAAAAGTCTTCGAATAGACACGACTGGAGCATAAAGCCCGTGCGCAGCACCGCCGAGACATGAGCATCCTGCAAATGGTAGCGCCATCCACCACCCGAGAACCACATCATAGTTACACCAAATTACATTAGCACAAAAACAGTACACCAAATTACATTAGCACAAAAACAGTACACCAAAAGGTACAAACAGCACAAAAGCAGGATCAGTTGAGAAGATCGCGTCCGAGTGGATAATATAAAAGCCAACCTCGCGGATACTCTCGGGGACCATCGTCGAAGCGCCCGTGAAGAACGTCGAAGGGAGCGCCATCATGCCCTTGATGAGCACCGTCGCGACGGTCGCGGCCTTGAGCGTGGATGGGTACAACTGGTACAACTTGAGCAGCGCGAGGTTCGCGTCCACATCGACCGTCGTGTGTTGCACCTGTTCCGCTAAGTACGACTCCAGCACGTGCACGGTGGCTTGGTCACACAGGCCGCGACTGTTGTGCACGTGCAGGAGCTGCTGCTGCGTGGCCGACGCGTCTGGCGCCGTCGCAAAGTCCACGATCGTCTGGGGCGGGAACGCCGGCATGCTGGAGAGTGCCGAGGGGGTGTCGAGGGAGCCAGCGCGTGTTTGATTGGTGGAGCGAGGGAGCGAGGGTGCTCGAAGGCGAGCGCGTCCATCGGGAGTGACGAGGGATTAGTTGTGGGAGGTCTGCGTGTTTTAGACTACATTTGTGGGTGGGTGTGACCGGTTTTTGGTAGCTGCTTGTGGTGGCGGCAGCTCAAATGCAAGGAAAGGTTACTCTTTTTTTGCGTGACACAAAAACTGACTGAGCTCATTTTTCCTGCGTATTTTGTTGGTTCTTGTCCACTTCGACCTATAATAATACACTGATCCATCCTCACCTCAACCGACCCACATCGCAAATGATCTCGTCGTACTTTTTAATAAAAAGGAAAACCATCGAAAAAAAGCGACTCCACGGTTCAAGTTTACCGCAAAATGGCGTCAACCGACGAGGACGCGACGCCTCAAACGGCCGCCACAGCAGCTGCAGACGCCGCCTCTGTCACCACTGAAGCCCACGAGCACCCGGAGGACATCCAGACGAAGCCGCTGGACCCTGTAGACGTGACGAACGCCGTCCATTGCCGTCGCAATCGGCGCATTGCCGACAGTCAGGACCGTACGATTTGTACCGCAACAACCAGGTCTCGATCAAGCCATTTTAAAGCAGCAGACGATGGCCCGTCGCTGCACCTGCGACGTCAAGGAGTCACGTGTCGAGCTGCGACACTTTGGGACTCGATCGAGTGGATGGCGAGTGCTGGAGCTCAAGTGGATGCTGGCCAGCGGCTTGGCACGGCTGGACGGCTGGAGGACGGCACTCTGCGCGTTTTGCAGGCGCCTTGCAAGGGCAAATTGCATTTTTTGACGAAGGAGCAGTCGGACGAGATGATGGTCGCACAGGGGGACAAAGGGGCACGCTCCATGAGGAGAACGGTGGCGGTTGTTGAGTACTGCGTCCATCCTGTGCGCAACGGTCGCACGTGTTTAATGTGCCTCGAAGTGGTGGACGACGAGGAGGACGAGGGTGGTGGTTCTAGGGGTGATTATGGAGATGGAGATGGTGGTAGAGAGACTGGCGGCTCAGCTAGTGTCAACGTCGTGTCTCATGGACAGGTCATTCGACTGAACCTGGAAGAAGCAAGTATGCCGGCATTTTTTGATGATATGATGATGGTGTGAGAGAGAGGGACTGCTGACCGTGCGGTGGTTGTTGCTTTTGCTTTTTTTTTGGTGCGTGATTAGAAAAATTTGACACGGATAACATTCGTCGCCAGCTTGGTGCGAAGAAGCTGTCTCTAGTACTGGATCTCGACCATACGTTGCTGCATGCTGTGCGTGTTGATGATGTGGAGGGCAAGATTGCTACAACAGGTACGATGTGTGATGGTGCTGCCGTACGTCAGTTTTTTTGGATCATAGCTGATGGGCGCTGTGGATGGTGTTGTAGACGACATTCATTTCTTCTTCATTTCGGGCCTCGACCAGCAGCATGTGGTGAAACTACGGCCAGGTCTGACGGAGTTTTTGACCGAGCTTTCGGCGCTCTACGATTTGTTCATTTACACACATGGCACGCGACTGTATGCTGAGGAGATTGTCAAGATTATTGATCCGGATGAAACGTATTTCAAGAACCGTGTTGTGGCACGCACTGATACGCCAGACATGTTTCACAAGTCGCTCAAGCTGCTATTTCCTTCGTGTGATGACTCAATGATCCTTGTCCTTGATGACCGGATCGACGTGTGGAAGGACAATGAAGCAAACGTGTTTCTCATCGAGCCGTATCACTATTTCAAGTGCACTGCTGAAATCAACAACGCGTCGGGGCGTGGTGTGGCTGACCAGCACGATGCTGAGGCTACTGAAGACGGGTACCTTGCACAGGCAGTAGCCATTTTAACGGTACGATGTAGTTGCTGTAGCGATGAGTAAGACTGGCATTGGTGTAGCTCACAGTGCCGTACGTATGAATTGAAGGATGTCCACAATGCTTTCTACGAGGGTCACGGAACGGGGATGCGAGGTACGACCGTTGAAAACCAGATGGCTGGCAACGGTCGGGATGTTAAAGCGATTCTGAGCGAGGTGCGTTGTGAAAAAAAATGTGCGGCTTGATGTCATGTAGCTTACGTAGAGGATGTGGTGCAGCGAAAACGCGCAATCTTGCATGGCTGCTCGATCGTATTCAGCGGAGTGTTCCCGATTGTTGGCCCCCGGAGTCATGGGTCCCATCATTTGTGGCGTCTATCGGTCGATTTGGGCGCTGTTCCCAGCGTGACGTTGAAAGATTTTCCAATGACACACCTCGTAATCCACCCAGAACGTTTAGGAACTGAAAAGCACGCTCAGGTTTGTCAGTTGCACTGTTTGAGTCAATTAACAACATTGGGCTCTGACGTTTGGAAAATGTGGCGGCAGGCAAAACTACTTCCTGAGGTGCTGATTGTGACACCCGACTGGATTCTCAAGTGTGCTCGAACATGGTCTCGCGTGTCTGAACAGGACTTTCTTGCTGACGAATGGCAAGCGAAGTATGCGAGGAAAGAGTCAGCAGAGCAAGAGGTAAAGGCAAATGTGTCTGCGGAAGCAGATATACCTTCTGAAACACCAAGCGGGACTTGCGTGACTACTGGTGGTGATGTGAGTGCAAATGAACCATCTGCAGCCGTTTCTCTCGCATCCGAGGATAAGTCAGCTTCAACGATCATTAAGGACCAGGAGTTAGGGGAACCATCTGCAGCCGTTTCTCTCGCATCCGAGGATAAGTCAGCTTCAACGATCATTAAGGACCAGGAGTTAGGGGAAGCGAAACGCGGCAAGCAAGTCACATTTGCTGACGACGTCGCAAATCCTCCCAGTGACGACGGCACTGAGAAAAAGCCCGGGGCTGTAAGAAGGTCTCGCGTGGTTCGCAGATCACCTGGTGCTGGGCGTGCACGTACTGCGAACGCTGCTAGTATAGCAACTGGTGTTGTAGCTACTGGCGGTACGTTCGATTTCCTGTCAAAAATTAGCGCAATAAAGCGTGAGTCAGCTACCAGCGTCAAGGTCCAAAAAGCCAAAGTGACTACAAAAGATCGCGCGCGTCCAGTTTCGCCACCAAAGGTACGTGTCATAGATTGTATGAGACTGTCAGCTTTGCTAATTATTCCGGTGACTACCGTGCGAGCGTAGGACGTGGACGATGCGTTTTTGCGCCTCATTGAAGCAGAAGAGCGTGAAATTGAAGAGGAGAAAAAGCGCAAGCGGTCGTCGACTGAAATCAAGGACCAGCTTTTTACCCGACGGGCGAAGAAAAATACCAGCAAACATGCTCGTGACCCCGATTCTGATGCAATAAAGGCTGCCGAGAAACGAATGCGGGTTACCTCTCCGGAGCAGTCGAATGGGGCTATTGAAGATGACAGCGAGGATGAAGAGGTAGGTCGCGATGAGTGGATGTTAGATGGTGCTTGGCTGTGACTGACAACCGTTTTGCGAGCAGCTAGACGACTTGGAAGCTGATATCTTGGGGGACCTATGAACCTTTTCGCATGGCATGTTTCTCGCCTCACGTTCTAGCGTGGTCATTTGCTCGCGGTGAGGTACGTATGTACTGATATTGGTGGAACAAAACAAGCGAAACAATCGACTTGCCGACCAACATAGCACGATGTTACAGTGCTGACCAATGTGCGCCTTACTCGCTCAGTATCTCGAGTGGTCTGGATTGACTACTGAAACCAAAATACGACCACTTGGCTCATGAATCTGTGGCTGCATCCCGACGCGAGTTGAAAAGCCTTTTCTACAAGGCATCGTAACGCGCATTGGTAGCAGCTCATACGTCGGATTGGCAAAGGTAAAGCTGTCGATCGCGCTGCTTCACGGACTGCTGGTTTCAGTGTAATGGTGAGCTGAGGTTTCTAGACAAGAGTTTTACTCGCAATCGGCTGTCGATCTTCAGAACCACTTGCACACAAATTGCGCTACGGCAAGTGCATGATGGCACGAGTTGCACGGTAAATGGAAGAAGATGAAGAGCATGTGCTTTTCCAGCAGATGTGTGAACATGCAGCTCAAGGAGATCCTATTCCGCTGTGCGCGCCCAGCATTTATCCAGTTGACACCCACAGAGTGCCAAAATGTACACGTCCATTTCTACAAATCTTCTGAAGCTGTAAAACAAGCACTCGGTTGCCAACCAGTAAGTAGCACAGTGACATTTACGCTTAGGATACAAGCTACTGGCATCGGCTGTAGGTCCCTCGCATCGTATACGGAGCTTGTCACTTTACGAATAGTCGACTTTGGTTTGGGTCGATAAATTGTCATGCTAAGATCACGATATCGCCAAAGCGTGTACACAAGTTGATCCGCAATAACCCACTTCGTCCTCACCATACGTACTATCGGTAGGTAGCGTCAGACAAGAATGTGAAGCTGTTCGTGTCAACATTCTTAGCAGTCCAGACAGTCGCCAACGCCTAGTAATACCGATGCGGTTAGTTTATGTCAGCAGTTTCTTCTGTTTCCTACTGTTCGAACCCATTACATAGTGGAGGGAGCACTGTATCAAGCTGGGCACTTTTCAATACATACATGCAGACATTCTCGAAGGACTACAGGCACAAGAGGTTCTATTTTCCCTTGGTCGAAGGATCACGCGTGACCCGTTTTGCGATCGTACGTATACGGCAGCTGACTCGACAGCTGTTTCAGAGTCGCTTATCCTGAGTATCTCCGCTACGGCGACAGCTGTTCGTACAATGTCGATCGGTAGCGCTAGCAAAGCCGGACGCTGGAGCTTATGCAGTGTTTCCGTATTTTTATCCTGCCATAAGGTTTCGCAGAATAAACCTTGCAAAGCCTCGAGGATGCGACATGGAGAGACGAACAGAATTTCTGAAAACATGCGTTGGAAGTGTAGTACGACGAAGATGTCGAGCGAGTCGAGATACTTTTACACGCACCTAGTTATTCAACCCTTCTCATCTTCACATGTACGTGGTTATAATATAGTTACACTACAGCCACCCTTTGCACCAGCATCAAAGTGACCGCAGGTCAAGCATCCCATCGAGCGCGACCAATTGATCGACGAGCTCGGGTGGCTACATAGCCTCTGCCAGCAGCTTTGCGTTGTAGAAATCAGAATACCACTCCCACGTCTTTGCCAGTCCCTGCTTCAACAACGTCGTAGGTTTGTACCCGAGCAGTCGCTCCGCCTTCGAAATGTCGGCACTCGTGCGTGGCACGTCCCCCGGTTGGTCGGGCAAGATCTGGATCTTGGCTTTCTTGCCCACGAGCCCTTCAATGATCGAAATGAAGTCTGTCAAGAGCACGGGCGTACCTCGACCGAGGTTGAACACCTCGCAGCCGTGACCACGGTCGAGACTCAGCACAACGCCCTGTACAATGTCGTCAATGTACGTATAGTCGCGCGATGACGAGCCATCGCCGTATTGGTCAATGGCTACATCCCGAGCAATCCGGTCCATGAACTTGAATGGAGCCATGTCCGGACGACCCCGGGGGCCGTACACTGTAAAGAACCGCAGGCCAATCGTGTCGAGGCCATGGAGATGGTGGTACGTATGTGCCAGCAGCTCACAACTCTTCTTCGTTGCAGCGTATGGACTCACAGGGTAGTCGACAATGTCCGTTTCACTAAAGCGGTCCTTCGTGCTACCCCCGTAGACGGAACTGCTGCTTGCGTATACAAACTTCTTGATGTTGAACTCCCGGCACGCGTCCAGTAGCACCGTCGTCGCTACGACATTGGAGTGGATATAGAGAAGGGGGTTGTCGATACTCGGACGCACTCCAGCTCGAGCTGCGAGGTGGACCACCTCATTGACCGTCGTCTCCTTGAACACGCGCCGCACGAGGTGCTGGTCGCAAATGTCACCAATGTAGACGCGCACGCGACTGCCATAGGTGGTCGTGAGCCAGTCGAGATTGCTCTGCTTCAGCTCGACGTCGTAGTAATCATTGAGTTCGTCGAGAATGACCACGTGATCTCCGCGGGCGAGCAGGGCGTTGGCAGTGTGGAACCCAATGAAGCCAGCAGCGCCCGTCACAAGGACGTGACGACGGGCAGTGGCTGCCGCAGTTTCGGTCACTGGAACCAGCACGTCGGACACTTCGAATGGAGTTGGAGCCATCTTGCAATGGCGAAAGTCGATTTGCGACCGAAACAAGCAGCGTGAGCTGATGGTGGGAAATTGAAAAGTGAGGGACCGACTGAGGAAGGCGGCAGCCGTCGACGGCGTGGGTAAGAAGAAGTAAATGTTAAGTCGTGTATACTGCTGCTAGACAAAGAGAGGTGGAGGAGGTGGTGGTGGTTTTGACCTACATTCTCGACAGGTGGCCAACAGGGAGGCCGGGATGGTTGGACAATAGCGACGTGCAGTTAAACCTGAGCCAAAAAGTCGCGTCTGTTGCCTCTTTACCTCTGGCGAAACGGCTTACTTCAGGAATGTTGACAGGACGCGCTAAAAGGCGTGCCTATGTATGGGTCGAATCACAGGCTACCTAGTTCTTGGTTGCGCCGTAGTTGGAAACGCAAAGCAATCAAAGATCCGTGTGTCTGAGCTTTTTGATCGCGGCTCTTTCGAACAAGAAGGAAGAATGCACCAGTCCGAATGGGCGGACCATGGAAATCCGGACGTAAAGGTGAGACAGATGCTGATGAGGATCCTGCTACTGAAATCGTTCGACCGCCGACAGTTTTGCAAATCCGAGTGAAAACGAATCCACGACCGGATGTTAAATCATGCGACAGATCCTACTTGTGATACTGCTTGGAGTTTTGCATACTCACTTTGAGACGACCGACTGCTCGTTCGGTGCCCTACCATGAACAGACAGCTGCCAACCTCGCAACTGCTTGCGACGAGAGCTCGAGTTTGGTATTCTTCTGCTTCGACCCTTGTGTGAAATGACACCGCGTGCGCAAATGCATGCGCACGTGTTTGTCCATGACTTGCGCACTGGCCTTTGAAGCGGTCATAACTAGCTGTGTAGCTAGCGGAAGCCGCACAAGTTGATATGGACAAACATGGTCCGTATTGAACTTGATAGTACATGTAGTTGCCCTGATAACCGCTACTTGCTAGAAAAACGTATCAGTTCAGTAACGCCCTCGCAATTGCAAAGTGTACGAATGGAACGCGGGGTCTTACTGCAACGCAATGGTACTACTGCGCGACAAGTTCCGGTCGGACCTGACGGGGCTGAACTTATGGAGCTCGCAATGTCGGAGTTTACAACAAGGAAGGACTCGCACGTGTGCGCAGCACATCACACAGTTTGTAAAGTTTCGCAGTGACAAGTCACGCGTAGTACGTCACATGTCGCATGGTGAAACGTCGTCCTCACCAGACAACCGAGACTTGACACGCTATTCCGATCCATCAGCTCAACGTCCGAACGTCGTTGTCGCCTCTATGCTGGTGCAACATAACACCTGCGCGTAATGCAGGAGCTATTCCTCGTAGCAACACTCACGTACGTACACAAAAAAAGTCCATGTTACGATAGGATTTTCCACTCGCCACATCTTTTAGTGGCCCGCCAACGGTCGCACGAAGGTTGCTCAACGCCTTGGTACGTAAAAACAGTCACCTCTAGTCGTGCCGTAGAAATGGTACAAAACCAGGGCTTCGAAGCCTTGGATGGATCACTTTTGGCTCGCTGAAGCCATCACCACAAGAAGCGACTGACTACGGGAGTCCTCCATCGATCACGGTACAGACGCCCCTAATCACAACAATAGGTACACTAGCAACAGCACAGGCAACAGCACCAGCAGCACCATGAGCAACGTGCGCAAGCCTTCGCCCACTACCAAGTACGGCACTGTTGGAGACATCGAGGCCAGCTCCATACCCGAAGTGAAGGCTGCTGCCAGTAGCGCATTGGTCGGACCGATTCCTGCTGGATCTGTCGTGGCGGCAAACGCCACGAAAGATGGACGAGATGGAAAGAATATCTGGGACGAGTACTACCCGCTCGTGCAGCCAGCGCACCAGTACCACCACCGCAATGATCGGGGTTCGTCCAACTACTTTTTCCACGGCATGTTCTCGGCCGACGTCATGTTGGCCTATCGGGATGCTGTCATTGCCTACCTCGTAGCGCTCTACTCGATGGTGGTGCTCTCGCTCACTGGGCTCGTGTTCTGCAAGCAATGGGGTATCTTACATGACACACCAATCGTGTTTGGTTTCCGCTTCCTGTGGTTCGTGAGTCCAGTTGTTGCATCATTTGCTTTACGAAACAGTACGTAATTTCATAGAGCTTTAACGAAGTCTTGATGTGGGGGTACTGATTAACGTCTCATTTGGTTATCGCTGTTGTAGTTGCGATGCTGAGATTACAGGCATGCAATACACCACCACACTGGAATATACCACCGCTGTACCACTTCTTCAAGAGCTCTCATTCGTCACGATCCACATTTCGGCTTGCACTTCTGAGCTACTCGGTTCCAGTTCTGTGTGAACTGGCGGCATTTTCTCTTAGTGCTGCAACGAGAATGGTCAACCCAGTACGTCCCGAATTTTCTATTTGATTGGATTTTGCGTAGATTGCTAATTTTGCCACTTACTCTTCACAGTTCAACCGAACTTTTGTGCGAAAGCTCGAGATCGTGTTCAGCTTCAACGACGTGGAGGCGCTTGACTCCGGGTTGGTGCTCTATGTGTTTTACATGAGTTTTCTCGGTATATTCTGGGACCCAATGCCACCGCAGCGATACGACATCGGCCTAGCGATGGGGTTACAACCTTGCGGTAGGACCTTATGTTTGTTTGAACATTGAGGTTTGCTGTATTCAAGTGGCTCACCCATTTTGCTTTAGGTACGAGTTGGTTCTTCTTTGCGATGATCCAGGAGATTGGATGGAGCGGATCCTTGTTTCCAGGTACGCTCAGCTGCGATTTCACCGCACAAGATACCTCTTTGGTAACGTTGATTCTTATTTGAGCAGCTCTGGAGATTGTTTTCAGCCACTCGACAATCCTTGCTTCGGCAATCACCGGGTGCATCTGGGCGCTCTGGCACTGGCCTATGATCATCGCTGACGCGCTGGAGGTAGTACCCAAGGGCTCCGGGTATTCAGTTGCTGAAACGCGCGAGTTCCACCTTATCTATGTGCTGGCAGTATTTACGCTGCTTTTGGTTGGCTCTCGCATCATTATGTGCTGGATACAGGGCAATTCTAGCTACGTCATTTGGTCAAGCGTTGTTTACCACGCCACCCACAACCTGTACGTTGCTGAATTTGATCTTGTATTGGGAGAAATGATACAATTCTAACGACAAATACATTTGCGTGCTGTTGCAGTTTCATCACGTCAGTATTTGGACAACTGACTGCTCCACTCTATGATAAGGCTCAACTTTTTATCTTTTTCAGCTCCGAGTCGTCAGTATGTTTGCTTGTGACTGTGTGGTTTTCCACTTGCATCCTCTCACAAATGTTTCAGTGGACATATCTCATGCCAATGCTACGTCGAGCAAATTCGAGGGCTACACGCGCGCTTGCAGCATAGTACTATGCCAGAACTAAATGCTGGCTACCTACATTGTCCGATCAAATCACAAGTGGTCCAGTTGAAGTTTGTCTGGTAGATATTATACTGTATACCGAATACCCTTTTTACAAATATTCTTGTAAGATTCTATAATTACTTAGTGCTTGTTCTACCAAAAATGAAAAATGAAATTGTAATCTGAAATAGATCGGTCTGATTTGTGTGATTAGCATCAACCAGTCGTATTGATGGGCCACCTTATGTGTCTATTAGAACTCTTGTTAGTGGAGGCAGCCCTTGTAATGTACTCGTGCAATGCTAGTAGTTTACACAATAGCTCCGTATTCCTACAGACTCCGACCGTGGTTCTGCAACAGGTGGATTTCAAGGCATCGATTGAGCTGCTGGAGCTCAAGAATGGTGCGTATCTTCTTGATTAGTTGTTTCACTCATGTATTACTGGTTAACGCTGTCTCTCTTTAGGATCAGTATATCCAAAACAGTTATGGTACTGCATAGAGGATGAGGATGGTACAGTACTGACCAACGGCACCATCCAAACGCTCGAGGGCGATGGCAACTACCAGTCGCGTTTATCAATCAATATTAAGCATTTACAGCTGAAGTCTTACGGAAAACACAAGCTTACCACGACGGTGTGGGAGAAAGAGAAACACAAAGTCGAGGCCGAGCCGATGGTCACGAAGGCCCCTCAGTCGAAGGATACGGACGCAAACGTGGTCCTGCCTTTAACGGTCGACATGCTGCTGTTCCGGGTGGTGCACACTACTTCTGTGACAGTGTCACCTGGATGGGTGTCATTGCTTCCACCTCTCGTGACTTTGATCATGTCGGCTGTGCTGGGCCAAGTCGCAGTATCGCTCCTTGCTGGGATCTGGTGTGGAGCTATCATCGTTTCGGATGGAAACCCGTTCACATCTTTCCTTCGTACATTTGACCAGTATTGGACGAATGCATTCACCGTGAATGATCATGCTGGTGTGTTGCTGTTCACGATCATACTCGGCGGAACTATTGGCGTGGTCCAAAAAGGCGGAGGTGGGCACGGTCTGGCGCTGATTGCCAAGAAGTTTATGACGTCGTCTCTACGCATGCAACTGTCAACGTGGCTTCTGTGTCTTGTGATCTTCTTTGACGACTACTCGTGCATTCTGATCGTTGGAAGCTCCCTGCGTCAAGTTCTCAGCCAGACGGGTGTTAGCCGTGAGAAGTTTGCAGCAATCATTCATACTGTCGGCGTCTGTTTGCCATCTATGTGTGAGTGTGTTGAATTTTGAATTGCCAGAAGTTTTGTTGTTGTACACGCGACTGACTGTGCCTTTATGTTAAATTGGTTCTGTACGCAGCTCCGGTGAGCGCATGGATTGGTGTCGAAATTGGGTATGTGGCGGCACAGCTCCGCAATCTTAAGCTCGACTGGAACCCGTTCGTCACGTGCCTTTCGTGTTTGCATTACCGATTTTTTCCGATTCTATTCATCGCTTTCATTTTCATCACCATCATCTGTGAGAAAGACTTTGGCCCGATGGTACAGTTTGAGAAGGATGCTGCAGCATCCCCGATTAATCATGGCTCGGCAACTCCAGTTTTTCCAGGACCGATGGACAGTCCAAAGCCAGAACTTGCCCCATTGGAACCTGATACAACCAAACCGCTTCGATGGCAAAATGCGGTGGTACCATTTTTGAGCATCGTCGCGTTAGCATTCGTGGGAATGATTTTCGATGGCTACAACGTCCTGTATATGCAGGACCCCAACAGATCCTTTGGCATTCTCGATGCGCTAAGCCACTGTAATTCAGTGGCCTCTTTGCTCCGCGCGTCTGCTGCAGGCTGGGTCATTGCCGTTGCGCTATTGCTAATGCAGCGTATTATCACGCTAAATGAAGCAACGAAGGCTTGGATGGAAGGAGTCAAGGACATACTGGACCCTACGCTGATTCTCACACTTGCGTGGGCTCTTGGCGCGGTCATCGGCGAAGTGAGCACTGCCCCGTACATCGCTTCAGTGGTCGGAGATTCAGTTCCAAAGCAATTGCTGCCAGCAATCGCGTGCCTACTGTGCTACGTCGTGTCCTTTGCCGTGGGCAGTGCGTTCGGCACGATGGCAATAATGTTCCCCATCATTGCGCCACTTTCGTGGTCTATCAGCGGTGGAGACACTGAGAATCTGCGTCAATGCTTCGGCAGTATCCTGGGCGGCTCCGTATTCGGGAACACTTGTTCGCCTATTGCCGATACGTCCATCCTAGCGTCTCTCTCAGCGCACGTGCCGTTGGAGAGCCATATTCGCAGTATCCTGCCATACGCTCTATTGGTTGCAGTCGTGTCCGTTGCTGGTGGCTATCTCCCAATCGGACTGAAAGTCTGCAGTACATTCACGGCGTTCGGCATTTGTCTCGCGGTGCTCTTGCTCGTCGTGTTTTTCTTCGGGACCCGGGTCAACACACGTTACCATTCGCTATCATCGTGCAGTCCTATGAGCATGTCACCGCCATCGAGATACAATGGAGAAGGCCAGCCGTTACTATTGGCGTAACTTGTTGAACAAGAGCTCAAGCTGTGACTCTATTGTTGAAGTTGACACAGCATGTCGAGTTTGCACTAATGTAGCCATGTGGAATGCAGATGTTTTTTGCGGTCACTATTTCAGTTCGCTCGTGACCAATCATAGTGTAGCCATTTTTCGCATGGCTGACTCAATCGTGCTGGACCTGACGGCTACGAGTAATCCGTACTTGGACTACTACCACAAGTTTGTGCGGGAACATCCGGGAGAACTTACGGCAGTGTTTGATCCGGAGCTCAGTGATGAAGCGCGCTCCGAGATGTACGCGGCGCTCGACGTGCGCGTTGCAATGGTGAGAGTTGCCTGGTCAGAGGATGGGCAGTATGGGATTTGGCTTTGGTATTTAACGGGTGTTATAACTGTACAGAGGTATTCGTGGGCAATTCCTGACGAGCGTGCGCTTCAAATTATTAAACATTATGGACCGGTGAGCTGCTGTGTATCTACTTTTTATGCATCTACTTTTGTTTAGTTGATTAAATATCGATTATTTTGTTTTAATTCTGAGCTGACATGGAATTTGTTCGATTCTGTCTGACGATGTGATAGATTGTGGAGATGGGAGCTGGCAGCGGATATTGGGCACGACTGCTGCAGGATCGTGGGGTAGATGTTGTTGCCTATGATTTGCATGTTGATGGTGACGAAGAGGAAGAAAGCAAGGAGAGTGAGAAGGACGGTGGCAAGACTGCTGCGACGAGTGGCGAAGAGAGCCACGGTGAAGCTGAAGAAACGATGGAAAGTGATGACGGTGAACAAGCGGAGGACGAGGAGCAAAGTGGTGATGAGGAAGAAAGAGGAGGAGATCAAGAGGACGAGGATGAAGACGAAGAAGTCGAAGTCGAACAAGTGTACTGGACAAAAGTGGTCAGCGGGACGCCGAAGGTACATGCAATCAAATGTCGTTCATCTGATGGACGACCAATTCGGCTGCCGTTGCTAACTGCTGCTGTGGACAGGATTTACGGAAGCATACAGACCGTACGCTGTTCTTGTGCTACCCCGATGACTTTGAGGACAGCAGTGAGTCCGTGGCGATGGCGAGTCTCTGTAATTACGCAGGTGATACAGTGATCCACGTTGGGGAGCTATTTGGTCATACTGTGTGCCTTCCAAACGCATGGTGAGCTCATCCATTTTGCAAGATGTCATAGGTTCCATGAGAATCCACATGTTCTGAGAATGCTGTCATCGTTGATTTCTTGCAGGGGCAGGACGTCGTCAGAGGAGTTTCAGACCCATTTGGCGACTGTGTATCACAAAGTGCTGCAAGTGCCGCTGCCGTCATGGCACTCCAGTATCGACACTCTCACCGTGTGGAAGCGAACCAAGTCGTCTATTGTGGAGGGCGCAGTGTACGCGTACATCCCCGACAATCAGCGTATTGACCTGACTGCTGCGTCCCCATCTACGCGTCATTTGCTGCTCTTTGGCGACGCCAGCACTGATGCAAACGCAACGACTATAGCTCCCAAGAAATGCACAGGTGAATATATAGCAGAATCTCCTGGGAATGGTGGCGAGAGTCATCAGAGCGACAGTGACGATAGCTCGATAGCACGTGGAAGTACAGCTAAACGGGTGAAGCGCTAGCAAGAAATGTTTGGTGATGTACTAGAGTCTAAGCCTAAGATAGTGGAGGGGGTGGTGCTTGTCCAGGTAGCACGTTAATGTTGGGCTTTGAGCAACTAAGTCGTCCATTTTGGAAAAGAAGTCCTTTTTCTACGAGCGCTATGTAAATAATTGTTACTTTCGCCAGCGTTGTGCTATTTCTACCACATTCCAAAAAAAGAGGCGTGGTTAAAAGTTTAATTCCCTCAAGTGCGTGTTTTATGTGCGCCTTGATCAAGTACACAATGTTAAGTACACGCTGTTAAGTAGGCGCTGTTCAAGTACGTTGACAAACGCGGACATCGCATTTCCACTTTACCATACAGATTGGCTCTCCTCTATAATTGTGTAGGGCTTCGACCCGGACATGGTTTTGTTGGTGTTGGACCCAGCTGGTCCGGTCCACGGGTCGGGAATCGAATCGAACTGGACCATGACCCGTCGGTCCCATTTATTAGATTCAATATGATTGTTGCCGCAACAACCAGTTACCATGCGTATTTTCATCATACTTTGGTCTCTGTGTCCTATAAATACAATATCCTACAGTCCATGGGAGGGATAAAAGTGGATTACTCATTCGGGTAAAATCTACTTAGAACAAACTTCCCTTTTCAACGGATTCTCCTAAAATTCGCATGGTAATGCATCGCCTGTCGATGCAATCAGAAAGTGCAACGAACGTCGAATCCACCGAAGGCGTCAGTTGGAAATCATCAGTGTTCTGCCGCTAACAGTGTCGGTAAAAGATAAGCTGGGTATGGAAGAACTTGGGTGATAAGGCTTAAAGGAAGGAGAAAAGCTGCATCGTCAAGTCCCAGAGAATCGTGGCAAATCAGCAATTTGCGTAGCTACGTAGGTGTGCACAGGTATCAGTAAACAAACTTAGCCAGGCGTTTAGCAGCTAAAGACGCAGGCATTGCGAATGGTACCGATCAACATCTTCTGGAGCATTCTTGGCTCTATCAGTGTGCGAAAGATAGCTGACAACGTAAGCTTTTCGAGATTAGCAATCCAGCAATGAGTCCGGTGTTGACGTTGGCAGAAATTACCGGACATGATGTTCAGGACATTTCTAATCAGGGTACACGTATGCTTCCAAATTTTGGCCAAACGAAGTAGTTAACGTCATATCTCGAGGACGCTGTAACGGGGTAGTCCCTTACATGATATTGACACCAAACGGTGTCAATAGAGATATTGTCAAGCATGAGAATATCCTGCCAATACTACCTGAGATGAATAATATTGAAGGAATATTACCCCCTTTGGATAATATTCTTGTGCTGCTCAAGGATTGGTTGATAAAAGACAGATCAGCCATAGGTTGCCACCAATCGCCGCTGGACTCGCGCAATGAGTAGTGATCAGGTTGTCGTCATACGACAACGTAGTTTAATATAGTTAGATAAAGACTGAAGTTATATTGAAAGCTTAACTGAATTAAATACAGTTCTCTTTTTACCTTTCCTCAAACTAGCTGTTTGAGTAGATTAGCTTCCTCTGCGCGTACTAGTGTACGTGAAGTTTCGTGGCACCCAAGCTAAGGGTTCCCCGTTACATCTAGTAGCACTTCGTAGTCCGTCCAACGACTACTTAGTTCCCGTCCAACATGAACACGTTGGACGTAGAAATCGACAGCTTTCACGTCACACGTGAAGGCTACTCCCATCTAAGTGACTCACAATGGGAGGTAGTCGGCCGCATGAGTGTGCTCATGGGCGAACCCGCCATCAGTGATATGTTGGAGTCTCTAAGCAAAGACCACCCTCAACATTCTGCTATCAACAAGTTCCTACAAAGGAAACTTGCCGTCGAAAGAAACAAGATAGCCTTGCTACAACAGCAAGGCTCTCATCAGTCGATGGGCGGGCCGACGCACATGCGTCGACCCGAAACCGTTAAAATGATATATCAAGGTACAAGAAAACCGATGAAGATTCCCTTTCTTGAGATGTTTCTTAGAATTAGACGACGCCATCAGTGCCCGTCACATCGAGGGTGACGAGAAGCAAGTCATGTCGCCCTGTCAAATTTGACAGGACGATCAAAGACTTGGCCCTTAGGGCTCAAGCTTCACGACACAAACGTGTTTGAGTCGTTAAAGCTTGAAGCCTCGACTCAAAGAGACATTTGAGCCGCCGAGAGCCGAGTTCAGAGCACGCTCTGCACTCCTAAGGCTCAGACAAGGTAAGCGTGATGTGCATGCTTACGCACAACACCTACGCTACCTTGCAAGTAGCGTCACGGAAAAATCTGTTGATGAGCACTCGCTCATCAACTTGTTCATCTACGGCCTTGTTGATGGGCCGGAGAAGACCTTCATATTCTGAGAGGTTTTCCATACTCTGGAAAAGGCGATAGCGTATGCGAAATAAGAAGACTTCAGCCTGAGACAATCTCAGGCTAACTCGTCAAACTATATTCCGACGGGACGACAGGAAACAGGAGGTCCCGAACCAATGGACCTCTGTTATATTGAGAGCGAGAACTCTAGCTCTTTGAGTCATAAGCGAACGGCAAGATGCCATCGCTGTCAGGAGCTTGGGCACTACTCTAATGAGTATAGGGTACCAAGCACCGCATCACTTCCAAAGACAGGACGTGATGACCGCCTATGGCCGAGGAGGCGCGGGTCTGACCAAGTCGCTAAACCGCGACAGCAAGTCGGACTGTCAAAAAATGGTCAGGGTCAGTACGGGCAAAGCACCCTGCTGATCCAGCAACTTCAAGAAAATTTGCAGGACTCTTGACGAAGATTGTTACCAAATCACAGTCGCTTTGTGTTACTGTCCCTAGTGACGAGGTGTCACTCATCACTTTGAAGATCGAAGTGACAAGTGGAATGCCACTTCGCGCCCTAGTTGACTGTGGGGCGCCGAACAGTTTTATTCGACGCCAGTCGCTAGAAGATAGTAGACTTAACTACGTTGATCCAGAGTTCCCTCCAACAATTGTGATAGTGTACCTTGCAACAGGCGCATCCGTAACAGTGTACAAACATGTAGTGGGAATTTACTACACGCTAGAAGAAAAGCAGTACGATGATGACTTCATTGTACTGTATTTGGACGACAAAGTTGATTTCGTCCTCGGTCTGCCATGGCTTAGAAAGTACCAGCCATGGGTCAGCTGGCAGCATCGATCCGTGAAGATGCCTGCCGTTTGTTCATCAGATGGCCATCTGATGAACGTCTTGGAGCGTCAACAAGCGTGTGGGTGTACTACGAGTGAGTGCGATGGCCTCACTTGTGGTACGGTCGTTAGTACGATTGCACAAGATCACAGTGTAGAAGGCCACCGCACTGTGGAACCAGCTTCTGGCACCTGTGTAGAGACACAGGCTGCACCGAAGGTTCACCACTCGAAGAGATCGAGGGGACTGGAACACGGATGCACACCAAGAAGAGTGCATCAAGAAGAGAGATGAGCGTTGTTCATGATGAACAACACGTTGAAGCAAGATCGACTGTCAGAGAGTCGGTCGTAGAGCAAGCCCGATCGACGAAAAGAGAGTCGATCGAAGAGGCCGTAACTGTGGTATCGCACACAGTTAGAACACGTATTAAAAGAAAGTTTTCGAGTAACTGGGAGTGATTACTCCCGAGAGACTTATGTTGAGGGTGTAGATCACCAACCACCTGCGGATGTGTTTTCCCAGGAAATCACCGAGACAGTGAATGACTTGGTAAATGAAGGATCAAGTGTAGGCGCTTATACACTTGATCTGGTTACACCTCCGAAGTCAGCTTCGGAGGTAGTCAAGTTGCCAACGCTAGAATTTAAAAGGTTCTTGCGAGATCTGCGTAGTGACAAAATCAAGCAGATCTGCGTACTCGTCACAGAGGACGAGTACTTCACCGATATTCGGTCGGCACAAGTGTTTACTGAGAACGAACGGGTTCTCAGTAGAGTATCGACGGACGAGAGTGTCCTCAAAAAGAAGACTTGGATTCAGCAGTATACATCCCGATAGTGAAAGCGTTTGAAGACAAATCCTTTGTACAAGGATTTAGTCGAATTCAGGAGTGTTTTCCCTGAAACTGTTCCGTGCGAGCTGCCCAAGGATAAGGGCACTCGGCATGAGATCGAACTGAGACCCGGTTCGAAGTCATCCGACATGAAGCAGTGGCCACTGCCTCGTGAACAAGTACTTACGATCGACAAGTTCTTTGCCGATCGCTTAGCTGCAGGCCATGTGAGGGAATCAACTTCCCCACATAGCACTCCGACCTTCTGTTTGCGAAAATCAACAGGGGGGTGGCGGATAAAGCACGCGTTCAACAAGCTGAACGCTGCAAGAGTACCGGCTCTTACGCCGATACCGAGGAAGGACGTCATCATTTATGGTATGGCAAAAAGAACCATCTTTTTGTCCATGGATCTGATGGATAGATTATGTTAGATCCTCATGCGTGACGGGACATTCCGTACACAGCAGTGAGCACCCCCAGTGGTATGATCGGGGGGTGGCTAGTGATGCCACAGGGGCTACTAACGCCCCCGCAACGTTTGACAAATGTGTTACGAATCTGTTGCTATCGGTGCGAGATTTTGCACCGGGTTACTTTGACGATGTCTTCGTCCATAGCCGGGCTATGGATGGAAAGACGGACGTGGAGGTTCATAGAATGCACGTCCTGAAGGTTCTTACACTAATGCGAGAGCATAAGTTGTTCGCGAACCTCAAGAAGTGTGTATACGCAGCTAACGAAATACCACTTCTTGGCTGCATCGTGGGTAAGACCGGGGTACGTCTTGATCCGGAAAAGATCAAGGCGATTAGCGACTAACCTGTACCACCCGACGTCAAGGGAATTCGAAAAAATAAATTCCTTGGCTTGGCAGCGTATTTGCACAAATACTCGCGCAACTATGCCGAGATGACTGTACATCTCTATCGTCTATTAAAGAAAAACAAGAGGTGGACATGGAGAACTGAGTGTCAGCACTCTACTAAAGGTATCAAGAAGAGCTTGATTTGATTGTCTATGTTGGCGATTGCAGACCAGGACAGACCATTCCATGTGGTCTGTGACGCCAGCGATTTTGCAATCGGCTGCGCGTTAATGCAGTACGACTCAGACGGCGTTGAGCGCGTCGTCTGTTATCAATCGCGTCAGCTGCAAGCAGCTGAGCAAAATATCCGGTGCATGACATAGAACTCCTTGCCATGAAATATGCACTGGCTAAGTTTCGGGTCTATCTCTTAGGAGATAGGCCCTTCATCGTTTATACCAACCGTGCGTCGTTACGCACGGCCGTAAACAGTCCACACCTCTTGCAACGAATGGCGGGGTGGCTGTCTTTCCTCGCGAAATACAAATTCTCCGTCGATTATAGACCAGGACGACTTAATGTCGTCGCTGATGCTCTTTCGCGTCGGCTCGATTTGAAGCCGACTGCTCAACACAACAGTAGGGGTGATTACCACTGTAGCGACACTAACAGGGAGTGGTCCGTCGTCGAATTTGCTCGACGACGTGCGAAAAGCACACGCAGAAGATGAGTCTCTTCTGCTATTGATGGATTACGTATCCAATCAGTGTAATCAAGCTTTAAAAAACTTGTCGTCTCAATACCGCTCTTCAACCGAATAGTATACGGTTCGTGATGGACTGCTGTACTATACAGCAGTCAACGGCGACACACCTCGTGTCGTCGTTCCGGCTCATAATGATTTGCGATTGTGCATCATGTATGAGTGTCACGATGCCCCAACAAGCGGGCATCGCGGTAGAGAAAAGACTTACCTCATGGTGAGTCGTGACTTCAACTTGCCCCGCCATAACGAGTTTGTGCGGAAATACATTTGCGCTCGCGAAGTTTGTCAACGGGTGAAGCCTAGTCCTTCATCCCGCGCACACTTACAGCCTCTTCCGATTCCGGCAGAGTGGTGGCAGTCCGTATCAATGGACTTCATCTTCAGGTTTCCCAAAAACGTTCACAAGAATACTGGTATTCTTGTGTTTGTTGATCGGTTCAGCAAGATGGTACATCTTGTTGCTGTACCGGAGTCAATCAAAGCCCGGGTCTGTGCGCGTGGCTTCATCGATACTATCTTCCGACTTCACGGGCTACCCCGCAAACTCGTGTCCGATAGGGACCCCCACTCCACAGCGGAGTTCTGGCAATCCGTGTTCCGTTCACTTAAAACACGTTTGACGATGTCAACTTGTGACCACACCGAAACGGATGGTCAAACGGAACGCGTCAACCGCGTTCTCGAAGAGATACTTCGAGGGTATGTCCACTCGTTTACGAGCTGGAGTGAGTTCTCGCCGGTAGTGGAATTCTCCATCAACAACTCGGTGCACGCTTCGACAACGCATACACCGTTCTTCGTGAATGGCCTACGCCATCCACGTGTACCCGCCTTCTTAGAGTGTGACTCTCGTTCAAGGGGGGAGGGGTGGAATCGCTCGAGCAAAAACCGATCTGGTTCTTGCTCATCACCCGTCGACAATGGTGTCGACGTGATGGATGCCGATGTCGATGGGATCGATGTCGATGTAGATGGGATCGATGTCGATGGGATCGATGTCGATGATGATGATGACGACGATGCTGGCATATTCAGCATCGCCAATGACTGCCACGGTGAAGACGATGAAGCCCTCACTGGTGAGGACAACGTTCTTTTAGCATTGCACACGAAGCGCACAAGGATGAATCAGCAGAAGAATTTCTGCTGACTCGCGAAGCGGTTGTCCGCTTCGTTCAAGACTCTGTTGCAGATGCACTAGACAGACAGAAGAGAAACGCAGACAAACATGGAAGAGCAAATGGAATTTAATTTGATGAAGGAGGCCTAGTTTTACTGTCTCCAGTAAGCTTACGGAAACACACAGTGACAAACGTGGGCAGCAGTAAATTACTGCCCAGGTACATCGGTCTATTTCGTGTGTTGCGCCGAATGGTAACGCATACGCGATCGAACTGCCCCGTAAGATGCGCACGCATCCTACGTTTTACGTTGGTCGTCTCCGCCCATACTATCAGTACGAGCCCGTTTTGAGATGCGAAGAACACCTCCACGGTCTAGAGCCGAGACCACCCTCGAGTGGTCCCGTTTCAACGAGCTAGTCTGGTCGACTAGAGAAGCGACCTGTTCACGCAGCTCAGCGATGTCTCGACGAGCTACATCCAGCTCGTCAAGAAGAGAACGAGTCGAACGTTCGTTCTCAAGTTGCACGAACGCAAAAGCGGCACGATCGTCCGAACGATTATGCGCTAGGGAATTATAATTATTCCTCACAAGATCCTCAAGCCCATAACGCCGAGATCGTTCATGAGCCAGGTAATCTTGCAACTGTTCCGTTGGACGGTTCAGCTCTTAAACATCAACTTGATCCGACCCTGGAGCCGGATCAGGTGTTCCCACCGCCACCACATCCTTTGGTGGACTCAAGCGGTGGTCAACTCTTCCTAGTGGAGCGTATTTTGAACCACCGCGGTTGAATGGCATCCGGACGAGTTACCTCGTCCGCTGGCGTGGCTGTCCACCGGCGTGGGACAGCTGGGAGCCTCGTGCCCAGATGATTATTGATGTCCTGGGTCTCACTGAGCAGTATGACGAGACCCACCCGCTGCGTTCGAAGAAGTGCCGTTGGAAAACGACCTCCCCGAACGTGCGTACAGGGATTGCAAAGTGTCAATCCCTTCGGCCATCTAGGAAGCGATGCGCGCCCTCCATTTGGGATCATTAGGGAGGAAGGCCTCCCTAGGGGCACGGTTCGAATTGTCCAGGAAACCTGGGCACGAATCACCCCACGAGAGACAGGGTAATCCTGCCTCTCTTGAAAGCCGGTGCAACTTGTATCGCGCCCCAACTGGGTTGCATTTCTTAAACCTGATGCGAGCTGCATCAAGTTTGGCGAGCCAAGCTTCACGGTCAAATACAGTCGATGTTGTGGATGAGGGCATTCCATCCCTGCACCAAGGCTTTGCCGTCTCGTACACGGCTACCATTGTACCACCGATGTTTGAAGAACGCATCGGTGAAGAACTCTTCCTCAGCACGGATAGTTTCCGTGATGGAATCAGGCGGTCAAATCTTCCTGCAATCGAACAACGGGATTCGATCCCGTTCGGTAGTCGTGCCGGTCAGCCGATCCAACTTTCTGGATGGCGGCATCCATGGAGACTCCACTTGAGGAGCGTGGCGCATGACATTTCGGTCCCTGGCCTCTTGATTGGTGCCAGCATGAGCACTGGCACCAGTATTACCCCGATCCCTCGAGTTAATTCGCTTGTGGTGATGCATAGGTGCATCACCACCATCTCCACGCGTCCTATCGCGGGATGGACTTGCGTGAGGCGGAGACTTATCGGAGTAATCACTTGATCCGAAGATCTCGGTCATGATGCTGCCGCGCTGACCAGAGGCAGTCAACCTGGCTGTTGCAGTGTCCACCCCGGGTGACCCCGAGGCGTGAGGAGTCACCCTCGAGTCGGATGCATCATCCGGCTCGCCGGAATAGTTGAGCTCTATCTCAGAATCGTCTTGATTACGACTTGTGGTGCCTGCTGCAGACGCAACGGATGTACCTGTCGCACGTGTTGACTCACCACGTGGAAAATACACGACAACAGGTGACGAATCGCCTGCTGCTGAGGCGTGAGAGGTGCTTTCCCCGGATGCACGCATGCGTGTAGCCGCCCTTCTTGCTGCGGTAGTAGTAGCTCGCTTGGTTTTGGAAACCATGCGTTGGATTGGCAAATGGATGGGATTTGACCAACAAGTGCTCCCCTTCTTAAAGTGATTAAACGGTGATCACCCTGTCCCAATCAATCTAATTCAATAGACGGGTGATGGATGGTTTTGGGGGGGGTGATGTAACAGGGTAGCTCGTTACATGAAATTGACACCAAACGGTGTCAATTGGAATATTGTCTCGTATGACAATATTCTACCGATACTACCTGAGATGAATAATATTGAAGGAATATTATCCCATTTTAGGATAATATTCATGCGCTGCTCCAATATTGGTTGATACAAGACATATTAACCATAGATTGCCACCAATCGCTGCTAGACGCGCGCAATGAGTGGTGAGCAGGTTGTCGTCATACGACGGCGTAGTTTAATAGTTAGATAAAGATTAAAGTAGTATTGAAAGATTAACTATATTAATAACACTTCTCTTCTCACCTTTACTTGACCGAGTCGTTCAAGTAGATTAGCTTCCTCTGCACGTACTAGTGTACGTGAAGTTTCACGGCACCCCGAACAAAGGGTGCCCCGTTACGGTGCACCTCCCGGTACCGGTGCCAGTGCTTAACCGCTCGGCCACCGGGATCGGTTCCTTTTGCAGTTTAGTTGGCCCAATCAACACACCAAAAGTTATCTTACTGGAACACTTAAGTGTGAGGATAGACATTCCCACTCAAAATGGAGTAGACATGGCTGGATACACTTTGTCACTGCTCGATGTCGTCGTCATTGTAACGGGGCACCCTGAAGCTTGTACTGATGACAATACAAGCTACTTATTCTGATGACAGAATAAGGCGGTGCCTCGTAACTTCACGTACACTCGTACGTGCAGAGGAAGACGGTAAGAAGAAGCGAGTGCTTGTTGAAAGTAAAAAGTAGAACTGTATTTATAATAGTTAATGTCTGCAATAAATCACTATTTATCTTCATCTAACTATGTCTAAATACAAATGTGTAAATCAGTTATCTGCTCACCACTCATTGCGTGCGTCTGTCGTGGCGCGTCTTCGTTGGTTGATATAATGGCCTATATCAACCAATTAGGAACTACTCGTAAGTGCTACAGAATATTTGTCCTTATGACAATATTCTGAGAATATAACTCTTATAGTTATATTCTATTAACAATTTCTTATAAATTGTTATGTAACGATTCACCCCGTTACATCACCCCCCCTTAACCATCAGTCACTTTAGTGACTGATTGACTAAATGGATACTCGTCCCAAATCATTTGGGACAGGGTTTGCACTTGTTGGTCCGAGTCCACTTTCCAACATCTCATCGCATGGTTAACAAGCCCATGCGATGCGCGAGCAAGGCCGCCGAGAGCGCGTCCGCACGTCTCTGTGCGGACGCCGAAGCAGAAACCACAGCAACTGATGTCTCATCGGTTGCTGAAGCGACTGCTGAAGCGACTCAGCCTGTGTCACTTGGTGATGCAGGCGCTAGTCATGAAGACACTCATGTCTTCACAGAGTATGAGCTCGGTGTCTCATACTCTCCTGATACGGAAGACGGATCCGAATCGACGGCGATTGAATCTAAGCCGCCTGCCAAGCGTGGCATGGATGATGCTATGCGTCGTAGCATCTTTGGTTCATCTGATGAATCAGATGAACCATCGCCGAAGCGAAGGCGCTCGAGGTCGCGAGACTCGGGCGCTAACAGTGGTGTCGGTTCTCCTATTGACACCACTTCACAGCGAGGTGCCAGTACTTCTGTCGGCACGTCGCAGGAAGAGCGGGACCGCAATGTGTTGCGTCTCGCTCCTGAGAAGAAGGCATGGATGCCTCCTAAATCCGTCATGGATCACTTGTCGGCGACGACGAGTGATCGTTATCGAACACGGTTGTTCGATTCGTCAAGGATCCATCACCTTGACCCCAGCGCGAAAAACTATCGCGCTGAACATGAATTCTTCATCGATGCTTTCTTCAAACATCGATGGTACAGTGGGAATCACAAACGTGATGGTCCCTCACTGCTTCAAGCGTGGAACGCCTACATCCATAACCTCGAGGATGTAGGTCGTGACGCTTGGAACGACAAACTTATCAAAGCTCGTGATAAGTTTGAAAAGCGAACCCCGACAGGTGCACGCTACAAGCTGCATCGTCTGTCAAGGGAGAAAGGATTACCCTGCCTCTCTTGGGGAGACTCGTGCCCATGTTGTGTGAACAACTCTGCACGAGCACCTAAGGAGGCTTACCTCCTTACTAGCCCGTGGTGGCGCGTACGTATCTCTACTGAGATGTACGAAGGGATTGACAACCTGAAATCCCTTTACGACCGTGCCGGGAAGACTTTCTCCGGCGGTCCTTCTGCGGCACAGGATGTGCCGCGTCGTACTGCTCAACCAGACCCAGTACGTCAACCATCAGTTGGGAGCGGGGCTCCCAAGTATCCCAGGACGGGGGATAGCCGCGCCACCGGACGAGATAACTCGTCCGACGTCCGTTCACGTCGCGGTGGTTCAACAGCTGCTCAACTAGATAGCGCTGGCCACCGCGAGAGTCCTCTAATGGAGGTGGAGGAGGAGGAAAGACGCTCTCCACACGATCATGTGGATCCGTGTGTTCCCGAGAGCTTCTTTGATCGCGTAACGCAAGGGTTACGCGACGATCTCGAACATGAGCGGAATAGGCGTCTCCAAATGGCGGACACTGCCTCGAAGCATCGAGCTGAGTTTGCCTTTGCTCAGCTTGAGAACGAGAGATCTCTGACATCTCTTCGTGACGAGCTAAGGGTAGCTCGTGGGATTGTTGATCGGTCTCGGGATGAGATAGCTGCTCTTCAGACCCTTGTTGATGCCCACCATCGGGAGCACAAGGCTCTCTGCGAGATGCTTGAGCGCAAGGGCGTTCTTCATCGGAAGAAGCAGCGTACTGATGGTACGGCTTAAGCCGACCAACGTAAAACGTGGGATGCGTTCGCATCTTACGTGGTAACTCGATCGTGTATGCATTGCCTAGGCGGTGCAATACACGAAATGGGCCAATGTACTTGGGTAGTAGTTTACTGCTACCCAAGTTAGTCACTACATGCTTTGGTAGATTAACCGTAGACAGTAGGACTAAGTCACCTTTATTAAATAAAAGAGTGTTTGCCCTTCCATTCTTGTCAGCGTTTTGCTTTTGCTTATCCACCGCTTCGGCGATGGAGTTGCACAAAACGGACTACCGTTTCACGAGCCAGTATGAACTCATCTGCTGACTCGTTAGCTTCAGTGCGCTGTGAGTGCACTGCAGCAACATCAACCTTTTCTTCAGTGAGGGCTTCCGCACTCTCACTGGCATCATCTTCTTCGATATCGATGTTATCGATATCGGCATCAAACGCAATGACCTCTTCGTCAGAGCGTGATGAGCGTGAACCAAATCGGTTTTTGCTCGCGCGAGTCCCTCCCCCCTTAAACCAGAGTCACACTCTAGTAAGGTGGGTACACGCGGATGGCGTAAGCCATTCACGTAAAACGGTGTATGTGTCGTGGACGCATGCACCGAGTTGTTAATGGCAAACTCTACCATTGGCAAGAACTCACTCCAACTCTTAAAGGAGTGTACGTATCCTCGAAGTATCTCTTCGAGGACACGATTGGCACGTTCCGTCTGACCATCTGACTCTGGATGATCAGATGTCGACATCTTCAAGCGCGTTCCGAGTGATTTGAACACGGAACGCCAGAAATCAGCAGTGAATCGTGGATCTCTGTCTGATACGAGTTCACGGGGCAACCCATGAAGTCGGAAGATGGTGTCAATAAAGACACAAGCACAGCCACTTGCCGTGATTGACTCTGGTACAGCCACAAGGTGTACCATTTTGCTGAATCTGTCAACAAATACGAGAATACCCGTATTCCCGCGTGCGTCTTTGGGTAACCCGAAGACAAAATCCATTGAGATGGATTCCCAGCACTCAGCCGGAACCGGTAGAGGCTGTAAAGGTGCACGCAGTGAAGGACTTGACTTCACTCGTTGACAGACTTCGCATGCGCGAACGTACTTTCGCACAAACTGATACTGGCGGGGCCAGTAAAAGTCTCGACTCACCGTGAGATATGTTTTCTCCCGGCCACGATGTCCTCCTATAGGAGCATCGTGATACTCGAACATGATCCGCAAACGCAGATCAGTATCATCTGGAATGACAACACGTGGTGTGTCACCAGAAACGGCTGTATAATACAGTAAACCGTTGCGAGTAGTGTATCGATCTGATGCAGATCGATACGCAGGCGACAATCGTTTCAACGATTCTCGAGATGGTTGGGAGAGATGTGTCAACAACTTCACAATCTCACCATCTTGGGCGTATGCCCGCCTCACATCATCATACAACGTTGTAGATGGGACTGAGGACGTCATAACCGCAACAGTGACTGTCTCACTGTTGGGTTTCACGACTGTTTCAAAGTCGGGACGACGTGAGAGTGCATCAGCGACGACATTAAGTCGTCCTGGTTTGTACTCGACCGTAAAGTTGTATTCCGCAAAGAATGACAACCACCGCGCCATTCGTTGTGAAAGGTGCGGGCTGTTCACTGCCGTGCGTAATGACGCATGGTCAGTGTAAACAATGAAGGGTCTATCTCCTAATAGATAGACTCTGAACTTCGCGAGTGCATACTTCATGGCAAGGAGTTCCTTGTCATGCACTGGATAGTTCCGCTCAGCTGGTTGCAGCTGACGCGACTGATAGCAGACGACGCGTTCAACGCCTTCAAGGTCGTACTGCATTAATGCACAGCCGATTGCGAAATCGCTGGCATCACAGACCACATGAAATGGCCTGTCCTGATCGGCAATTGCTAGGACTGGGGATTGTATCAAGCTCTTCTTGATACCCTCAAAGGAGCGCTGACATTCAGCGTTCCATAACCACCTCTCGTTCTTTTTCAACAAACGAGAGAGGTGCACAGTCATCTCGGCGTAATTGCGTGAATACTTATGCAAATACGCCGCTAGCCCAAGGAATTTTCGAAGACCTTTGACATCGACTGGCACAGGCCAGTCGGTGATCGCCTTGATCTTTTCGGGATCAGGACGTACACCGTTCTTACCAACGATGCACCCAAGAAGTGGTATTTCGCTTGCTGCAAATATACACTTCTTGAGGTTTGCATACAATTGATGCTTTCGCATGATTGTAAGAACCTGTCGGACGTGGTACCTGTGAACCTCAACGTCCGACTTTCCATCCATAGCCCGACTATGGATGAATACGTCATCGAAATAACTCGGCGCGAATTCTCGTACTGGTCTCAACAGATGTGATACACATCTGTTGAACGTGGCAGGGGCATTACTAAGCCCTTGTGGCATTACTAGCCATTCCCAGAGCATGCCGCTAGGCGTGCTAACTGCGGTATAGGGTATATCCCGTTCTCGCATAAGGATTTGATAGAAGCCATCCATCAAATCCATGGACGAAAAGATGGTACTCTTTGACATACCATCAATGATTACGTCCTTCCTCGGTATCGGCGTCTGTGCCGGTACCGTTGCAGCATTCAACTTATTGAATGCATGCACTATCCGCCACCCTCCTGTTGCTTTTCGCACACAGAAGGTCGGAGAGCTATGTGGGGAAGTTGATTCCCTCACATGGCCCGCAGCTAAACGATCGGCAAAGAACTTGTCGATCGCAAGTACTTGTTCACGAGGCAGTGGCCACTGCTTCATGACACAGTACTTCGAGCCTGGTTTAAGCTCGACCTCGTGTCGAATACCTTTATCCTTCGGTAATTCGCACGGAACAGTTTCAGGGAATACATCCTTGAATTCAACCAAATCTTCATAGAGAGGATTTGTCTTGAGCGATTCCCACGATTGGGAGTCATATCGCTCAATTCGTGTCTTTTCATCTAGGACACTCTCGTCCATAGATGAACTACTGAGAACTCTCTCGTTCTCAGTAAACACTGTTGCTGACCTTATGTCGGTTACACACTCGTCGTCAGCGACGAGTACGCAGATCTGCTTGACTTTGCCACTACGCAGATCACGCAAGAACCTTTTATGTTCGAGCGTTGGCAACTGAGTGATCTCCGAAGTCAACTTCGGAGGCGCAATCAGATCAAGTGTATAAGCGCCTACACTTGATCCGTTATTGACTATGACATTCAATGTCTCTGTCATTTCCTGGGGACTTATTCCCTCAGGCTTCGAAGGACTTATTCCTTCGGCTTCCCGGGGACTTATTCCCGCGGGTTTCGGGGAACTTATTTCCGCCGTATTTGTATTATCGGGACTTATTCCCTTTACTTCCTCTAGCTGTGGTTGCGCAACCACAGCGAGATCCTCTACGAAAGACTCTCCAGTCGATCTAGGATTATCGTTTCGCTTAACCTGAGCGATCGATTGTTTCTCTTCTAGATGTTCCCCGCTAGGGATACATCTTTGTCCCGGTCCACTCGACTTATTCGAGTGGTGGACCTTCGGCGCAGCCTGTGTTTCCTCACAGCCGCCGGAACTTTGCTCCGAAGTGTAACCGTTTGTTACACTAAGGTTTTGTGCAGTCGTACTAACGACCGTACCACAAGTGAGGCCATCGCACTCACTCGTAGTACATCCACACGCTTGTGGACGCTCCAAAACGTTCATCAGATGGCCATCTGATGAACAAGCGGCAGGCATCGTTACTGTTCGATGTTGCCAGTTTACCCGTGGTTCGTACCTTCTGAGCCACGGTATTCCAAGGATGACATCAAATTTGTCATCCAAATCCAATACGATAAAGTCATCGTCATATTGGGTATCTTCTAGCGTATAGTGAATCTTCACTATACGCTTCATGACGGTTACGGATGCGCCTGTCGCAAGACGTACCGTCATCCTCGTAGGAGGTGTGTCACATTCACTGTAATTGAAGTGACCATCTTCTAGCGATTGGCGTCGCACAAAATTGTTGGACGCCCCACAATCGACTAGAGCTCGAAGGGACAACTTATTCGTCACTTCGAGTTTCAAGGTAATGAGTGAGTCCTCATTACCTAGAGCAGCAACGCACAACGTTTGTGCGTTGGGAGCAACCTTCATCAAGAGGCCTACAAATTCTCTTGACGTTGCTGGACCAGTAGGGTGCTCCGCACCTACTGATCCTGTCCGTTTTTTGACGGTCCATCCCGTTGTTGCGTCTTTGCACCAACAGCGGACCCGCGTCCCTGCCCCTTTCTCATGGGTGGACGGTCACTACGCCCAGTGTCGCGAGACACTGGACGAGGGGCACTACACTCGTAAGCGTAGTGTCCTGTCTTTTGACATCTGTTGCATCTCTGCAACTTCTTGTAGCCTGTAGAGCGAGCCTTCTCGCTCTCTACATAACAGAGTTCCATCGGCTCTGGACCTCCGTTGTCATATCGTCTCGGTTGACGATATGATGTCGAGCTGGCGCGAGCCTGTCTCAGACTGAAGTCTTCCTGCTCCGCAATGGAAATGGCTTGTTCTAGTGAATCTAGTTCAAGCCGGAACAGGTGAGTCTTGACGGGACCATCCGCAAGACCCTGCATGAACACCGAAACCAACGTGTGTTCATCCACCGGATTGGAACTTATACAACTCGTGAGATGTCGTATATGTTGCGCGTAAGCGTGCACATCACGCTTACCCTGCTTGAGCTTCAAGAGTTCGGTTCGAGCTCTGAACTCAGCTCTAGGCGGTTCAAACGTTTGTCTGAGCCGCGACTTGAAGACTTCCAACGACCCAAACGCATATGGGTCGTGCAACTTGAGCCCCAGTGCCCAAGTCTTGGCACGTCCTGCCAGATTTGACTGGGCAAATGCAACTTGCATTTCCCCATCGTCGATGCGACGCGCCCTTATGGCGTCATCCAATTCGACGAACCATCTCAAGAGGGAGTCCTCTTCGACTCCCCTATACTTGGAGATGTCAATCTTCAAGGTCTCGGGTCGACGCGAGTGCATCGACCCACCAGCAGCAGCCTGCTGCTGTCTCAACAGTTCAAACTGTTGAGCACCCTGTTCTCTCAACAACTCTGCTTGTTGAGAACCTTGTTGGTGAAGCAAGGCTACTTTCTCGCGTTCAGCGTCAAGTTCATTTTGAATGAACTTGGCGATAGTAGCATGTTGGGCATCTCTATTGAGAGCCTCTAGCATGACGCTAACAGCATGGATGCCCATGGTTGAACCCATCCGTTCAACCGCATCCCATTCGACATCGCTCAAATGGGAGTAGCCGTCACGCGTAGCGTGAAAGCTTTGGTCATCTTCATCATCCAACATATTCATGTTGGATGTGAACGTGGTCCTTGGACGGACTACGAAGTGCTACCAGGTGTAACGGGGCACCCTGAAGCTTGTACTGATGACAGTACAAGCTACTTATTCTGATGACAGAATAAGGCGGTGCCTCGTAACTTCACGTACACTCGTACGTGCAGAGGAAGACGGTAAGAAGAAGCGAGTACTTGGTTAAAGTAAAAAGTAGAACTGTATTTATAATAGTTAATGTCTGCAATAAATCACTATTTATCTTCATCTAACTATGTCTAAATACAAATGTGTAAATCAGTTATCTGCTCACCACTCATTGCGTGCGTCTGTCGTGGCGCGTCTTCGTTGGTTGATATAATGGCCTATATCAACCAATTAGGAATTACTCGTAAGTGCCACAGAATATTTGTCCTTATGACAATATTCTGAGAATGTAACTCTTATAGTTATATTCTATTAACAATTTCTTATAAATTGTTATGTAACGGTTCACCCCGTTACAGTCATCGCATATCCATCGCACGACGATCATAATTTGGGGCTCACTACGAAAAACAGTGTAACTTATCGTGACTCGCAAAAATCTGGAAGTAAGCCCGCTAAAGTTTGTCACAAACCCTTTACAGACATTAGTCGAAACGCAGAGGAGTCAACGACATAGGTCTTCGTCCGCTTGCTTTGTCACCCGCCAATTTGCACTATCGACAGCAGCGCCGCTAAGAGAACTCAGACGAAGGTAAAATCAGATGGCTAGATCAAAAGCTTTAGCTTGTATACAATTTTAGTTGTATTCAATTTTATTCGCCACGGATTTAGCTGTCTCAGGTCATCGAGCGAGCAAGCTGCCATCCGGGGCAGCAATGGAGAAATCTGGACTGGACATGCCGACATATTGTTCTGTGGTTACAAGGATACCTTTTGTAGCCTAGACGCTGTCGAGTTGGCAGGGACTGAGCTGTTTGTGGCATGAGAGCTCTCATAATTTAGCGTCTCTTACAACTGACAAAAGCACTTTCAATACTTAGCTCGCAAGCTTATATTGATCAACGTCGCGTACGTAGCATGAGCTAAATGATAGAGTCTATCAAATGATGTTTTAGCGTCGCACGTGTAGGTAGAGGCAGCATATGCCGTCGTTCAAGCGCACCGCTTTCATACCAAGAGCTTCCATCTTGAACAAGTCGTAGAATCTGACGCAAGTTTACTGATAAACGCATTCAAAGCGTGCATCTCCAACCCTCCGCGTCATGCTAGCCACTCCACTATTTAGCGGACTTGACCATGTAGCAGTGCTCGATGCCCTCTTCCAAGTAAATATCGTCACTTGTGCAGCTGTAACCGCACTTCTCGTAAAACTCTTTCCGTCCATACTGCGAAGGACAGAACAAACTGGTCGACGTGGTCGCGTACGTGCTGCTCAATGGCGGTCATAAGCTGCACACCAAATGTCTTGCCTCGACTTTTGGCCAGCACCGCCACGCGACCGAACTTCGCCTTGCGATGAGGCTCATCCAGCAGACAGCGAGCTACTGCCACGTACTCTCCTGTTTCCGAGTCTTTGCCCACGAAATGGATCGTGCTCGCCTTGTTGTCGTGAGAATCCTCCGTTTCTACAGCTTCGCGTATTCCCTGCTCATCGATAAACACTTTGCGTCGTAGAGCCATTGCTTGCTGCATTTCGTCGAAAGTCGTCACGCGGGTCACGATTAGAGTCATTTTGATTCGACGGCTGGCTTTCTGTGAGGTCTATGTGTGGCCGGCCCAACGAGTGCGTTTAGACTGGCATATACTGCTACTGATTGAAGGGTTTTTACAGCGGTCGCGTAGTCGCAGCTATTTTACAATCTCGCAAGACTAACACGTTGGAAATGGTCGATGCTATTCGGTCACGACCTTCTAGCGATGGTGCGCATGTAGATCAACATGAGTACTCTTACTGCACGATAACGTTAGTTCAACAGGATTAGAGTCGATCGTGGTTAGCAATGGTATCTTTGCATCTAGCAGTGTGGATCCGATAGACTACCCAACATCTCTGGTATTACAGGAATGTGTGATGTGTCCATGAGTAGTGAATACGACCACTAGACTGTGTTTCTGAATGAACCAGGAGAAGTATTGTAAGGAAGAACGGTAGCTTTATATATTTCGTGATGTGGAAACGCGAATGGTGATCTAGAAGACCTTCTTGCAGATTCGTTAAGGTTTCTAGCGTTGTCTTTGTGACAAGAAGAAGCACTTGGTTCTCTGTTATCTCACATTGATTACCACTGTACACCCAGAATGCTTCACGCCTTCACCAGAGTAGACGTACGAGCGGGGAGCTCCGTACCACCCAAAGGGCTACGCCTTTTCTGTATCATCTTCAGCACCCCACGCTACCGACGTTGGCCGCACGGTTTACCATGTGTAACATAAGGCGCTCTGCAGCAATCACTTGCCACGCCCGACATCTTGCCTAATTTCTTTGCTGTGTTGCCGAGTTCGCAAAGCCTCGCTTTGACCCGTCGACTGATTGTGATTTGGTCTCTAAACCCGTCACGGTAACGTCACGTGTCCCACTAGCAACAATGTGACGCAATAAGATCTCGAATGCTTGACAAACTGGCGGTTGAAGGAAGAGATAATGTCCTACCGACTCCAGCAAAGCGCGCTGTCTAATAACCGAAAGAAAGGAAACCGTGATCACGACTTCTGATGGCCTCACGACAAAAGTAACCAATGTAGCAAATACAGTGGAGAGCTTTGTAGATGGTAAAATAGCAATCTTGGAGTTCACGACGCGACGTAATCGGAAAAAAAGATAGGGAAGCAAGCTCTGGAGCTCGTCCTTTGATGTATGTAATCCAGTTCACAGAACTGAATCAAGTTGCATAATACTACACAGCAGCAGCAGTCAGTCAAGAAGGAGTACGATGCTCTTAATATTTGTATGAACTCAGTACAGTATACGTGGACAACGCAATCAGCCTTTTCTTACTAGCATCCAGCATTTGCTTCTGTGATCACATTCGCCTTTTTCGCATTTTAAGCCAATCACGTACATGCGTCACACTACCGACCTTCCCAAGAGTGAATTCGGATATGCCTATATACCTATGAGGGGGGACTGGCTAGATCGTATTTAGTACGAGGAAGGTACACCGCGTTTTTTACAGACATACACACAGATAAGTACGATCCAAAAGTTCGGCATTCAACCTTGCGCACAGTCACTAATAGCTTCACCCTTCGGGCTCGCAACTATGTAATGTTAGATGTGGAGATTAGTGATAGCAGTTGAGTCGCAAATATGATAACTTTGGAGTTCGCGATCTCGCAGGGAGCTTCTGCTAGAGCCTGGAGTTGGCATACAAACTAGAACACCAATAAAACATGCAACAGGAGGTAAACGTACATCGTGGCGAATGCGGGATCTATCGCGGATGACTTCTTTTGGAGATGAATTTACCGAAAATAGCCTAATGAAAAAGTAGTTCGCTCGACGTAATAACAACGTGCTTTTTGAGCAACTGTTTCTTCTAACCCTACGTCTAAAAGAATGACCCAGCCGAATAAAAATGGACCAGCCGTTTAGCATTTGCCGTAATTTTCTCATCGTAACATGTGAACGTGCTGCCAACAGTCTGGTTGCATTCGTGGTCTGTCAAGCCGCATCGTCGAAGGAATGATTCAGAGGTGTGCCGGCTGTAACAGCTGGCGGCATCGAGTGTGTCCTTGTAAACCGTACGTTACACTACATATGTAGCCGGTTGCGGGCAGGAATGGCGCGAGCGCATTCCTAGACTCGGTCCGACGTCGAAAAACGACAATCGTCGCCGTATCTTACCCGCAACAGGTTGGCACGTCAGCGCACCGAGATTTCAATAGCCGGCTCTGATACTTGAGCGACGATTCCTAGTGTTTCTGCGACCGAGCTCGATCGGATGCTGGGTATCGATGGGGAACATCAAGTGTACATGAAAGCACACGCATGCCACGCACGATTTGCTTTGGCCACCTTCACGTTTCCGTGGTTGGTGGAACATCGTGACGGTCGTGGAACCGTCTCCCTGAGTTTCACCGAACTCAAGCTGACGCAGTTGATAGTTGAGTTTGCAAACTTATGATGGGCAAACAAGACGTACGTGCTTTGCGAAGATGAAGCCTGGCGTGTGCGGAATCGCTGCCCGCGACCCGTAGCGGTGTTTAATCGATAACCAATGCACTCACATGTGCCTTCTGAGAGCAGACTACGCACTAGTTGCAGTGCGACTGTCATCGATATCGCTCACTATAGTCATCCGAAAAGGTTCCCGAAAGATTGTTGCGGTCCAAACGACTGCTTACGCGTCAGAGCGTAGTAGATTTTCCACGTATCGGATCATGGACGAACAAAACGCTTTTTTTCTTCGAGATGTGAATATCTCACGAACTGTAGGACTTTCTCACTCTTTCTCTCTCTCTCTCTCTTGCTTCGAGACGATTTAAACACTCGTTACCTAGCGAACATCTGAGTTCTTGATCCCTAATGTGCACCTGGAGTAACCGCTTTTTCTGCACTGACGAGCAGACGACAAACGAAGGCCTTCGGTTTCTGTTTTCTGTGCGCGAGTTTGCCAAGCCCATGATCAATTGAAGAACAAGCGGACAGAACCGCGTGGAATGACAGAGCTCCGACTGCAGTGAAAAACGATGCAGCCTGGTTATGGCCACTTGCACTTGTTTTTTTCGCAACGTTGTCGTGCACAGCAGTCTGTTGCAAGCACACAGTTAGAGAGCAACTGGCCTGGTCCGCGACCAGCTTCACTGCAAAGTTTGACAAGAAGGAAGGTCTGCCCCGATGCCACTTGTCTTTCTCCAATACGTAGGGTCAGATTCTTGCCATCCGATGTCGTGGAAGATCACTCGCGTGCCCTCAAAACAGAGATTCAGGGGTAGTATTGGAGTCATGTCCGTAATCTAGTGTTGCAAGGTGGCTGGGTACGCACTCACTCTAGCAATTGAGAATTCGAAAACAATAGTGAACTCAGCAAACGAGAGCCTATGCACTAACTTACTCACCGCCCTCTCGACCCGATAAAGGAATCACTGAGTTTGCTTTTAGCGGCGTCAACTGATGATGCATCTCGTCGTTGAAGCCATGAGAAAATAATTGAGAGGCTCATGCGGACGAGCACACGGACGTCATCGCTAACACGTGACACGCGTATCGCAGTCCATCTCGTGTGGCTGGTGCACACGCACGTACATGACAACAACCGCAACAGCACCGTAATCAATAACAGATGAAGACGCGCACATACATAAGGAGGTAGTCAGTCACCTTCTGATAGAGCAGGCACGCGACTGCTCCCTGCGATAATACAGACTCAAGACCAACCCAACTCTATAGTCATCCTACAGTGCTTCTGTCTCTCCAGAGAATGAGAAACCCGCCCACGTGATACTTCGTTTTATAAAAACCTGAGGTTTGTCTTTTGTCATCATTTCGTGTCCGCCCCTCACTACCCGGTTAGAAACGCCGTCCCATCTCATGCTCTTCAACCGCATGGAATCTGTCCACCAATCACCATCGTCCCTGCCGGTGTCTCTAGCTTCCCAATCATCGCCAAGCGTGCGAGCGCGAGACATGTTCCTGCCGTCTCCACTCTCGCTCCTCTGCGCTTGATGGCACATCTTGACAGTACGTTTCATTACTGTAAAGCCGTTTCGGCGCACATGAAGGCCCACGAGCAGCTCGTCGCGTCGTTCCCGCTCTCGCAGCGTCCGTTCGAGCGCCTGGACCTCAGTCCAACTGACCGTCGGCGGTTCCACACGCAAGCCACGGAGCTCCTGGGTTATGCTCTTAAAGAGTACGAAGAGTACACGCTGTACCGGCACCGTCAAGTGGACCGGCGACGGTGGAAACCCGTGAAAAGCCAAGACAAACTCACAGTCTACCGGGAGTCCCGGTCGTACGTGGCCAGTCGCTCTCTAAGTGTCGAGGACGAGGCGGGGAACGCGACACGTCATCGCACGTCTGGCTCGAGCACGAGCTCGGGCGCTTCGAATTCCGGTTCTGTCTCCGTCTCGCTCCCTGCGCACCAAGTGACGGAGCTGGAGCTTTTGACTGGATGGGGACCCACGGCAACTGAAGCTCGAGAGCAGAAGAAACGTGCCAAGCACAAAAACGGGACGACGACGACGCTTAGTGGCGCCAAAACCAGCGGAAGTTGCGGCGTGGACTACATACCGGCCTTGCTTGGCTTGGGCAGTATCTGTGGCAGTTTGGACGACGTCATGTACGGCGTAGCGGCACCGGATAGTGTGACGATGGCACTCAAGAACTCGTACTTGTACGACGACGTGCTGGATGAAGACGTGCTGGCAGCTATTGAAGGACCATCGAAACGGAGTCCGTTTCGCTTTCTAGGGATCAAGTGGCTCGTGCACTCAGCAAGTGGCGCTAGTGGCAGTGGCTCGAGCAAACATCATAAGGCCGGAGCTCCTCGAGATTTGGTGTATCTGGAAGCGACTGGCGTGATTACTGGCGGAGACGGTATCCGTATCGGATACCAGATCATGCAGTCGGTGAATGTTCGTGGCTGTCCCGAGTTGACGGACTCGCATGGCGTGGTTCGAGCGCATTGTGAAAGTGTGTACCTTTTCGTTGAGCTTAACAACCGCGTGGTCGATGTGTTTCTCAAGTCAAACGCGACACCGAAGGGCAAATTGTCCGAGTCGGCAGCACTTCAGAGCTGCACAAATGTGCTGTTGAATTGTGAAAAGAGTGTCCAGTGCTCCCACGACAAGAAGCTCATGTGGCAACTGGAAAGCTCGGGAAACTCACCACGTGCGCTCGAACAGGAGGAAAAAGCTAAAGCGACTCAATGCAGTGTGTGCGAGAAGTCGTTTAGTCGATTGTATCGGCACAGTTTTGAGTGCAAACTGTGCTCATCTGCCATGTGCTCCAAGTGTTGTGTCGAGCGCACACTGAATTGTGTGCACGCGGTCGGCAACAATCGGCTTGCTAATAAATATGTCTCGACGATCGCTGTGAGCCTCTGCACGAGCTGCGTCGCTACAACTTCGCAAGCAAGTGCGCTGGATCTGGCACGAGAAGAAGTGGCATCTGGACGATTCGGACGCGTCTCGGACAATTCGTTGCGTACGCCTGGTCATCACCGTGGAAGTGATCAGTCAGGGTGCCGCCCGTGTTCAATCGCTACCATTGCCAATGAAGACATTCCGGGCCAGCCTGACCATCGCACACAGCCCGTGCATCAAGCAGAGGAAAGTACTCATAATTCCTACCATATCCGATCGAAGGAGAGTAGAAGGAGTCAGCGTGAACAGGGGGTCTGCTGCGGCAATATCGAGTCGTGTGACGACGATAACGCGCAACAGTCCAAGATTGTGCTTCCTGATGCCACTGAAATATTATCGAAAAGGGGTCACGCGTGCCGCGAGTCTTCGATGTTGCACCGGCGTAAGAATCGTGAGCAACGCAAGACGAGAGCTCGTGCTGGAAGTCATGAGCCTGTGAACCCGAATGCACATGCGCGTCAGCCGACTTTCAGACGGGGACAATCTAATGAGGTCAGTCGGTATATGTCACGAGCTGAGGTTGGTGGTGAATCAGAAAGCTTCAACGACCGGCTCCCGTCACCCGAAAGCATCGTGCAAGGCCTCCATCAGCTTGCGTATGACGAATACACGCTAGTGGAGCTTGATACTGCGGACAGACATAGCCGGGGCCAGCCGGTGAATCTGAGTGATCTGGTCGATGCCTCGCCCTCCAGGCTGAGCAAAGACAGCATTAGGGAGACAACGAGCTCAAGCGAAAGTTGTCTGGAAAACATTGCCGGTGCAGGCATAGCCGTGGAAGATTCTGAAGCAGAGGAAGACGACACTGCATCCCAGGACACGTTCGATAGCTTTACTGACCTTATCAACATCAGCGATGACATGGACGACGTCTACGAGACTCTGGACACGAAGGACATGGAGGCTGTGAAACGATCGTCTCAGGTGAATCGTAAGTTGTGGCAGCAGATCGCCGAGCTGCGCGATGCTGCTGAGAACGTCTATCAGTACACGAAAGAGAGCGCTGCATTGCACATCACGCAGAGCGGCACGGTACGATCTCCTCCGTTGCGCTCCGACTCTGAGATTTAGTGATCGCTAAATGTTGACCGCTATGCCGAGCAGTTTATTTGCTGGAAGGCAAGTTTTGGATCGAACCCTTGTGGTGTAAAGTGGCCGTTTAATGGAGAATAGAGAAACATTTTTGAGTCTTCCGGTTCGTGGCGTTGGGGCAAGACCGTGCAATTTGAGACAATGTTGTGGTCCAGAACTGGATCGACGAGGGGCTTTGATACGGACAAATGCTTCAAAAAGAGTCGGTGCTGTCGGATGTATGTTGAGTTGGCAACCAAAAGACGTGACGAGCATGACAAGAGCAGTCATTTTTGGCAAGAGGTGTTTTTGGTTGTAGGTGATGATTCGACGGCAAGCTGAATAACCCTGCAAACGTAACGTTGCAATGTGAGAGCTTATAGAAGGGGACTTTTTCTGGATGGAAGATAACACCTCAGGTATCGATGTACCCGGCGAAGGCTTGGTTTAAGCGTTTCCTTGCGACCTCGAGACTCAGGTATTGGAGGATGCAAATTTGCTTCGAGGAAGTTTGAAGCTGTGATCGTGATGCAGCATTCACGATCGCGCAGAGTTCACTTATGGGACGCTGCGTTTGTGATGGCAATGTTGAGACCAATTCGTCTGATATTGGCAGACTTTAGAGGCCTGACTGCAATTACTTAAACGACAAGTTGTTGGCGCGTACGAGCATGTCGGATGAACAATTCTAGCTTTTAGGGTTGCCCTGGCCCATTACGTCTCTATCGAAACTTGCTCACTGTCGGTTTTGACGTATCGATTGGTGATTGTCGTGGATGATACTGCACCGTCCAGTCTACTCGTCAAGCATCGTGCCACTTGAGAGTTTCCAAGAGCTTGGGCGTTTTGATAAGGAGACGTTTCGTGTAAAGCGCAGGTGGGTGTCTAGGATTTGATCCGATTGGCGGCAGTCGGGATGGGCAGCAACATATTAGAAGCAAGTTTTGATTGACGATGGCACCCAAACCTGTTGGCAAAAACTTCCTAGCTCATACTACTTTTGAGCTGTTGGTTGTACGCGCACTTTCCTGTGGTGCACTGACAGAATTTGTGCGTCTGGAGGCCATACTATGGCTTTACGTGCCGATATCAACAAGCGCGGACCCGTTGACACTCGCTTAACATCATTTACTACCATCGCCTTCTGCCGGGTAACATGTACTGAAGGAAATGGCGAACGCTGGACAGTTTTTGCCTTGAACTACGCAGTCGTGCCAGTTGTGGAAGCATTAACCTCCTCTTTGTTCTGAAGTCGGACATCGTACGCGCGGAAGAAGAATTAGTGTTTTCTGCTCCTCAAGTCTTTCGCCATACGACATTCACAAAACTGGGTCCACGCCTGGATGTTCCTTCAGTGTTACGATGATGTGGTGCTGTCACAGCTCAGTACGGATGGTAAACTTCCTGATCAATTAGCAACCTCCCACCGTGCCCTAATATTGCTGGAGACACCTTTTGTTCGATGAAGGTTTGGACGCGGAGAGTATCTTCCACAAAATCGTTGACGGTGGCGGTGGCCATTTGCCACCGATATTTGCTGAGCTCAAGCCGGTGTTGACCATACGTGCCGGTTTTTCTTACGTCAGCAGTGTCTCGATATCCTGTTAAAACCGCTTCACCGTCGTCATCTTGATCTGGTTTTGAAGCCCGGGAGGATAAAATTAATGTCGCCTCTAGACTAAACTTCGCAAGACGCCGTTCTTTCGTCCTGAAGTTGGGTCCTTCTTGATGCAGTCTACGAGGGTCAGGTCCAAAAGCAGCTGTCGGTATGTGAAGACCCCTTCTCCGTCTTCCGTGAAGAGGTTCAAAAACCGATTTTGAATACGTCGTCTGTGGATCAGCAGCAGAACCATGGGTCGTTGTAGCTTTTGCATCTGAATGGTGGTATTGTTATCGGTCGATTCTGTTGATGTGTCCACGAGACCCATAAAGTCTCCACTGGGTGTGGCTGCTTGTAACTCACGTTGGATCCGCTTCTCGACTTAATATGGCTTGGTCGGATTGTATCAGCTTATGTTTGCGCTCCTGTGCTGTAGAAGCATTTCGAGCGTACATCTATTCGCTGCTGATAGTCGAGTGGCTCTTGCTGGCCGCCGCGCTTACTTACATATATCGATAGGCGAGAAGCCCGAGAGTCACAGGGAGATGTGTTTTTTCTCGTTTCTTGACTGCGAGGCCTGTGGGTATTTGAAGAGCTGTCATTGTCGTGGGGACACTTTTTAATGTTTCGCATGACACCTGATGCCTTTCGCGGACTGGACCACGAACGGATGCTTTGATTGAGGTTGTCGAGCAAGAATGCAATGCATATTGGAGTTCCACAAGGGTTGATTCGGTACAGAGTCGCGATGCTGAGGTCTATGAGATCGAGCAGCTAGTTCTTCTGAGGGACGTCCGACCAAGTGTGCCCGCAATGTGTCGAATGACTCGTAACGCTCGTAAGTATTGTCAATGCTGGTCCTAGACACGTGTCAGCGAAAGTCTTATGGTTGACGCTAAGAGCGCAACCAGGCAGCGCTGCCAATCGCCTTCAAGCATTGAAACATGCTCCTGAACTGGCGAATCTGGTGAACATGCAGTTTGAAGACTACAAGACGCATCCGTTCACGTTACAATGTCAAGCCCCATCTCACGATTTTTTAGCAGCCTCAACAGATTGACGGTGCCGAAAGTTTAGCGACTTCGCCTATGCTCGGTCTACTAGGGATAATGTGGGGACACCAGGTCGTGACGTTAGCATATTGACATCGCGTGCCAGCTCGTTCATGCGGTTGCACACCAGCTCGTTCATGCGGTTGCACACCAGCTCGTTCTACTGTCTGACAGTGAACAAAGGGTGTGCAAGTAGCAAGCGCAGTGACTCGTTTGACCAGTCAAACACAAGACCATAGATCTCTCTACACCGACTATAGCGCGACGCAGGAACACGATGTAAAGTGAGTCGTCAAGGAGACCGCGACAAATAGCTGAGACAGAGTCATGGAAATGCATGATTTTGCAGTTAGCACTTGAACGAGGTCCTCATGTGGTGCAATGCGTTAGAACTACCAATACAAGTGATAGCCGAGAAAAAAGAACACTTCAGATAAAGTGGAGGTGTTTCTTCAGCACGTACACCTATTAACTGGTTTCTTAACGAAACGGCCTTCGAGGTAGTTAACCGAAGTCTGCCTCCATTAACAAACAGCAAACATCGGTTTTAGCAATCACCGAGCGATTCGATCGATAAAGTTTATACGACGTATTACAGCGCCCAGGTTACGACGAATTACAGCGCCCAGGTTACGACGTATTACAGCGACCAGGTCGATCGCGCGAGATACCTTATTTTCTGTCACTTCGTAATTTGCACGACCAGGCAGCATGAGTCTGCTGCGCCCTGAGATGCTCCAGCTGGTAGCACAAAGTCTGGGTCTGGACGACATTAGCAGTGACTGCGTGGGCGAGCTCATGCCAGAGGTAGAGCTGCGAGTGCGGGAGGTGGTGCAGGACGCGCTCAAGTTCCAGCGGCACTCGCGACGGTCCCAGCTGGACCCCACCCACATCAATCAGGCGCTCCACGTGCGGAATCTAGAGGTACCTTATTCTGTAAATAGAGTGAAATTAGATGGAAATATTTAACGCACGTTACTGACTTGTTTGCGTCGTGTTATGTGTGCATTTGCTAGAGTTTGTATGGCTTTGCCGCACCTGGTACTGTCAAGTATAAGCCGTGCGAGGACCACGAGTCGCTCTTTTTTGCAGTGGAGGAAGAGCTGGAACTATCTGAGCTACTGAATGCACCATTGGGGCAAATTCCATTGCAGCCAGTACTTAATGTGCACTGGTTGGCAGTCGATGGCGTGCAGCCACTCATACCTGAGAATGAGTCCGTTGAAGACGATTCGACGTGTCACACGTCCATTAAGGACGAAGCTTTTGTCAATCATATCGACAGAAAGCCCCGGGTCAAGCACGTGCTGACGGAGGAAATGCAGTTGTACTACACCAAGGTGACCGAGGCCGTTAAGGGCGACAACTTTGAGCTGCAACGTGCAGCTTTTACCAGCCTCGCTCAAGACCCGGGCATCCACCAGCTGCTGCCGTACTTCTCACGCTTCATTTACGAAGAGGTGAAGCACAGCAATCATGACCTGTCACTGCTATTCTCACTCATGCGGGCTTGCCGCTGTTTGCTGACGAACCAGAATCTACATATTGAACTCTATGTACGTGGTCGTGTGTGCTAGTATGTCGTTTTTGCGGCGCTAACGTTGTTGTGCTTGTTGTGTGCAATGCCGGATGAAATGTAGTTACATCAGCTGATTCCTGCTATCTTGACCTGCGTGCTGGGTACACAGCTCTGTGAGAACCCAGCAGATGATCACTGGGCTTTGCGCAAGTACGCGGCCAAACTGGTGGCTCAGATTTGCGAGCGCTACGGTGAAAAGTACGCCAATATCCAGGCTCGCGTATCGAAGACGTACCACAAGGCAATCATAGACCCAGTGTGTCCTTTTTCGACTCAATATGGCGCCCTGCACGGTCTCTGTCTCATGTTTTTGCGGTGTGGAAGCTGTGGAATGATTGACCATTGGATTGTTGTTCTGGCCAGGTATGCTGTTTTTGGGCCCTCTGGTGATGGAAAGTTTGCTCTTTCCTAATTTGGAGGCATACTATCGGCGATTGGAGCCAGCAGTCTCGTCGTCCAACCCTGATCTTGTCGAAAGACTTGAGGCACAAAACTGCCTCGGCATCCTTGTGGTAAGCAACTCTTTGTGATGTTGTCGTATGTATCGCAAGTCACAACTAATTGGTACAACTTGAAAATGTGCAACGTACAGCATGCTTCTGGAACTTACTTTTCAATGTCCAAGGCTATGGATCGTGCTGTGTCGCCACCTCTGTCGTCGTCTACTCTAGGCAGTATCGTGACTCTTCTACACGACGCGTTTGGCGAGAGTCTCTTACCGTACGTTCGGTCCGACCAGCCATCACGTATGCTCGACATGTGCCTTTAGAAGACAAAGTGTCGCCTATGTAAATGATAGATGTTCTGTGTTCGAGACACCTCACAATTTAGGGTATGATGATGGAATGTATCGATGCGACTACGATGACTGCAACACTTATCCCCGTGGCAAACGCGACTCGGTTGCCAATACAGGGTTTGTGGCCGTCAATTATGCAGTAAGCAACGACCTTTTGAGTTTCCAGGAACAAGTCCGAGGTAGGATCAAGCACTTCATTACCAAGCTTGGTTTTTGTCATCAGTCGTGATACCACGTGAAGCGCAGCATACTTAGCATGAGAAGGTACGGGTAGGTGCTGATCACCAGATTCGGCGCCTTTGCAGCCTATTGCAACAGAGGAGCCCTAGAATGAGTCTTAAAGTGATGTCTTGTGGCGACTCGAGTGAATTTGTGATTCGAAGATGCCCGATAGAGCAGTTAAGCTGCTGACACCTGGCATGTCGTAAATGCAAACGGGGTGGTGCTTCTTTAGTAGTCGTAACGTTAATTTCGTATCGCAAAAAGTTGCGGTCCGTACACGCTCAACATGCTTGTCAGTCAGGAGTGTCACTTGTCCCTTGACAAGACGTCATGGAACAAGCAGGCATTCACATTCGCGATATCTGGACGATGTTAGGTGCAAGCATTCAGCTCGGATGCTGATATCTAATCACCAGGGTGGTCTGTTCCGTTCCAATAGGCACCAAGCCTTTCCTGCTCGCATGCCGAGGTCATGTGTGTAATTTCAGAGTGCTGTTAGAGCAGTGTTTGCATCGCCTGGTAGAATTGCTTCATCTCGATTGTACGGTGTTTACGAAACATATCATTAGTTTGCAGCACGAGTGACTTAGCGTGTGTGTCAAAGCTGGAGATTTAGAACGAATAAAGCAGCCCGTAAATAAAATTATAATCGATGAATCAAACAAAATACAATTGCTGGAACTGCTGCTCAATTAGTTCAAAATGAGAAATACCAAAATATGTCTATATTCTGGTGAATTTAAATTAATTGCACCGAGTCATAATCGTTTTCAAAAGAAGACCACAACATGCATCTGCATAAGACAGTCACAATTTATCAACGATGGTAGAATAAATGGTTATATTTATGTTGAGCTACCAGACGCCATTTCGTTAATCGAAAACATTGTGAAACGGGGAGTCGAAGATCCCGTCAAACTGTTCCTCTCGATGCCCTTTTGTAGACGTACTGTAACGGGGTGAATCGTTACATAACAATTTATAAGAAATTGTTAATAGAATATAACTATAAGAGTTATATTCTCAGAATATTGTCATAAGGACAAATATTCTGTAGCACTTACGAGTAGTTCCTAACTGGTTGATATAGGCCATTATATCAACCAACGAAGACGCGCCACGACAGACGCACGCAATGAGTGGTGAGCAGATAACTGATTTCCACATTTGTATTTAGACATAGTTAGATGAAGATAAATAGTGATTTATTGCAGACATTAACTATTATAAATACAGTTCTACTTTTTACTTTCAACAAGTACTCGCTTCTTCTTACCGTCTTCCTCTGCACGTACGAGTGTACGTGAAGTTACGAGGCACCGCCTTATTCTGGCATCAGAATAAGTAGCTTGTACTGTCACCAGTACAAGCTTCAGGGTGCCCCGTTACACCTGGTAGCACTTCGTAGTCCGTCCAAGGACCGCGTTCACATCCAACATGAATATGTTGGATGATGAAGATGATCAAAGCTTTCACGCTACGCGTGACGGCAACTCCCATTTGAGCGATGGGATGCGGTTGAACGGATGGGTTCAACCATGGGCATCCATGCTGTTAGCGTCATGCTAGAGGCTCTCAATAGAGATGCCCAACATGCTACTATCGCCAAGTTCATTCAAAATGAACTTGACGCTGAACGCGAGAAAGTAGCCTTGCTTCACCAACAAGGTTCTCAAACAAGCAGAGTTGTTGAGAGAACAGGGTGCTCAACAGTTTGAACTGTTGAGACAGCAGCAGGCTGCTGCTGGCGGGTCGATGCACTCGCGTCGACCCGAGACTTTGAAGATCGACATCTCCAAGTATAGAGGGGTCGAAGAGGACTCCCTCTTGAGATGGTTCGTCGAATTGGATGACGCCATAAGGGCGAGTCGCATCGACGACGGGGATATGCAAGTTGCATTTGCCCAGTCAAATCTGGCAGGACGTGCCAAGACTTGGGCACTGGGGCTCAAGTTGCACGACCCATATGCGTTTGGGTCGTTGGAAGTCTTCAAGTCGCGGCTCAGACAAACGTTTGAACCGCCTAGAGCTGAGTTCAGAGCTCGAACCGAAATCTTGAAGCTCAAACAGGGTAAGCGTGATGTGCACGCTTACGCGCAACATATACGACATCTCACGAGTTGTATAAGTTCCAATCCGGTGGATGAACACACGTTGGTTTCGGTGTTCATGCAAGGTCTTGCGGATGGTCCCGTCAAGACTCACCTGTTCCGGCTTGAACTAGATTCACTAGAACAAGCCATTTCCATTGCGGAGCAGGAAGACTTCAGTCTGAGACAGGCTCGCGCCAGCTCGACATCATATCGTCAACCGAGACGATATGACAACGGAGGTCCAGAGCCGATGGAACTCTGTTATGTAGAGAGCGAGAAGGCTCGCTCTACAGGCTACAAGAAGTTGCAGAGATGCAACAGATGTCAAAAGACAGGACACTACGCTTACGAGTGTAGTGCCCCTCGTCCAGTGTCTCGCGACACTGGGCGTAGTGACCGTCCACCCATGAGAAAGGGGCAGGGACGAGGGTCCGTAGTTGGTGCAAAGACGCAACAACTAGATGGACCGTAAAACAAAACGGACAGGATCAGTAGGTGCGGAGCACCCTACTGATCCAGCAACGTCAAGAGAATTTGTAGGCCTCTTGATGAAGGTTGCTCCCAACACACAAACGTTGTTCGTTGCTGCTCTAGGTAATGAGGTCTCACTCATTACCTTGAAACTCGAAGTGACGAATAAGTTGTCCCTTCGAGCTCTAGTCGATTGTGGGGCGTCCAACAATTTTGTGCGACTCCAATCGCTAGAAGATGGTCACTCTAAATTCAGTGAATGTGACACACCTCCTACGAGGATGACGGTACGTCTTGCGACAGGCGCATCCGTAACCGTCATGAAGCGTATAGTGAAGATCCACTATACGCTAGAAGATACCCAATATGACGATGACTTCATCGTATTGGATTTGGATGACAAATTTGATGTCATCCTTGGAATACCGTGGCTCAGAAGGTACGAACCACGGGTAAACTGGCAACATCGAACAGTAACGATGTCTGCCGCTTGTTCATCAGATGGCCATCTGATGAACGTTTTGGAGCGTCCACAAGCGTGTGGATGTACTACGAGTGAGTGCGATGGCCTCACTTGTGGTACGGTCGTTAGTACGACTGCATGAAACCTTAGTGTAACAAACGGTTACAATTCGGAGCAAAGTTCCGGCGGCTGTGAGGAAACACAGGCTGCGCCGAAGGTCCACCACTCGAATAAGTCGAGTGGACCGGGACAAAGATGTATCCCTAGCGGGGAACATCTAGAAGAGAAACAATCGATCGCTCAGGTTAAGCGAAACGATAATCCTAGATCGACTGGAGAGTCTTTCGTAGAGGATCTCGCTGTGGTTGCGCGACCACAGCTAGAGGAAGTAAAGGGAATAAGTCCCGATATTAAAAATACGGCGGAAATAAGTTCCCCGAAACCCGCGGGAATAAGTCCCCGGGAAGACGAAGGAATAAGTCCTTCGAGGCCTGAGGGAATAAGTCCCCAGGAAATGACGGAGACATTGAATGTCATAGTCAATAACAGATCAAGTGTAGGCGCTTATACACTTGATCTGATTGCGCCTCCGAAGTTGACTTCGGAGATCACTCAGTTGCCAACGTTCGAACATAAAAGGTTCTTGCGTGATCTGCGTAGTGGCAAAGTCAAGCAGATCTGCATACTCGTCGCTGACGACGAGTGAGTAACCGACATAAGGTCAGCAACAGTGTTCACTGAGAACGAGAGAGTTCTCAGTAGTTCATCTATGGACGAGAGTGTCCTCGATGAAAAGACACGAATTGATCGATACGACTCCCAATCATGGGAATCGCTCAAGACAAATCCTCTCTATGAAGATTTGGTTGAATTCAAGGATGTATTCCCTGAAACTGTTCCGTGCGAATTACCGAAGGATAAAGGTATTCGACACGAGGTCGAGCTTAAACCAGGCTCGAAGTACTGTGTCATGAAGCAGTGGCCACTGCCTCGTGAAGAGGTCACAGCGATCGACAAGTTCTTTGCCGATCGTTTAGCTGCGGGCCATGTGAGGGAATCAACTTCCCCACATAGCTCTCCGACCTTCTGTGTGCGAAAAGCAACAGGAGGGTGGCGGATAGTGCATGCGTTCAACAAATTGGACGCTGCAACGGTACCGGCTCAGACGCCGATACCGAGGAAGGACGTAATCATTGATGGTATGTCAAAGAGTACCATCTTTTCGTCCATGGATTTGATGGATGGCTTCTATCAAATTCTTATGCGGGAACGGGATATACCCTATACCGCAGTTAGCACGCCTAGCGGCATGCTCTGGGAATGGCTAGTAATGCCACAAGGGCTCAGTAATGCCCCTGCCACGTTCTACAGATGTGTATCACATCTGTTGAGACCAGTACGAGAGTTCGCGCCGAGTTATTTCGATGACGTATTCATCCATAGTCGGGCTATGGATGGAAAGTCGGACGTTGAGGTTCACAGGTACCACGTCCGACAGGTTCTTACAATCATGCGAAAGCATCAATTGTATGCAAACCTCAAGAAGTGTATATTTGCAGCAAGCGAAATACCACTTCTTGGGTGCATCGTTGGTAAGAACGGTGTACGTCCTGATCCCGAAAAGATCAAGGCGATCACCGACTGGCCTGTGCCGGTCGATGTCAAAGGTCTTCGAAAATTCCTTGGGCTAGCGGCGTATTTGCATAAGTATTCACGCAATTACGCCGAGATGACTGTGCACCTCTCTCGTTTGTTGAAAAAGAACGAGAGGTGGTTATGGAACGCTGAATGTCAGCGCTCCTTTGATGGTATCAAGCAGAGCTTGATACAATCCCCAGTCCTAGCAATTGCCGATCAGGACAGACCATTTCATGTGGTCTGTGATGCCAGCGATTTCGCAATCGGCTGTGCATTAATGCAGTACGACCTTGAAGGCGTTGAACGCGTCGTCTGCTATCAGTCGCGTCAGCTGCAACCAGCTGAGCGGAACTATCCAGTGCATGACAAGGAACTCCTTGCCATGAAGTATGCACTCGCGAAGTTCAGAGTCTATCTATTAGGAGATAGACCCTTCATTGTTTACACTGACCATGCGTCATTACGCACGGCAGTAAACAGCCCGCACCTTTCACAACGAATGGCGCGGTGGTTGTCATTCTTTGCAGAATACAACTTTACGGTCGAGTACAAACCAGGACGACTTAATGTCGTCGCCGATGCACTCTCACGTCGTCCCGACTTTGAAACAGTCGCGAAACCCAACAGTGAGACAGTCACTGTTGCGGTTATGACGTCCTCAGTCCCATCTACAACGTTGTATGATGATGTGAGGCGGGCATACGCCCAAGATGGTGAGATTGTGAAGTTGTTGACACATCTCTCCCAACCATCTCGAGAATCGCTGAAACGATTGTCGCCTGCGTATCGATCTGCATCAGATCGATACACTACTCGCAACGGGTTACTGTACTATACAGCCGTTTCTGGTGACACACCACGTGTTGTCATTCCAGATGATACTGATCTGCGTTTGCGGATCATGTTCGAGTATCACGATGCTCCTACAGGAGGACATCGTGGCCGTGAGAAAACGTATCTCACTGTGAGACAAGACTTTCACTGGCCCCGCCCCTCAGATTTTTGCGCAAGTATGTTTGCGCATGCGAAGTCTGTCAACGAGTGAAATCAAGTCCTTCACTGCGTGCACCTTTACAGCCTCTACCAGTTCTGGCTGAGTGCTGGTAATCCATCTCAATGGATTTTGTCTTCGGGTTACCCAAAGACGCACGCGGGAATACGGGTATTCTTGTATTTGTGGTTGACAGATTCAGCAAAATGGTACACCTTGTGGCTGTACCGGAGACAATCACGGCAAGTGGCTGTGCTTGTGTCTTTATTGACACCATCTTCCGACTTCATGGGTTGCCCCGTGAACTCGTATCAGACAGAGATCCACGCTCCACAGCTGATTTCTGGCGTTCCGTGTTCAAATCACTCGGAACGCGCTTGAAGATGTCGACATCTGATCATCCAGAGTCAGATGGTCAGACGGAACGTGCCAATCGTGTCCTCGAAGAGATACTTCGAGGATACGTACACTCCTTTAAGAGTTGGAGTGAGTTCTTGCCAATGGTAGAGTTTGCCATTAACAACTCGGTGCATGCGTCCACGACACATACACCGTTTTACGTGAATGGCTTGCGCCATCCGCGTGTACCCACCTTACTAGAGTGTAACTGTGGTTTAAGGGGGGGGAAGGACTCGCGCGAGCAAAAACCGATTTGGTTCACGCTCATCACGCTCTGACGAAGAGGTCATTGCGTTTGATGCCGATATCGATAACATCGATATCGAAGAAGATGATGCCAGTGAGAGTGCGGAAGCCCTCACTGAAGAAAAGGTTGATGTTGCTGCAGTGCACTCACAGCGCACTAAAGCTAACGAGTCATCAGATGAGTTCATACTGGCTCGTGAAACGGTAGTCCGTTTTGTGCAGGACTCCATCGCCGAAGCGGTGGATAAGCAAAAGCAAAACGCTGACAAGAATGGAAGGGTAAACACTCTTTTATTTAATAAAGGTGACTTAGTCCTACTGTCTACGGTTAACCTATTAAAGCATGTAGTGACTAACTTGGGTAGCAGTAAACTACTACCCAAGTACATCGGCCCATTTCGTGTATTGCACCGCCTAGGCAATGCATACACGATCGAGTTGCCACGTAAGATGCGAACGCATCCCACGTTTTACGTTGGTCGGCTTAAGCCGTACTCCCAGTACGCTGCTTCTTTCGATTAAGAACGCCCTTGCGCTCAAGCATCTCGCAGAGAGCCTTGTGCTCCCGATGGTGGGCATCGACAAGGGTCTGAAGAGCAGCTATCTCATCCCGAGACCGATCAACATTCCCACGAGCTACCCTTTAGCTCGTCACGAAGAGATGTCAGAGCTCTCTCGTTCTCAAGCTGAGCAAAGGCAAACTCAGCTCGATGCTTCAAGACAGTGTCCGCCATTTGGAGACGCCTGTCCGCTCATGTTCGAGATCGTTGCGTAACCCTTGCGTTACGCGATCAAAGAAGCTCTAGGGAACACACGGATCCCCATGATCGTGTGGAGAGCGTCTTTCCTCCTCCTCCACCTCTATTAGAGGACTCTCGCGGTGGCCAGCGCTATCTAGTTGAGCAGCTGTCAGTACGCTCCTTCTTCCGATGAAGGACGCCCTTGCGCTCAAGCATCTCGCTGCTTCTTCCAATGAAGAACGCCCTTGCGCTCAAGCAATCAGTACGCTGCTTCTTTCGATGAAGAACGCCCTTGCGCTCAAGCATCTCGCAGAGAGCCTTGTGCTCCCGATGGTGGGCATCGACAAGGGTCTGAAGAGCAGCTATCTCATCCCGAGACCGATCAACATTCCCACGAGCTACCCTTAGCTCGTCACGAAGAGATGTCAGAGCTCTCTCGTTCTCAAGCTGAGCAAAGGCAAACTCAGCTCGATGCTTCAAGACAGTGTCCGCCATTTGGAGACGCCTGTCCCGCTCATGTTCGAGATCGTTGCGTAACCCTTGCGTTACGCGATCAAAGAAGCTCTCGGGAACACACGGATCCCCATGATCGTGTGGAGAGCGTCTTTCCTCCTCCTCCACCTCCATTAGAGGACTCTCGCGGTGGCCAGCGCTATCTAGTTGAGCAGCTGTTGAACCACCGCGACGTGAACGGACGTCGGACGAGTTATCTCGTCCGGTGGCGCGGCTATCCCCCGTCCTGGGATACTTGGGAGCCCCGCTCCCAACTGATGGTTGACGTACTGGGTTTGGTTGAGCAGTACGACGCGGCACATCCTGTGCCGCAGAAGGACCGCCGGAGAAAGTCTTCCCGGCACGGTCGTAAAGGGATTTCAGGTTGTCAATCCCTTCGTACATCTCAGTAGAGATACGTACGCGCCACCACGGGCTAGTAAGGAGGTAAGCCTCCTTAGGTGCTCGTGCAGAGTTGTTCACACAACACGGGCACGAGTCTCCCCAAGAGAGGCAGGGTAATCCTTTCTCCCTTGACAGACGATGCAGCTTGTAGCGTGCACCTGTCGGGGTTCGCTTTTCAAACTTATCACGAGCTTTGATAAGTTTGTCGTTCCAAGCGTCACGACCTACATCCTCAAGGTTATGGATGTAGGCGTTCCACGCTTGAAGTAGTGAGGGACCATCACGCTTGTGATTCCCACTGTACCATCGATGTCTAAAGAAAGCATCGATGAAGAATTCATTCTCAGCGCGATAGTTTTTCGCGCTGGGGTCAAGGTGATGGATCCTTGACGAATCGAACAACCGTGTTCGATAACGATCACTCGTCGTCGCCGACAAGTGATCCATGACGGATTTGGGAGGCATCCATGCCTTCTTTTCAGGAGCGAGACGCAACACATTGCGGTCCCGCTTTTCCTGCGACGTGCCGACAGAAGTACTGGCACCTCGCTGTGAAGTGGTGTCAATAGGAGAACCGACACCACTGTTAGCGCCCGAGTCTCGCGACCTCGAGCGCCTTCGCTTCGGCGATGGTTCATCTGATTCATCAGATGAACCAAAGATGCTACGACGCATAGCATCATCCATGCCACGCTTGGCAGGCGGCTTAGATTCAATCGCCGTCGATACGGATCCGTCTTCCGTATCAGGAGAGTATGAGACACCGAGCTCATACTCTGTGAAGACATGAGTGTCTTCATGACCAGCGCCTGCATCACCAAGTGACACAGGCTGAGTCGCTTCAGCAACCGATGAGACATCAGTTGCTGTTGTTTCTGCTTCGGCGTCCGCACAGAGACGTGCGGACGCGCTCTCGGCGGCCTTGCTCGCGCATCGCATGGGCTTGTTAACCATGCGATGAAATGTTGGGAAGTGGACTCGGACCAACAAGTGCAAACCCTGTCCCAAATGATTTGGGACGAGTATCCATTTAGTCAATCAGTCACTAAAGTGACTGATGGTTAAGGGGGGGTGATGTAACGGGGTGAATCGTTACATAACAATTTATAAGAAATTGTTAATAGAATATAACTATAAGAGTTATATTCTCAGAATATTGTCATAAGGACAAATATTCTGTAGCACTTACGAGTAGTTCCTAATTGGTTGATATAGGCCATTATATCAACCAACGAAGACGCGCCACGACAGACGCACGCAATGAGTGGTGAGCAGATAACTGATTTACACATTTGTATTTAGACATAGTTAGATGAAGATAAATAGTGATTTATTGCAGACATTAACTATTATAAATACAGTTCTACTTTTTACTTTCAACAAGTACTCGCTTCTTCTTACCGTCTTCCTCTGCACGTACGAGTGTACGTGAAGTTACGAGGCACCGCCTTATTCTGTCATCAGAATAAGTAGCTTGTACTGTCACCAGTACAAGCTTCAGGGTGCCCCGTTACACCTGGCAGCACTTCGTAGTCCGTCCAAGGACCACGTTCACATCTAACATGAATATGTTGGATGATGAAGATGACCAAAGCTTTCACGCTACGCGTGACGGCAACTCCCATTTGAGCGATGGGATGCGGTTGAACGAATGGGTTCGACCATGGGCATCCATGCTGTTAGCGTCATGCTAGAGGCTCTCAATAGAGATGCCCAACATGCTACTATCGCCAATTTCATTCAAAATGAACTTGACGCTGAACGCGAGAAAGTAGCCTTGCTTCACCAACAAGGTTCTCAACAAGCAGAGTTGTTGAGAGAACAGGGTGCTCAACAGTTTGAACTGTTGAGACAGCAGCAGGCTGCTGCTGGCGGGTCGATGCACTCGCGTCGACCCGAGACTTTGAAGATTGACATCTCCAAGTATAGAGGGGTCGAAGAGGACTCCCTCTTGAGATGGTTCGTCGAATTGGATGACGCCATAAGGGCGCGTCGCATCGACGACGGGGATATGCAAGTTGCATTTGCCCAGTCAAATCTGGCAGGACGTGCCAAGACTTGGGCACTGGGGCTCAAGTTGCACGACCCATATGCGTTTGGGTCGTTGGAAGTCTTCAAGTCGCGGCTCAGACAAACGTTTGAACCGCCTAGAGCTGAGTTCAGAGCTCGAACCGAACTCTTGAAGCTCAAACAGGGTAAGCGTGATGTGCACGCTTACGCGCAACATATACGACATCTCACGAGTTGTATAAGTTCCAATCCGGTGGATGAACACACGTTGGTTTCGGTGTTCATGCAGGGTCTTGCGGATGGTCCCGTCAAGACTCACCTGTTCCGGCTTGAACTAGATTCACTAGAACAAGCCATTTCCATTGCGGAGCAGGAAGACTTCAGTCTGAGACAGGCTCGCGCCAGCTCGACATCATATCGTCAACCGAGACGATATGACAACGGAGGTCCAGAGCCGATGGAACTCTGTTATGTAGAGAGCGAGAAGGCTCGCTCTACAGGCTACAAGAAGTTGCAGAGATGCAACAGATGTCAAAAGACAGGACACTACGCTTACGAGTGTAGTGCCCCTCGTCCAGTGTCTCGCGACACTGGGCGTAGTGACCGTCCACCCATGAGAAAGGGGCAGGGACGAGGGTCCGCAGTTGGTGCAAAGACGCAACAACGGGATGGACCGTCAAAAAACGGACAGGATCAGTAGGTGCGGAGCACCCTACTGATCCAGCAACGTCAAGAGAATTTGTAGGCCTCTTGATGAAGGTTGCTCCCAACACACAAACGTTGTGCGTTGCTGCTCTAGGTAATGAGGTCTCACTCATTACCTTGAAACTCGAAGTGACGAATAAGTTGTCCCTTCGAGCTCTAGTCGATTGTGGGGCGTCCAACAATTTTGTGCGACGCCAATCGCTAGAAGATGGTCACTCTAAATTCAGTGAATGTGACACACCTCCTACGAGGATGACGGTACGTCTTGCGACAGGCGCATCCGTAACCGTCATGAAGCGTATAGTGAAGATCCACTATACGCTAGAAGATACCCAATATGACGATGACTTTATCGTATTGGATTTGGATGACAAATTTGATGTCATCCTTGGAATACCGTGGCTCAGAAGGTACGAACCACGGGTAAACTGGCAACATCGAACAGTAACGATGCCTGCCGCTTGTTCATCAGATGGCCATCTGATGAACGTTTTGGAGCGTCCACAAGCGTGTGGATGTACTACGAGTGAGTGCGATGGCCTCACTTGTGGTACGGTCGTTAGTACGACTGCACAAAACCTTAGTGTACCAAACGGTTACACTTCGGAGCAAAGTTCCGGCGGCTGTGAGGAAACACAGGCTGCGCCGAAGGTCCACCACTCGAATAAGTCGGGTGGACTGGGACAAAGATGTATCCCTAGCGGGGAACATCTAGAAGAGAAACAATCGATCGCTCAGGTTAAGCGAAACGATAATCCTAGATCGACTGGAGAGTCTTTCGTAGAGGATCTCGCTGTGGTTGCGCAACCCCAGCTAGAGGAAGTAAAGGGAATAAGTCCCAAGATTACAAATACGGCGGAAATAAGTTCCCCGAAACCCGCGGGAATAAGTCCCCGGGAAGACGAAGGAATAAGTCCTTCGAAGCCTGAGGGAATAAGTCCCCAGGAAATGACAGAGACATTGAATGTCATAGTCAATAACGGATCAAGTGTAGGCGCTTATACACTTGATCTGATTGCGCCTCCGAAGTTGACTTCGGAGATCACTCAGTTGCCAACGCTCGAACATAAAAGGTTCTTGCGTGATCTGCGTAGTGGCAAAGTCAAGCAGATCTGCATACTCGTCGCTGACGACGAGTGTGTAACCGACATAAGGTCAGCAACAGTGTTCACTGAGAACGAGAGAGTTCTCAGTAGTTCATCTATGGACGAGAGTGTCCTCGATGAAAAGACACGAATTGAGCGATATGACTCCCAATCATGGGAATCGCTCAAGACAAATCCTCTCTATGAAGATTTGGTTGAATTCAAGGATGTATTCCCTGAAACTGTTCCGTGCGAATTACCGAAGGATAAAGGTATTCGACACGAGGTCGAGCTTAAACCAGGCTCGAAGTACTGTGTCATGAAGCAGTGGCCACTGCCTCGTGAAGAGGTCACAGCGATCGACAAGTTCTTTGCCGATCGTTTAGCTGCGGGCCATGTGAGGGAATCAACTTCCCCACATAGCTCTCCGACCTTCTGTGTGCGAAAAGCAACAGGAGGGTGGCGGATAGTGCATGCATTCAACAAGTTGAACGCTGCAACGGTACCGGCTCAGACGCCGATACCGAGGAAGGACGTAATCATTGATGGTACGTCAAAGAGTACCATCTTTTCGTCCATGGATTTGATGGATGGCTTCTATCAAATTCTTATGCGGGAACGGGATATACCCTATACCGCAGTTAGCACGCCTAGCGGCATGCTCTGGGAATGGCTAGTAATGCCACAAGGGCTTAGTAATGCCCCTGCCACGTTCAACAGATGTGTATCACATCTGTTGAGACCAGTACGAGAATTCGCGCCGAGTTATTTCGATGACGTATTCATCCATAGTCGGGCTATGGATGGAAAGTCGGACGTTGAGGTTCACAGGTACCACGTCCGACAGGTTCTTACAATCATGCGAAAGCATCAATTGTATGCAAACCTCAAGAAGTGTATATTTGCAGCAAGCGAAATACCACTTCTTGGGTGCATCGTTGGTAAGAACGGTGTACGTCCTGATCCCGAAAAGATCAAGGCGATCACCGACTGGCCTGTGCCAGTCGATGTCAAAGGTCTTCGAAAATTCCTTGGGCTAGCGGCGTATTTGCATAAGTATTCACGCAATTACGCCGAGATGACTGTGCATCTCTCTCGTTTGTTGAAAAAGAACGAGAGGTGGTTATATAACGCTGAATGTCAGCGCTCCTTTGATGGTATCAAGCAGAGCTTGATACAATCCCCAGTCCTAGCAATTGCCGATCAGGACAGACCATTTCATGTGGTCTGTGATGCCAGCGATTTCGCAATCGGCTGTGCATTAATGCAGTACGACCTTGAAGGCGTTGAACGCGTCGTCTGCTATCAGTCGCGTCAGCTGCAACCAGCTGAGCGGAACTACCCAGTGCATGATAAGGAACTCCTTTCCTTGAAGTATGCACTCGCGAAGTTCAGAGTCTATCGATTAGGAGATAGACCCTTCATTGTTTACACTGACCATGCGTCATTACGCACGGCAGTAAACAGCCCGCACCTTTCACAACGAATGGCGCGGTGGTTGTCATTCTTTGCAGAATACAACTTTACGGTCGAGTACAAACCAGGACGACTTAATGTCGTCGCTGATGCACTCTCACGTCGTCCCGACTTTGAACCAGTCGTGAAACCCAACAGTGAGACAGTCACTGTTGCGGTTATGACGTCCTCAGTCCCATCTACAACGTTGTATGATGATGTGAGGCGGGCATACGCCCAAGATGGTGAGATTGTGAAGTTGTTGACACATCTCTCCCAACCATCTCGAGAATCGTTGAAACGATTGTCGCCTGCGTATCGATCTGCATCAGATCGATACACTACTCGCAACGGTTTACTGTATTATACAGCCGTTACTGGTGACACACCACGTGTTGTCATTCCAGATGATACTGATCTGCGTTTGCGGATCATGTTCGAGTATCACGATGCTCCTACAGGAGGACATCGTGGCCGGGAGAAAACATATCTCACGGTGAGTCGAGACTTTTACTGGCCCCGTCAGTATCGGTTTGTGCGAAAGTACGTTCGCGCATGCGAAGTCTGTCAACGAGTGAAGTCAAGTCCTTCACTGCGTGCACCTTTACAGCCTCTACCGGTTCCGGCTGAGTGCTGGGAATCCATCTCAATGGATTTTGTCTTCGGGTTACCCAAAGACGCACGCGGGAATACGGGTATTCTCGTTTTTGTTGACAGATTCAGCAAAATGGTACACCTTGTGGCTGTACCAGAGTCAATCACAGCAAGTGGCTGTGCTTGTGTCTTTATTGACACCATCTTCCGACTTCATGGGTTGCCCCGTGAACTCGTATCAGACAGAGATCCACGCTCCACAGCTGATTTCTGGCGTTCCGTGTTCAAATCACTCGGTACGCGCTTGAAGATGTCGACATCTGATCATCCAGAGTCAGATGGTCAGACGGAACGTGCCAATCGTGTCCTCGAAGAGATACTTCGAGGATACGTACACTCCTTTAAGAGTTGGAGTGAGTTCTTGCCAATGGTAGAGTTTGCTATTAACAACTCGGTGCATGCGTCCACGACACATACACCGTTTTACGTGAATGGCTTACGCCATCCGCGAGTACCCACCTTACTAGAGTGTGACTCTGGTTTAAGGGGGGAGGGACTCGCGCGAGCAAAAACCGATTTGGTTCACGCTCATCACGCTCTGACGAAGAGGTCATTGCGTTTGATGCCGATATCGATAACATCGATATCGAAGAAGATGATGCCAGTGAGAGTGCGGAAGCCCTCACTGAAGAAAAGGTTGATGTTTCTGCAGTGCACTCACAGCGCACTAAAGCTAACGAGTCATCAGATGAGTTCATACTGGCTCGTGAAACGGTAGTCCGTTTTGTGCAGGACTCCATCGCCGAAGCGGTGGATAAGCAAAAGCAAAACGCTGACAAGAATGGAAGGGTAAACACTCTTTTATTTAATAAAGGTGACTTAGTCCTACTGTCTACGGTTAACCTATTAAAGCATGTAGTGACTAACTTGGGTAGCAGTAAACTACTACCCAAGTACATCGGCCCATTTCGTGTATTGCACCGCCTAGGCAATGCATACACGATCGAGTTGCCACGTAAGATGCGAACGCATCCCACGTTTTACGTTGGTCGGCTTAAGCCGTACTCCCAGTACGCTGCTTCTTTCGATTAAGAACGCCCTTGCGCTCAAGCATCTCGCAGAGAGCCTTGTGCTCCCGATGGTGGGCATCGACAAGGGTCTGAAGAGCAGCTATCTCATCCCGAGACCGATCAACATTCCCACGAGCTACCCTTAGCTCGTCACGAAGAGATGTCAGAGCTCTCTCGTTCTCAAGCTGAGCAAAGGCAAACTCAGCTCGATGCTTCAAGACAGTGTCCGCCATTTGGAGACGCCTGTCCCGCTCATGTTCGAGATCGTTGCGTAACCCTTGCGTTACGCGATCAAAGAAGCTCTAGGGAACACACGGATCCCCATGATCGTGTGAAGAGCGTCTTTCCTCCTCCTCCACCTCTATTAGAGGACTCTCGCGGTGGCCAGCGCTATCTAGTTGAGCAGCTGTCAGTACGCTCCTTCTTCCGATGATGAACGCCCTTGCGCTCAAGCATCTCGCTGCTTCTTCCAATGAAGAACGCCCTTGCGCTCAAGCAATCAGTACGCTGCTTCTTTCGATGAAGAACGCCCTTGCGCTCAAGCATCTCGCAGAGAGCCTTGTGCTCCCGATGGTGGGCATCGACAAGGGTCTGAAGAGCAGCTATCTCATCCCGAGACCGATCAACATTCCCACGAGCTACCCTTAGCTCGTCACGAAGAGATGTCAGAGCTCTCTCGTTCTCAAGCTGAGCAAAGGCAAACTCAGCTCGATGCTTCAAGACAGTGTCCGCCATTTGGAGACGCCTGTCCCGCTCATGTTCGAGATCGTTGCGTAACCCTTGCGTTACGCGATCAAAGAAGCTCTAGGGAACACACGGATCCCCATGATCGTGTGGAGAGCGTCTTTCCTCCTCCTCCACTCTATTAGAGGACTCTCGCGGTGGCCAGCGCTATCTAGTTGAGCAGCTGTTGAACCACCGCGACGTGAACGGACGTCGGACGAGTTACCTCGTCTGGTGGCGCGGCTATCCCCCGTCCTGGGATACTTGGGAGCCCCGCTCCCAACTGATAGTTGACGTACTGGGTTTGGTTGAGCAGTACGACGCGGCACATCCTGTGCCGCAGAAGGACCGCCGGAGAAAGTCTTCCCGGCACGGTCGTAAAGGGATTTCAGGTTGTCAATCCCTTCGTACATTTCAGTAGAGGTACGTACGCGCCACCACGGGCTAGTAAGGAGGCAAGCCTCCTTGGGTGCTCGTACAGAGTTGTTCACACAACACGGGCACGAGTCTCCCCAAGAGAGGCAGGGTAATCCTTTCTCCCTTGACAGACGATGCAGCTTGTAGCGTGCACCTGTCGGGGTTCGCTTTTCAAACTTATCACGAGCTTTGATAAGTTTGTCGTTCCAAGCGTCACGACCTACATCCTCAAGGTTATGGATGTAGGCGTTCCACGCTTGAAGTAGTGAGGGACCATCACGCTTGTGATTCCCACTGTACCATCGATGTCTAAAGAAAGCATCGATGAAGAATTCATTCTCAGTGCGATAGTTTTTCGCGCTGGGGTCAAGGTGATGGATCCTTGACGAATCGAACAATCGTGTTCGATAACGATCACTCGTCGTCGCCGACAAGTGATCCATGACGGATTTGGGAGGCATCCATGCCTTCTTTTCGGGAGCGAGACGCAACACATTGCGGTCCCGCTCTTCCTGCGACGTGCCGACAGAAGTACTGGCACCTCGCTGTGAAGTGGTGTCAATAGGAGAACCGACACCACTGTTAGCGCCCGAGTCTCGCGACCTCGAGCGCCTTCGCTTCGGCGATGGTTCATCTGATTCATCAGATGAACCAAAGATGCTACGACGCATAGCATCATCCATGCCACGCTTGGCAGGCGGCTTAGATTCGATCGCCGTCGATACGGATCCGTCTTCCGTATCAGGAGAGTATGAGACACCGAGCTCATACTCTGTGAAGACATGAGTGTCTTCATGACCAGCGCCTGTATCACCAAGTGACACAGGCTGAGTCGCTTCAGCAACCGATGAGACATCAGTTGCTGTTGTTTCTGCTTCGGCGTCCGCACAGAGACGTGCAGACGCGCTCTCGGCGGCCTTGCTCGCGTATCGCATGGGCTTGTTTACCATGCGATGAGATGTTGGAAAGTGGACGCGGACCAACAAGTGCAAACCCTGTCCCAAATGATTTGGGACGAATATCCATTTAGTCAATCAGTCACTAAAGTGACTGATGGTTAAGGGGGGGGTGATGTAACGGGGTGAATCGTTACATAACAATTTATAAGAAATTGTTAATAGAATATAACTATAAGAGTTATATTCTCAGAATATTGTCAAAAGGACAAATATTCTGTAGCACTTACGAGTAGTTCCTAATTGGTTGATAACAGGCTATTATATCAACCAACGAAGACGCGCCACGACAGACGTACGCAATGAGTGGTGAGCAGATAATTGATTTACACATTTGTATTCAGACATAGTTAGATGAAGATAAATAGTGATTTATTGCAGACATTAACTATTATAAATACAGTTCTACCTTCTACTTTAACCAAGTACTCGCTTCTCCTTACCGTCTTCCTCTGCACGTACCAGTGTACGTGAGGTTACGCGGCACCCCCTCATTCTGTCATCAAAATAAGTAGCTTGTACTGTCATCAGTACAAGCTTGACTGTGCATCGTTACAAAAGGTAAAAAGAGAGCTGTATTTAATATCGTTAAGCTATCACTATAACTTCAGTCTTTATCCAGCTACATTAATCTATATTGTCGAATGACGATAACCTGCTTACCACCCATTTCGCGCGTCTAGCAGCGATCGGTGGTAATCAATGGTTGATATGTCTTTATCAACCAATCTTTGAGCAGCGCATGGATATTATACCAAAAGGGGATAACATTCCTTTAATATTATCCATCTCGTATAATATCGGTAGGGAATTTTCACCTTAGACAATCTCCCAATTGACATCGTTTGGTGTCGATATCATGTAACGGGCTCGCCCATTACAACATTAGCTAAATGGCATCTGCTCGGAGCCGATCGTGCTGTACATCCACAACGTACACGCTTCTCCGACGACGGCATCGGTGCTAATCAAGCTACAAAACTCAGAGGAGCCTCTTGCATGACCAAAGTCAGTTTATTGATGGTTAGAATCTTAGCAAGTCGAAGAGATCGCTTGACAGCAGGATACACTACAACACTCACACGAGCTACTCTTCAGCCTAATGATCCGCGTCATGGACATATCCAAGCGGACTACAGGCCTTTCTCCTTCAGGAGCCTGCTAACCTCTTCACCCGATGGAATACTTGGCAATGCACCAGGATGCTGCACGCACAGCGCACTCGCCGCAGTTGCACGCATCATGCAGCTTTGCACGTCACGACCTTCAGCGACCGCGACGGCGAACGCTCCACGAAAGCAGTCACCAGCTCCCGTTGTGTCAACCACTTTGTCCACCTCAAAGCACTTTTGATCCACCACTTCCGAGCCGTCAGCAGATACAAACACCGCTCCATCCGAGCCAAGCGTGACAAGCACGTTCTTAGCTCCCTGTTCTTGCAAACACCTTGCTGCAGCGACTGCATCCTCCTTGTTACGAACCTCACGCTTGGTCATCCGCGCCAGTTCCGTCTCATTAGGACAGAGATACGTCAATAGTGGTAGGAGATCCGCTGGAATGGGCACGTCGTCCCCTCCCGAGTCCCACATGACAGGGACATTAGCTTGAGCTGCAGTTTTGACCACCAACGCATTGATCCGTTCCGGGATCTCGCACTGCAATAGTACAATAGCTGCCGACTCAAATGCGTCGATTAAAGACGCAGAAAGTGTGAGGGGCCAAGCTCGATTCGCACCACCGACAATGACGATCGAGTTGTCACCGTCTGGGTACACGAACACAAACGCTTGTCCCGATGGACAGTCACGGTGACCCGATAGCGTAATATCGACATGGGCGTCTTGTAGTGCCTTTTGCAGCGCCTCGCCGTGAGCATCATGACCGAACTGACCAGCAAATTTGACCGAGAGCGTTGGGTGACTAGGACCAAGAATCTTCCCAGCTGCAGCAGCTTGGTTACTACCTTTACCCCCTGGAGCAAACTTGCCCGTGTCAGTCTTACAAGCAGAAAGCGTCTCACCCCGAAGAGGTAGACGGCTGACCTCGATGACGATATCGGCGTTCACCGAGCCAACAACCAGGACGTGCTGCTTCCTACTTTGAATCATCATTGAATTGTAAACACGACAACAAATGACTGGGACGGGGCACAGTCGATCCTGTGAAACTTGTTGGTCAAACTAAGTCATGACTCCCCCTCCGCCTCCGACGTTTAAAGTCGCTCTAGTCGAGCAGCTTTTTCAATCGGCATGGGCTGCTAATGTTACAGCAGCAGCCGAAACCATTGGTAGTGACAGCAGCGACGAGGAAGAGATGTTTGATTCAGCGCCACTCATCACCGCAGCAGCGGCGGCCTCGCGGGTGCGCAAGATTCACGCAGACGCTTTGAAACTCAGTACTGAGATGCTAAGGCTTTTTGTGGTGGAAGCTGTTCGTCGCGCACAAATGGAGGCGATGGTGGACGATAGCGAACACGTCGAGCCGCTGCATATTGAGCAGGTGTTGGCGCAGCTGATGCTGGACTTTTAAAGGATGCAAGATTTGATGGTATTGAGGTTCCTGGTCAATCGATCGCGTGAATTGGTGTCATGACAGCCATGAAGTGAAGCGGCTGCCGTGGTGCGAAGCAGAACGTGAGTTAATTTTGGGTAAATGCTGGGATCAAGCGGTTGAGCAGCTAGATGGTTCGTTGCAGGCGGTGGATGCGAGAGCTGTAGGCGTCGGTAGTGAACAGTTGCATGCAAAGAGGTGCGCCAAAGGCTATGTAATAGCAGTTGTTGCACTATGATGTAGAGGGTTCTAGAAAGATACTTTAGACGGGAGCTGCCTCGTGACTATCTGGTTGTATCGTGGCTGTTGGAAGTGAAGAGAGAAAGGGGCGTTGTGAGGAAGAGTGGTGTTGAGGTGCGTGTGTTCTGGTATCCGAAGCAGCCGATGAACAAAAGCAGAAGTGTCAGTTACAGCCTTAGCGACATCATTGACAAAGTCAGGATGACTCCACTATTAGACGACGCGATTCAATCGTCTCACCAGAAAGTATAGCGACTCGTGTGAATGCCGAGTTCGATAGCGATCAAGCTGTCTTCAAGAGGCTTTAGGATTGCTGCACCTTAAGGGGTCTTAGTAGCTAAGCATTGGATCAACGTGAGTGGGTTCTTCAGACACAAGCAAGGAGCTTCCTTGTCGTTCGATATGCCATCAAACAGTTGCTCATTTCTCGCCAGGAGATGGTCGTGCGAAGTCGTACATCCGCAATCTTCCTCGGTTCCGAAAGCTACAAACTGAGTCCATACGCAGTCACGAATACGAAACTTCCACTGCAAATGTCGCTGTTTCGTTCGTTATCTACTCATGACAAGCAAGTGATTGTGAAGGTAATAACAACGGGACTATCGTTCGAGAAATAGCGTCATCAAGCTTGTACCGCTCAGGCTGGATTCTGCTTCAAGTTACTGTTTGCTATGGCAAACCAGTGCAAACCCCACATGCTATAGGAGGCGCTATTGACGCTGTCTACAACATGAACGAAGATGTGCTAACGTTGCCAATTCAACAAGTACAAGCGTAAAGGCAATTTCGGTACCTACGCACACTCAATCTATAACTTGCCGCTGCGATGCTTCCAATCGGCACATCGTCTCCTTACATCTAGTTACGCAGTGTTGGTCAACATTCATGCTATGAGGAGTTTCATTTGCTTTTCGAGATGATGTGCTCGCGTACCCAAGTCCTTGCTCTACTCAATAGAAAATAATCGATGGCGACATCATGCAGTGGAGCATGATGAGCGCATCATCGTCTACGTTTTTGTAACGTATCTCTTGTTTTATCGATCTATGCTACTCTAGGCACTTAAACGCCCTTCTTCAATGTTATCGTTGCCTTCGCCAACATGGTGAAGGCAACGATAACATCTTACGGCTACTCAAACTCGTCACCAAGCGTAGCTCATAAATATTTCTCGGTGGCGAGATCTGGAGTTGGTAGCGCATTATTCGTCAAGGAATAGATATAACCGTAAAGACTTTCAAGAGGACGCAGCTAGCAGAACAACCTGATCACTCCATAGGATACAGCCAGCAGACCTACTAGATTACTTCACAGTCATCCGGAAGTACACTATATGAGAGGAAATTGACTTCGTTTAACGTACAACAGACGCAATGCTACATCTAACAGGACAGTAGCGATGTTGCTTCTTTCCCTTGGAAAGAAGATGCATAAGTGCATTTTTGCAGTCTTCTTCCGAGAATCCTCTGTGCCCTGACGAAGGTCGACCAGGAACTGGTGGCGATCTTTAGTGAGGATTATTGCAGAATGAGATGTTTGCTTGCCTCTTGAAATTCAGTACAAGACGCACATCCCAAAGTACTAATTATCGCACCTTGAACGTTCGATAATAAGTACAACGCGGTAGAAATCTGTACGCGAACAGCTTGATTAACACCGAGTTTTCATCTCGTTGTACCGAGTTTCATCGATTCCGACAGCCGCATTGCTCAAGGGGCTAACGGTCTGCAATGCGCGACAAAATTTACCTGCGATCTACCATTGAGATGGCATGGCCATAAGACACGACGCAACACAAGCAAATTCGGCGGGGCAATAGAACAAGGTTTGCAACACATTGTACCTTACCAAGGAGCAAAAGTTGCAAACCTGCACTTCTATTCCTTGTAATTATTCCCACCAGCCCAGAGTAGACCAATCTGCAGTCAATAGTCCACAAACTCCTCACGCTTACGCCTTGATGCGACGGCTACGGATAGCCTTCTTCTGGAGAACACCTTTAATCCAAAACACATGAAGATAGTACACACGAAACTCGTCAGCATCCTCATAGAAAAACACTCAACACCTGCTTCCTGACTGTCCATCTCATTGTACATCATAAGCACGCACCCTTCTCAACCTTGGCGACCGTGGACAGACGCGACCACTTGGCCAACGCCGCTTTCTTCAGATCGCGACGGTAAAAGTTGCGCGAAATGTTGGCGCGGATGGTGTTCGCTCCACCACGAGCACCTTTACGAAGAGGCACGACATTCTCGGCCTTCACGGGCTTCTTGTACGCCCTTTCAATCTTGGTAGTGAGCATCACTTTCTTGTCTGCAAGCGACAGGTCCACAGCCCTAGTCGCCGCCAAGCCCGAGTACTTGCGGCAGTTGCGGTTCAGTAAATTGAACTTCTCGCGCGCAAACTCCGAGCCATTGCGCTTCAAGAGGAAGGACGAGTTGTTCTGGGTCAGCAACCACGTGAGGGTATCACACGACATCTGAGGACCAGCACACCACCATTTTTGCATGCCACATATTAATACCAAGCTTTCACCCTCCTCATATCCCTGCAGTCACGAGTCCATCATTCCTAGAGATCACCTTTTCCGCTTCTTCGATGGAAATAATGGGATGGCTGAAGTCAGTGAAGACGAGCGAGCCGCTCGACCAATCGATTAGCCTAGTGTTACAACCGGGTACGCTACCAGACGTAATTACGCGGACAGCGGATGATAGCCACTCAAACGCTTGGTTTTTTTTTTACACGTACCTTCGAACGACACACGACAGCCAGATGGAGCCACAAACCTGATGTCGATCATAGTTACTGAACATGCTTGTTCATAGGATACTCAGCCCCATTACCACCGATGATGCCCGCAAGCCCCTGGCGTCGGTACGTGCCTCGAATCGCGAAGCTCGTGACGCATCGCACGCGCTTACTCATGCTTTAACAATGAATCGTTCTTGTGCATACAGATATGGTGTCTGTGTATCCAAGTTAGCGCGGCGGAACGCTTCCTCTTCTCGCGTCAGCGATTGGTGCGGCCAGACGCTCTTGGACGTATCGGACGCTCTTGCACAAGGTCGTGTATCAGCGGTGGAAGTGACAGAAGCGTGTATACAACAGGTGGAGCGTACTCGCAGGTTCAATATGTTTGTTTCGACGGACTTTGGACGTGCATTGGCTTTGGCTAAAGCGTCGGACGAGCGTCGCGCAGCTGGTAAGTCCTTGGGACTGTTGGATGGCATTCCCATTGGCGTGAAAGACGTTTTTTGCATGGAAAACGTGCCTACAACTGCTGGATCACACATGCTCGAGGGCTTTGTATCACCGTACGAGTCAACGGTCACACAGAGATTGCTGGATCAAGGGGCAGTGCCTCTAGGCAAGCTGAACATGGACGAGTTTGCAATGGGGAGTGGGACGATCTACTCTAAGTTTGGGGCGACGATTAACCCGTGGTCGAAAGACTTTGGGGTCCAGGCTGTAGTCGCTGGTGGGAGCTCAGGTGGAAGTGCCGCGGCGGTTGCTTCGGGATGCTGCTTTGCAGCGTTGGGCTCGGACACGGGAGGCTCAGTGCGCCAGGTGCGCTTGCTCTCAAGTCTATTGAGAGAGATAGTGGAATTATAGAGAAGGGAGTGAGCATTTAGTGGTGCGTCATGTTGTACGTTTAGCCAGCTGCGTATTGTGGTGTTGTTGGACTAAAGCCAACGTACGGGCGAGTGTCGCGCCATGGTATGATTGCGTATGCAAGCTCTCTCGACACGCCGGGTATTTTTGCGAGATCCGTCGGGTACGTGCAAAAGAAAGGAGACAAATGAGAATGCGTACTTACTCTGCAATGTTTGTGACGGAATAGCGATGCCGCGGTAGTCCTAAACGCTATTGCGGGACCGGATCCCATGGACTCGACATGTCTGACCGACGCATTACCGGAAAAATGGGTACGTTATCGTTTCACATGTGTCTTGCAAACGAACTGAAAACGCTGATAATGATGTATGCTATTACTAGTGCTCAAGTGTGCTTGAAACTTCGAAACAGTGCAAGGAAGTCGATTTGGCCGGTGTTCGAGTTGGAGTTCCCGCAGAATACTATGTTCGTGAACTTCCAGAAGAAATCGTGAGCGTGTGGAATCAAGGCATAGAATGGCTGCGCAGCGCGGGTGCCCAAGTGGTTAGTCTGTCCCTGCCAACGACGAAGTTATGTATTCCAGCCTACTATATCCTCGCGTGTGCCGAAGCATCGTCAAATTTATCCCGCTATGACGGTGTTCGCTACGGTTATCGGTATGATGGCTTTCTTGTACTTCCATGTGCTACTAATGTTGGGAAGCAGCATGATGCTAAGATGTGTTCTTTATATTGTCATAGGGCGATCAACGTCGCTTTGGAGTCGCAGGAAGACCAATCCGATGCTCTTCATGACTTGTACTGTCGAACAAGATCGGAGGCGTTTGGAGAAGAAGTCCAGGTCAGAATATACCTTGTGCAGTGCGTTTTGCTTGCCATATCAAAATTGACCATCTTTTTGGTTGCTGCGTAGCGACGGATCCTTTCAGGTACATTTGTGCTCTCAGCTGGTGCTGTGAGTGACTACTATGAACGAGGCGTAATCTTACGCCAGCACATTCGCCGGGACTTCCAGCGAGCCTTTGAGGATCAAGCCATCGATGTCTTGTTGACCCCCTCTACTCCTTCAGGGCCGTTTTCTATCCATAACAAACAGGCAGAGGAGGATCCTGTCAGCATGTACTTGAACGATGTCATGACCGTTCCTGCGAATTTGGCCGGCATTCCCTCGATCTCCTTGCCAGCTGCGCTCACGAAGAACGGCGACTTTCCGCTTGGCCTTCAGCTCATGGGTCCTAACAAGAAGGAAGACAGTCTTTTGCAGGTTGCAAATGCGCTGCAACAGAGAGCAAATTTTCGCAAACTTGTTCCTGCACGTGTGTACGCAACTGATAGATAACTTGGTCTGGACAAAGATCAGGTTTCAAGACACGATGGATGATACCTGTTGTATTGTCGAACTCCAACAAGTCTGGCTCAAAAGGTTCATTTCGTTCATCGGATGCATCGATCGAAGAGCGTCATCGACACCAGAGCAGCTTTATCGACCACACATGGATAACAACTACTTTGAAAAGCGTCAGCATATCGATCAGTCACCAAAATGAGTCGTCGACTCTCGCTCGCAATTTACAGTCCACATTGAAGATATGCTGCAGATCGATATATTGTTAATCCTGCTGTCCTTAACGACCAAGATTTGACTCTTGATACTTTTACAGCATCATAGCGCCAATCCTATTGTCAAAAGCGTACTTACGGCCAATACTTTCAGCTCATTTACTGACGTGCTCGCTGATTTAGAAAACCGAGAGCGATTGAACTGTACGTACGTGGCCCGCGTAGTCTCCGCTTATCCGAATCACTCACCAACTGACTCTACAAAACCTCAAACTACTGAACGATGGGTTCGTTCCTATCCGTCGCCGTGCTGGTTTTGTTCAAACTTATCTCTTGCACCGCTGCAGTCGGTCATATACGAGTTGATGGAGGTCCGTTATTCAACAATTCCAAGTATGTCGAGCATCTCGATAGTAGCAACTTTGGTGCCATGGTGAACGATACGCAAGTGATTTGGCTCGTGGACTTTTACTCGCCCTGGTGCCCCCACTGTCAGCACTTTGCACCGATATGGGACGAAGTCTCCACTCTATACAAGGACGTGAGCTCCATAGTCTTTGGGGCTGTAGATTGCTCGAAACAGAACCAAATCTGCGACAATGAGGGCGTGCACTCGTACCCAGGTGTAAAGATGTACCACGTGTCCCCCGATGTTGAGGCACCTATTGTGATGCCCCCTGAAGAGCTCCAGTTGGCCAAGTACATTGTAGTCTGGATCGAGCAGACTCTGGAAGTAAATGGTGTGCTGTCGCTGCTTGACACGCACGCCGTGTATCCCGAGGTCACTCGTCCGAGTGAGCTGAAGAAAACCTTTGGAGATCCAGTGGAACCTTTGAACGACGATCGGTCGCTGGACATGAAACTTAAGAGATTGAAGGATGCAGGAACCACTGCTTTGTTTACTTTTGAGGACGGATTTTTCATGGGTACGACGGTACTTGAAGGAGAGCGGTACGATGCGGCTGTAACGTGGGTCCGAGCACTTGCTGCTACTTTTCCTCGAAAGGAAAACCGTGACGCACTTACGGTTCTTGTAGAGGAGATGAAGCGGCGCGAGAAATGGACGCAAGCAGAATGGAGTGAACTCATCGACAAGTGGAAAGCTACTGCCAATGCAATGAGCTCCCCGGCACACTTGTTTCGTGATAAAGATGACTTGGCTTTGTGTACAACGGCTACGTGCGGGCTCTGGACATTGTTTCACACTATCACACTAAGTGATGCCTATTCAACATCGAGACCCGAGCAGTGGAAGCCCAGTGAGGTCATGTCAGCTGTCCGTCTTGTGGTAAAGCACTTTTTTGGCTGCGATGAATGCAAGCGGCATTTCCTCAAGGTAAACACAAACAGCTTGATGCGAAAATTGGCGCTTCGAGATGAAGATGGGCCGGACGCAGTCGCGTTTTGGATGTGGACGATTCACAATATAGTGAATGAAATCACTGGCAAGCCCATGTGGCCAACGCAGCTCTCCTGTCCTCAGTGCTACGCTGCCGGCAATATGTCTCTGACTCTGAACCCCGCACAGCTGAATGAAGAAGATATTGTTGCCTACGTGAGAGATATCTACGAGTTCGAGGACAAGTTGATACTGGAGCAAAGGAGTCACGTAGCCGCGCCGTGGTTACCACTGCGATCGATAGCCATAGCCGCTCTGCTTATTGTAGTATTTGCCACGGTATTTCAGCTGTGCAAGCATCGCTTGTTCAAGTCGCACTTCAAGACGCGCGACCACATTGCATAGAGCTTCTGTTCATGATGCGGTACATTTCTGCAAAGGATGTCCATGTTTTTTCAGCATCCCAGGGCTACATTACTCGTTGTATTGCTGCTGAAGTCCGTTCACTTGGATCGATTACTTTTCCTTTTGCGACTATGGTTGCGTTACCATCAGGCGGGTCTGGCCTCGGTTTCTACCTCATCCGTAGCTGATGTCTGTACTTATGCGTAAATACCAACGAATGCATTGTATGCTGATGAAGTTCACGATTGACCTGGCCGAACCTGTAGATCCTGGCTGGCTTAATCTCATAGTGTTCGCGGTCGAGCGTCACAATTGTTTACGTTGAGGCGGAATCCCTCGTTTAACGAATACGTTATACCCGTATCCAATATGTATCTTCACGCAGATTTTTCCTGATCACTCTTCATTGCGTGTTTTATTTCGCAACTCATCAAAATGTCGATGATAAGAAGAGTTTGAGCTTCGAGTTGACTTCCAGTTTCAAACTTAACGCAGCGTTGCTTCGTGAAGAGACGCCGAATCGGAACGAAAACGCAATATCTTATCATAAGAATGATCCATTCTTTGCCGTCCTCAGCTGCTGCGACATCGTTCTTTGTCTAAAACGTCAATCAAGCTTCACACAGCTTTGCATCGCGAATCTATGCTTAGTTCATCAATAGAACGATATTCCTCTAGTCTCCCAGTGTCCTTTGGAAGGACTCTAAACTTTGACTAACACTGCTGCTAGACTTGGCGACTTGCCATACTTACAAAAAGGAAAGTTAAAACAGTTTAAAGAAGTCACGGCGGGCGATCCCGCTTTTAAACATGTCTTAGAGTGCGTGCTGTTGGTCACATTAATCATGCTTGACAAACCAGACAACCGGATGGTGCTTATGCGATTTCAACGGCTCCTACTATACTTTATCGCACATGGCTCATGAGTTGAGTGTTCTCAAATTGCACACGAGCATTGTTATACAAAGTGCGACTCTCGAAGGTGATAAAGGTGCAGAAGGCTGCGTCACTTTGAGAAAACTTCATCTTGACGCGCTTTACACAGGTGCGCAGATTGGCCGCAAAAATGGTGCGTAGGACCACAAGTTACAACACGCGAGTGGGCATGTGAACGGTCAAGTTCAAATGGCAGCAAAGTTTTAGCCATCTTATAAAGCAGATGCTCGTAGTTAAAAGACTTGCAAAATTGCCAGCAACGCACCCGTTGAGCTCCAACCATGAAACAAAAACAGTAGGGGGCAAGTAGCACGGTAAGTGAAGTGAAAACGCGCTAGAGTCTGATTGTGCAATAACTTGTGAGAAGAAAGTTGATGCGCAAACGGAACGATTTTAACATCAGATGTGTATTTTCGACGAACTTAAAGCTAAAACGAACACGTGCTAATACTAATCGAATGAATCGATTGCTTCCGTCAGCTATCTTCCACCTGCGCTATCATTGATGATCGCCTTTAGCAGCCCGCTTTTTCGCTTTCTTTTTTTCCAACGCCAGTCGTTTGGTCAACACCGTATTGTATCTAAACACGAAGCTTTGGAGATTTGCCCATTGAAGCTCGTTCAGTGGACCTATTCTCAGCGGCAATCTTATCCTTGGTTAGAACCTGCGGGACCCCTTTTTCCCTCTGATACATCCTGAAACACCATTGATGTGGCCTTATCGATTCTTGCGGTCATTTCGGCGTCGCCTTCTGCGAATGATTGCGCTTTCGATATCATAACAGCAAGCGTTTTATGATCATAGAAGTCCACGAGTGCCTCGACGTAGTCGACAGTTTCTTTTTCGCTGTTCAAAACTGCCATGAATTCGTCGACGTATTCTTCTCCGGTGAGCTCATATATCCTAGTGTCGGAATATATGAAATCATCCTCCCAATCTCCCTTCTCTCGGCACTGTTTGAAGAGGCCCTCCACATAATGCGCGCACTTATTGTCGAAGGCATTGTCGACCTCGGATAGCTCTAGCAGTCGCATAGTTCCAATGACAGACAAATTCTTGCGGTACCATCTTTTGGCAATCTCGTCAAGAACGTGACGTGCCTCAACATCATTGTCCCGCTTCAGCAGTACACGCATCAACCCCTTCTCTCCGCCGTAGGCCGTGACCAGCGCATCAGCCAACGTGACGTATCGTGCTTTGTCGGCGTTTAATATCTCGATAAAGTCTTTCAGCAAAGTCACTTTCCACAACGAAGAAGTGAACATGTCGTCTCCCTTGATATCGTACACATCAATGAACCTGTCAACAGAACAATGGCGATCCATGATTCCCTTCAGTTTCTCGTCCAGTAACTTTTTTGCAGCTCTGCCTCGATAATCATCCAAATACTTCGCAGCAACGAACATTTTTGCCACATTTATATCTCCGTAGATCGCTGACAGCGTGTCGAACAGCGACAAGTTCTCATCCAGGTTCTTCTTCGTCCGCTTCACGAAAATTTTGATGAGTGCCAGCATATCAGGTTCGCTCAATCCATACCAGAACTCTTGAGCGTGCGCGACCAAGTCATCATCCACAGCAGTTGATACAACCGGAGACTTGTTATGCGGAATGTGGCCGACCTCTGCGAGCACCCTTTCGCTGGTCAGTTGCTGCTCCTGCCAAGACCTTGCTCTAAAGAAGCTGATGGGCTTTACTAAAAGCGATTCAGCGTTCTTCCGCCAGCTTGCTCACATCTGGCGCCCTCTCTTCAATTCCTTCCTCCGACTTGATCACGTCAGACGTCCTCTCTTCAGTGCTCGAGGTTTTAGCTGCCCTCAACAAGCGTTTGCTCTTCTCGTCATCGACCGATGTTGGTTCTTCATCTGAGGAGACGCTCATCGTCGTCATGGAAGCCGAGGTTCTTGAGGACACGGTGGTGCACGTTAGGTACGCAATATAAGGCAGGACTACCGCAGCATAGATGCGCATGATCGATTGGAGCTTCTAAGTGCAAGTGGGCGAGTTGAAAAGTGGCTAAGTGCGAGCATTTTCCAAGTCATGCTACAATCGGTCAACCGCCAACGAGTTGCGATATATGCTCCACATTGTCGTCTAGGTCGCAATTGTTACGTGCTCTTCAGTATCAATGGAGTGCCAGCGGGTCACGATGTTTTTTGTGTCACTGCAGCTTCGTTGGTAACATACGGCCGTCTCTTTTTTGCACGACTCATGCACCGGGAAAAGGCTCTCTGTCGAGTCGTACGCGACACATTGCTGTACTAACCGTATGGTGCTCAGCGGGGCTTTATCGCCCTTGTCGATCGTGGCGCAGTTCTTCAGGCAAATTCGATCCGAAGCCGAACAGTTCGGCAGCTCATGATAGAAAGTGCGCAAGAGTGATCACGGGCGCACGAAGGGACGGCTAGGTGTGAATGGGCGCGCTGACTTGACGAGGCTTTCGTATTTTTTACAGAGCAATCAGCATCGGAGTTTGTGTCACCCCAAGCCGTTTGCTACTGCGATTTTATGACAACAGCCGTTTAGTACATACTTACACCAATTCCCTGAGACTCATCCGCCACTCCTGACTGCAGCGTATTATACGCGCTCCGGGGAGCTTACAGAGCAAGCAAGTTTAGCCCGGGAACGAGATGATAGTTAGAACACAATGTCAGCACTGTAAGATTTGAGCCTTTCGCATCACAAAGTCTTGCTTCAACATCCTTGGAACATGTTGGACCCAAACTACAGTATGTGTGGTACTCCCTCCGCTACTGGCCAGGCGTTTCTCTCGGTTGAGGTTATGATCGGACGAACACAAGTGATCTCCTCGACACCACTGACGCATAGTCCGATCTTTGCATTCTTGTTCAATACAACTTGACGTAGCCTGAATCCTGATCCGTCTACGGACTTCGAGCATCATGCCGCCAAGAAAACAAAAAGACGCTTGATACGACTTCTTCATACATTTATAGCCCTCGCTCTAACGACTGCATCGCTTGCTTGTCCTACTATCCGGATCCGTTTGTTTGCGATCATTGGTTTTGAGACGTCGTAGGTCCGATGAGAGGCAACAAAGGCACACAGACCGTGAGCGCAACGTCAAAGCTTAACCACGTAAGCGCAATTTCACTGTCATGAGCACCGTTGTCTTGCTTGTAGGTTGTCGCGTCACACTAAAAAGTTCATGTTCAAGTTGTAGTGATGTGCTGCTATACTGTCTATCGCCGTACGACAATCCTATGCCACACGCGTTGTACAAAAACGATTCTACCAAGTGACAATCGATAGCGCATAGTCAGAGCTTTCAAGACAAGCATCAGGCAGCTCATTTTTCGCAACTCGTTGCTAACATGCGTGGTGCCGCATCTCGTTGCAAACACGCGATTGTGGTTGAAACGGTTTGTAACAATGCGAGTACAGGTTCAAAGCACAGTACCTCACTGTAATCGAGTACATTCTAGTGATAGTAGCACACGGAAAATCGTAGGCCATCATACACCGCCGGGTACCATATCGCATGCATTGCTTAAAGGGCAATCCAAGTGTTTGATCGCGCTGCATTGGGACAGTGGTGCGTGTATTAATCGCATCTTAATCCAGTAAAAAAAGGGCTGGTCCTATCTCACTACCTTGTGGCTAAATGCGCCCGTAAACGCAACCCGTTCCACTCCGATGGAAAGGCAGTTACTAGCTTGGGAATCTTTTTAATATTGGCGGTGAACAAATGACGACAGGTAGGTCTTGTCATACCATTGAGAACTCGAGCTATCCAACCAGTGCGTATCTTCCCCATTAGCACTTTTTCACCGAGAGAGTGTCATTGACTTATACTTGATGATTATCGCGAACAATAGCACCATTGGAGGTGAACGTTTGCGCTCACACGTCTTACTTGAACGCAGCCAAAACGCGCGCGATTGAGCACCATTCGATGTGTCGAAATGGATTCGTAGGATACGGACCGACATGAAGTCGTTCTTTGGAGCAGATGGGAACGAGAAGACGTCCAGCGTTCAGAATAAGTACGGCATCCACAAGATTAGGTTTGAAGTACTCTATCTTACAACAGCCACAATGGTAACGCGACGTCGTAAGTGCGATCATTTCGTCTTTCGGCTCTTCCAATCTGCGACGTCGAGTATCAGTGATTCTTTGTCAACTATCGATTGTATACGCAAATCATCATGATGCGCTCTACCTTGTGTGGGATCGTAGCTTTCAGATCGCGCAACTGGTACCGTTGCATTGCTGTGTGACATAGTAACATCGACATCCCTCGGGGGCACTGTATAGGTGCGGCCGACAATTGGTGGGTGGGCGTGGGTGGGCACGACGTCGCAAACTTACATTCTTTAGCACCCTAATGTGTTCAAATTTTATTTATTTCGATGAAAGAGACTGTTTTGTGCAGTGTTGATCTGGTGATAAACTAGGCAAAAGAATTGGGTGGGCGTGGGTGGGTGGACTAAAATCTGAATAATGAACGAGTGGGTGATAGTGGGCGGAGGCGATAGCTTAGGCAAAAGAATTGGGTGGGCGTGGGTGGGTGCACTAAAATTAAATAATGTATGAGTGGGTGATAGTGGGCAGAGGCCACCCACGCCCAAGTATTTTCGCCTATAAGTGGGTGCGGTAGGCGCTGATCGAAAACTTTGCTCTGTAGTGCATATGCCCAACAACTGACACCAACACCCATGCCTGTGCCTGTGCCCACTCTTGACCGTATAGTTTTGGTGGCTAAATGGGCGTGCAGGTGATGTCATGGGTGGGCATGATTTAACGTCAAATGACCAGTGGCATGAGTGGATGGAAACTTAGCAGTGAAAAGTCAAAATTTTGTCAAGACAATAAAAAGACAACAAGTGACGGAAATAGCTTGAATGATCAAATTGATCATTATTATTTTTGTAAATGGGCATGTCGGGGCAAACACAGCATCTTGTTAAAAGGTAAAAAGTGGGCGTACCTGGGTGCGGCAGCAATAGATCATCATGATTATTTTATAAATGGGTATATAAAGATAAGCACAGCAGCTATTTAAACATTAATAATTGGGCGTGGCTAAGTACGGCAGCTGGAAATAGGCTAACGGGTTTTTTTGTTCGTCGGTGTGTGTTAAAAAGTTGACCATGGGCTCTGCCTTAATTTAAATACAAGCGGTGTAGCAAACCGTCCCCTTCTAGCGTAAAAATTCACACTATTTTTTATAATAGATGATTATTCTGTGAGTTTTTACCCTGGAAGGGCACAATTTCCTACACTACTTTTACCTCCCTGTGGAGGCAAGATAAGACAGACACAAAACAGTGAGAGGCGCGCGCGTAAATTTAAAAAAATGTAGATCATATAGCAATCATACATACTTGTAGATCAGTAAAGGGTTGAGAAGAGCTTAAAAGCTCAACTTAAAACGACGTAAGCTGCTTATATGAAAATCCCTTTTCAGTTCAAATACCTCCTTACCGCTTTTCTGCCTACGCGTAGAAGTTTAGGTGCATACGTTTACATATCTAACATTTTGTACAGGTATGTTGCTATCAACATAGGCTTGAGGTAACTCTTCACCGAACTGGGCTTTTATTAGTAGAGACCTCACCAATTTTAGAACGGAACGTTTTACGAGAGGGACATCCATTTTCTAACGGGTCTTGTTAAAGAACATCGTCAAATCCACCACACCTGTTTACTAAAACTACCACATAGTGATACGTTATATCACACATTTACTCTACTGCATGATCATTTGATTGTGCTCTTTGAAAACGGGCTCCGAACGCGCTATACGACTCTGGAAGTGTGGCATCCAAAACCCACATGCTATGTATAGAATGATGTTCCAAGATAGATCAATTGGGTAGAGTGTATTTATTGGGGTAAGCTCTGCCGTGCGACAGTGATTACTTTTCACATGCATCAATTAAGTTTAAAACCCTTTTATGTCGTGTAATACGGTAAATGTTGTCAAATGGTCCTCATCGGTCAAAACCATGACAGATGGACAGATGCAACAGCTACCAAGATTGCGCCATCTGGGGTAGTAAGCCTGTTGGCTTGTCACTCTGCTGCGCTGTCATCTGATGCTAAAATCGTGAGATAAACACTACAGAGACGAAGCAACGTACCCGTATGATACATGTGTACACTCCCACTGAGTTTTCTAGGTCTTGGTAAAAGAAATTTCAATGAATATCGAAGTGCAGTTTTATGACAGGTGAATATCGCTGTACGGTACACTAGTGCTCTTGCATCCGCTGTAGGATGTTCGATGCTGCTAAAGAAGATCAATGCACGCTCGGTCGAAGACTGGTGATTCTGCTAATGCCGTACGCTCCGTCAAACACTGATGGTTTTGCTTACGCCGTACGCTTCGCTTAGTCGAAAGTTAATTCAACGTTTATAAGCTATCTCCTGTCGCGTTAAGCGCAATATAATTTGTGATGTGGCATGCAACATGCATGGTCGATTTATCGATTCTCTTGTTACATACACCCCACTTTCTACTGCATGTACCATATATACCACACATACCACACTACAAAAAAATTTGTAAACGAAATGGCCGAAACGTGGCTCTGTTTCCTTCGTAAAGCATTTGACCGACGACCGCGACGCACCCGCCGCCATGTGTCATAAGGTTTCGTGTCATGTCTACAGTACTGATGAATTTCATGCTGCGTGCTGATTTTTGCAGTTTTAGTGGGTGCCTTTTGTATTTCTTACGACCGGAGTCTGCCGTCTTCGGGGGGGGCTACATATTCCTACCGGGCGGCCACTTTTTACTAAATTCTCCGGGGATTATCTAGTCCAGAGACCCCCACTATTCGACGTCGGGGTTCTTATGGTTCTGCAAAGGCCGAGCTTAGTGGCACTGGAGTTTATGGGTGGTACAGCTGAGACTTATG